TCCACCCATTATGCCCATGTGTATAGAAATCTGACAAGTGAGGATCACACTTCATGAATCTGAGGAATTTAAATAAATTTAATAAACGTGTTAGTCTTTAAGATGCTACAAGTGATCTTAATCTGGCAGGTGGAAAAGTCTGGTCATGTGTAGGATTTTCTCAGTGCCCAAAATTTCTAGTTCTGAAAATTGAGGGGGCAAGCCTAAACTCCCTAACATGGGATTGAGAACTATTTAATCTAATTGCAATTACTTCTGACTTGACCTGCATTGTAAACCACCCTCACCCCCCCAATGTACTTATGCAGAAGTCAGTCACACTGAGTTAAATGTAACTTGGGCTGTGTACACATAATACATTTAAAGTGCACCCCTCCACACTAGAATCCTGGAAACTAGTTTGCGTGGCAAGTTCCCGCCCCCCACCAGGATAAATAAAGACACGAGACACCATAGTTTAAGGTTAAATGGGCGAATTAGGCCACAACTTTATTGAATTCAGGAATGAGAGGCATTGGCTTAGGCATTGGTCCTAACGACTATCCGGCTCCAGCCCATTTGCTGGAGACACGGGGAAGGGTTAACACTATATCGGGGGAGTCTCCTGCCAAGGCACGTCGACTAGGAGCTCCCCCCCCGGTCACCGCTCGGGGGCGTGCCTTTGGCCCACACCTCCATAGGCTTCGGACAGGGCCACGCCCCCTGGAGTCCTTTAACGGACCACCCTTCGCTCACTGGGGGGAGGTGATGGCGTTCCTCCCCCCCCACACATCCTCTTAACCCCTTCTTACCAATGCCTACTGCCAATGCCGAAGAGTTGTGACGAGTTGCTACGAGGTAGGCGAAAAACCAAATGGCTGTAAATTGCCAATTGGGAAAAATTCCTACCATGCCCCATGCGGCGACAGACCGAAGTCCATAGCAAAGTCAGAGACCTACCTAAAGCCCACCTAAAGGGAGGGAGGGTGGGAAAACGTGGGGGCTAGCCGGCGAAAAGAGGGCGAGCCCCCTCCGTGCCGGCCCTAAATAGGGCAGACCCCCTGCTCTCGCGGGGGCTGAAACCAGCCCCCGCTCACGTGGGGGGTGGGCGTGAAGCCCGCAACCCCACCTCCTGGGCAGGCCGGAAGTGGCTTTGCCCCTCAATGAACTATAATTTCCAGCACATTTAACATATTACAGTTCCCTTTATTTTTTTGGAGGGATGCCTTAAATGTATCTGCTTGTGTATGCAGCCATAGTCGCAGTTAAGTGGGTATAGGATTTCATGCTTGTTGAGTAAATGTTAATATTAATATGCAGTCAGTACAACTTCGCTCCAATAAATTCTTATCAACTTTGGTAGTCGCAAATTGGATTTTAAGGTTGACCATGATAAATGTTAGCATTAGGGGAAGAAATCAAACCTCTCTATCTTGTTCTGAACTGGTTGGTAGAAATAGAACATTCCTTTCTTTTGGGGAAGTAAAAAAATAAATAAATCACCACCTTCTAGTAAGTCTGACTCACAGGTTCTGCAGAGGGGTGACTAAAATAGCTCTCTAATCTTGTACTTTCTCTCCAGGAGCAGAAGACCTGCCCATTTCTTTACTATGATCAGAAACTGAACTGTTCCTTGGTTTGCTTCCTTGATGGCTACCAAGTCATTCATGTGACGTAAGCAGCGATTAATATTATGTGACTGGCTCCAAAGGTTTCATATGACTGTACCTTGCTGACTTCAAGAAACCTTTTGCCACACCCTCCTTCTATAGCACTCCAACAATTCCAGGAATGCAGGGGGAGAAATAAACTTCCTTCATAGAAACCTAATAAATCTTTAGCGATAAAACCAGCCACATGATGGGTTTAAGCACCCAGAGCTCAGCTTTTGCATCTCAGAAGCGGGCCAGTTCAACTGACACGCAAATCCTCAGTGTGGCCTGTGATCTCCTCCATTTTCCATTGCACTGCCCAGCAGAAAGTTAGAGAGGAAAATGGAAGAAGAAAAGCAGAATCGGCCTGGCTCTTTTCTGATAGGTTCTGGTAATCTAAAAATGAATGGAAACCAAGCTCCGATTCCCTGCTCCCTATACTCTCCAACACTTGATCATTTAAATAGCAACATGTGATATACTTCAAGTGCATGCCCAGAATGGCCAACCCACAAACCAGTTAAGCAAAAAAAATTTGGATTTTAAATACATTTGCAACAAAATCGTATGGGAAAGATGGAGGGCACAAGGAGAAGGGGACGACAGAGGACGAGATGGTTGGACAGTGTTCTCGAAGCTACCAGCATGAGTTTGACCAGACTGCAGGAGGCAGTGGAAGACAGGAGTGCTTGGCGTGCTCTGGTCCATGGGGTCACGAAGAGTCGGACACGACTAAACAACTAAACAACAACAAATTCCACTGAGTTCCTCAGGGCTTACTCCCAAGTATGTGAGTGTGACTAGGACTGTAGCCCTATGGAGTTGGGGAAGTGTTCCAGCTCTGTAGCTGAGCATCTGCTCTGCATGCAAAAAGTCCCCATCATCTCCACGTAGGGCTCAGGGAGTGTCCCCCCCCCCCAAACCATGGAGAGTCGATAACAGTCAGTGCTGACTGTTAGATGGACCAATAGTCTGATTCAGTATAAGGCAGTTTCCAATGTTCCTTTTGAACTGCATCCCAGTTAAAATGTTTTCTCTCTTCCCATTGTATGGATTTTTACCCCACTGTTCAAGTTAGTTCCCAAAAATTTCACTTGTTTTACTTCACATAACACAAAATTTAAAAGTCCTTGAAAAAGCAAGATGGAAAAGCTGCTCTGTATGGAAATGGAAGATGGAAAAGCAGGCATGTTTGCATATATTATCGTTATTTCAAATCTTAACTTCTTCAAGCATGTGATGAAATGTGCTCTGGTCTATAATGCCTGCCACAAGACATATTTTAGTCAAGGGTCCACAATGCCACAAGAGGGGTAGCTACAGATTAGTCTGTTGCAGCAAAAAGAACAAGAAGTCTTACAACCCCTTAAAGGCTAAGAACTAGAGTGCTGAATTTCAACTGTATGGAAGATAAGCACACTGACCATTCACTGCAGTAATCAATTCCTTCTATAAAGGAAGTTTAGAACTTATCCAGAAATTTGATTCTATCAGTTGGACTCCAAAAAGAGACAATTGTTGCCTGACCCACTACAAGTGTTAATTAACATAGAAAATCTAGGATGGTTGTGTTATCACGAATTACTAAAAAGACTATCATCCTAGATTTGTTATGTTAATTGACATCTGTAGTGTGAAGGGAAACAAAAGTCTCTGTTAAAGTTTAACTGAATCAAACTTCTGAATAAGTTCTAATTCAACTATTGTACCCTGAAGTCTTCCTTTAAATTTTTTTTACTGAAGAACAGCAGTTTTTAGGTCACTTGTAGAATGCGCCAAGAGACTGTCATGTTCTCCTACTGGTTTCTGAATGTTTCAAAATAATTTATTTTGTCAGATTTGTGTCCCTTTATTATTATTTTCGTAGGAATTGTTATTTTTATCCTATGAAAAAAGCAGATGAGCTTTGCTGGGTTGGTGATGGCATAGATCAGGTCAGTGAATGAGTTGCTGATGTTGCAGCTTATGTTATCACATCCTATAATGTGGCACCTGAGTGAAATGAGAAGACTTGTAATTGTTTTAACAACACTTAAATTTGATCTATGTACATTACTTTAGAACACACTTCATTACTTTTTTTCCAGAGGACTTATTATAACAGACTTTTATCTTACATTCTAAGCAGCAGCAAGAGCAATAATTACAGCCCACTGTGAAAGTTGAGTGGACTGGGAGGGCACAATTTGCTAATGGAAATGTTTCCCCACCCCATGGCGGTTGTTAGACCTCATGCAAAACCTGAAACATTTTATGCAATGAGATGCCTGTTTTTATGGTGCATCAGCCAACATCACAAACCCAGCCTCCCTCCCAGTTGACCATTGCAAATTTTTGCTGGCCTACTAGCAGAAAATAATTCCCAGAGACACTTTGCCTATACTACTTAAAATACAATCCCATTCTTCCAGTCTCCACCCACACAATGACAAGTCGGTTTTACTAACAATGAGTAAATGCCAAATGGTTTCTATTTTTATCACAACACTATACAGTTGATCTTAATTAATCCCAATCCCAATCATGGACGGTTTCCTATGTCCCTCTTGATCTTACTGCATCTTCCTCTCTCTGCAGATTCCCAAACATTTCCATTCCCCTTTAAAAGCAATATTTCATTTCATAGAGTCTTAGGTTGGGCTCAGAGTTGTTGGTGCAAATCCCAGCTCACTGGGTGACCTTAGGGCAAATTAATCACTATCTCTCAGACTAGCCCTACTTTGCAGGGCTGTTGTGAGGATGAAAATATACTCCTTTCCTTGGTCAAAAGAGGGGTTGTAAATGGAGTAAATAAATACAGCAGGTTCCATATTATCAACCTCTCCTGTTTCTCTGTCCCACACTCACAGACTATATACTTGATGGTTCCCCCCCCACACATTACCCCATCCCTCTTCCCCTCTCCAGGAGTTTCACATTAAACAAAAAGTACTGAATTATTATTATTTGAGGTGGGAGGGTTGTGTTGTATTATTTGGTTGCAATTATTATTGGGTGGTGCAGAAGTGGGATAAACATTGTTGTTTAGTCGTGTCCGACTCTTCGTGACCCCATGGGCCAGAGCACGCCAGGCACTTCCGTCTTCCACTGCCTCCCGCAGTTTGGTCAGACTCATGCTGGTAGCCTCGAGAACACTGTCCAACTATCTCGTCCTCTGTCGTCCCCTTCTCCTTGTGCCCTCCATCTTTCCCAACATCAGGGTCTTTATCAGGGATAAACATATATATATATTATTCAGTGCTTTTTTCTGGGGGTACGCATACCCCTAATCATTTTGTGAATGTAAGTTTGGCCTCGTTGAGGGGCAGTATTTCAATATGAGTAGGAAAGTGAGAGTACCCCTAAACATTTTTAAGGGGGAAAAAAGCACTGTATATATTTATCCCTCAGAAGGTGGCTAGGTGTCCTTCCACCCTGAGGCGAAAAAAAAAAACCCAAGGAAAGAGACGGCCGCTAAACGCGCATGCGCCGCCCCCCCATCTCTCTCTGGAATCCAGCCCGGCAGGTATTGCCCTCCCGCGCGCAAACTGTGCGCACGCGCGTTCACGGGCCACGGCCGCTCCTGCCACGAGCAGGTGCTTTTCCTCTTCCTCTTCCTCCTGCCGGAGCGGCAGGTTGCGCACGCGCGCTGGAGGTGCAGGTGCGCCGGGGCTTTCCCTCCTCCTGGCTTCCCCCCCCCTCCTTCCCGCGCGCTCGTGCGCATGCGTCGTCTTTCGTGCCTCGCTCTTTTTCTCTCGCTCCGCTCCCCTCCCTCCTCCTCCTCCCTTCCGCGGAGCTGCAGGTGCCAGGAGGAGGCTGCTGGGCGGCGGCGGCGGCCCCTCCCCCTCTCCTTCCTCCTCCCCCTCCCTTCCCCTCCCCTCGGCTTCGCGAGGTCGGTCTGGCGGCGGCCGTTCCTCCTCAGACGGGAGGCGGCAGGTTGAGGCTGAGAGGGGCGGCGGCGGTCGTCGTGGTGGTGGTGGTGCTCCGGGCTTCCCTCAGACTCGCTCCCTTCGCGCCGCCGAGCGGACCAGCGTCTGGCTGACGGGCTGGCTGACAGACTCGCCCGCGGCATGAACCGGGGCCAACGCGGAGGCGGCGGAGCGGGGAGCCGCGGCGGCCTCGGCACCATGGAAGTGAAGAGCAAGGTGGGTGGCGTCCCCACACCGGCCCCCGCCTCGGCTTTGGGGAGGGGTACTCGGGTTTGTGACGTCTCGCTGAGGTGGGTGGGTGGGTGCGGGTGCTCTTTCGGGGTCTCTGTGGGTGTTTTTGTTTTTTTGGGGGAGTGGTTACCAAGGAAGCGGGTGGCCGCGTTTAATTCCGCAGCCCAGAACCTCAGCGCGCAGCAGTGTTTCTGAGCACGTACAAAGGGCATTCTCTTCAGGGCTCACCAATCCCCGGCCCACAGTCCGTACCAGGCACCTGAAACCGGGTGTGGGAAGGTGCTCTCGTCCTGGGTAGTGGCCGCAGCTAGCAGGCAGTCTGAACCCCCACAGTTGCTTTTTTTTCTTTTAAGATTGTATGTGGGGGAAAGGCACGGTGGTCATGCTGAGAAGAAAACGATGTACTGTACATATTCTGCTGCCTCGCTTGCAGTGATGGCGGGAGAGAGCGTCAGCACGATTTATTATTATTATTTTGGCGGGGGAACAGCTAAGTGCTTCATCTTTCATCTCTGGCCCCAATAGTGTGCCAGGTGACATTTATTTGGGGTGACTAAAGTCAAGGTGGTAATTTCGCTCATGGAATAATGTGTAATTAGGGCGAGTTGTTACCAAAAATGCGCTTGAGGAGCCACTTGCAGATGACTTATTTTCCAAGAGTAACCTATTAAGAATGCGGCTGTGCTTACCTTTGAAGAGCCCTTTCAAAACACTAGCTTTTCCCCCCTTCCCCCATCCCATCTGGGATAGCTCAGTGTGAGACTTAATCTTAGGGTCGTGGGATTGAGCCCCAGGTTGGGCAAAAGGCTCCTGCATGGCAGGGGGTTGGACTAGATGACCCTTGGGATTCCTTCCAACTCTACAATTCATTGATATTTTCAGGGTGTGAGCATGTGTATAGTGGTAGGTAGTTCTAATCTGAGAGTGATTACAGAATCAGGGGGTGAAGGTTATCCATGATTAGCATGAATGAATAATAAGGTGTGATTTTGTGTAGGCATTACTGGTTTGTCTTGGCTTTGCCAGTCACCACCACCCCTCAAAGTCTCAGCACTTTTATTCCTTTTTCTCCTTGTGTTGATGACACTTCCTTTTACCCAAACACAAGGATCCCATATGGCCTGGGCATTTGTGCTTCTGCCAGTGCTTGATGAATGAGCTTGTTAAACCATTGAGAGAGTATTGCTCTGTGTTTTAATGTGGTCTGAAAAAGTGGTCTTGGGATTGGTTTCTATGAAGTATTATGGGGACTGCTAAGTATCCATTCTCGGACATAGTTTGAGTGTCATGACCATAAAAGTTCTACAATGTGCAACACAATTGTTAGTTATACACTATTCTGTTTGCATAGAAAAAAATGTTTTTCTCCAATATCTAGAATCTCTTAATGACTGTGTAAACAGTTGTTTTTTTTGTGTTGTGCATTTCTAACCTGATTGCAAGTCAGAATGGCATTTTTAAAGCACTTGCTGCCAATCTCTTCTGGAGAAGGGGGTACAGAGAATGCCATTTTGAGCAAATGAAACAGCCTTTTGTTTCCTGCAGCCCCTGAATTGTTCAGCCATGTTAGTTCAGCTGTAACTTTGGCACTGATCACCAGGGTAGCATGAGGACTTCACAAATTGTGCACACCTTCCTGGTACAAACAGAGTAGCTATTTGGATTTAAAAAGAGGCTAAAGAGACCCACAAATTTTACTGGGGATAATTTTGGGGCATCATAGGCTGTTTTAGGCCTTTGGAATGTTCAGAGTGCCTGCAATTTAGCTGGTTGTGTTCATACAAAATACTTACCCTGGAGTGTTTTCAGAACCTCCTTATGTTAGTGAACACACCCTGGTATACTTTGTTGAGGATTAAAGTGTTCTTTCATTATTTGTATGGTCATGCCACAAATTAAACTGGTGAGCCATCCCAACACCACAGCCTCTGAGTAACAGGATATGTCTTACTATAGACTGTGGCTGTAATGAAGCGTTTTATCACTCATTTCGTGTTTATTCCTAATTACAAGTGAACATCCATGTACTACTTTGGTCTCGCGGCTATTTCCACATATACTTATGTGGAAAACAGTACTTCTGATGGCTAGTTTGCTCCTGGTGGCATCCATCTGTCTCAGGAGACAATGAAGGAGTATTTCTTTGGGGGTGCAAATTGCTATGCTTTATATTTAAAATTACATTTTAATGAGGGGGGAAATTATATGTTTGAAGAGGAGAGCTTCTTTCTTTCTTATGCAAAGTGAGACTTTAAAACATATTACTCATAATGGAGTTTTTTTAGATTTAATGTGAAATAAACACTGTATTATTCTTGCTCTTTCCCCTTGTTTGTTTGTTTGTTTGTTTGTTTAACAAGATCTCTACTTGGCATTCCTGTCTATTTACTAAAGCACTAAGTCCATCCGCACTCCAGCTTGTTCCTAAGTTGACCTATGGGGTAATTTAGTATTCATCATCACAAGCCACCTAGAAAAATTCTATACTAGGTAGCTAAGATCACACCCTTGAATTCCACGTGGACATAAAATACCTACCATTCCACATTCTGTACTCAGTCACTTGTGTAAATGAGAGCTGTCTTTCACTTATATATAATGAGAAGCCCCACTCTTTTCAGTCACTTTGATTGTGAACACAACTGGGTAATTAAGCAGTGTTAAGGGGTAACTAATCTGTTGAGGGCCCTAAAATCTATATCCTCATACAATCTGTAGTGAAGCGTGGTGCAATTAGACAGGGAAAATTCCTTACCAAAATAGAGAGTAAAATTTTGGGAAGTGTAATCCTACAGTTCACTGGCAGCATATGATGGTGGTTTGGGGAAATCCACTGGCAGAGCAGCTACCACATCTCTTTATCATCGTTCCTCCCCTTTTAGTCAGTGGAGGGAATTAGCTATGTGTAAAGACCCACCTTTGTAATAGAAATGAAGGATCTTTGGACTTTGCATCTCACTGCCTTCCTCCAACATGCCCCAGTTCCCCTCACTCCACCAGCAGAAGATCTGTTGGGAAGGATGTAGTTGGCTAGTGTGCTATGGGACTTCCAGAGGCATAACCAGTGTCCTTACAGACACTCCTCAGCTGGCTTCTGGCTGGATTGTAAGGCTTGTTCCCTTAAATAACTTTGAATATTTAAAATGATTTTTAAAATAGCTTTTTAAAATCACTTAAGCACCATGGGATTAATCCCTCACATCTGCTGTACATGCACTTACACATTACATACATACACACACTTAACAATTACATAGGTCAGGTTCTTGAATTACCTTTGGCAAGTTTAAGCATAGTGCTGAAGGTAAAACTAGTTTTACAGTATCTGGAAAGGCCCTAACCCATCTTCTCAAGTTGTTATGTTTCTCATGTTAAAGTAAAAATGTTATTTCTTTCTCTGGGCAATTAGAATTGTACTTTCTCCCTCAATATTTTACTGGCTTCAGTTAGTTCTTTTGTTGGATCTGGGTTGTGTGTAGTTAATTTTTTGGTACTACATGTCAATCTTTTGGAGAATCACAGTAATATTGTATTGTAACAGAGTGTAGGTTTCCTTAAATTTTAAAATTGCGAGGAAGTAGAATGCAAATAGAAAAGACAATATTACCTGGCACCATAAATCTATTACCTTTGTAAGGGAAGTTACTCCTACAGTGTTTGGTTTTTTTTAATTACTTCATGTGGCACAGGTGTAATAAAACAAAATGACTCATCTGTTCTGCCTTGCTGCCAGCTATTATAGGCTTTATAGAATATACAGAGAACAAAACTATTTGATTACTGTAATTCCTTAAATTTAAATGTCTCTAGGCCAAGGTGCAGTGTTTGTGCCTTATTTTTAAATTATCTCCATCTGGTGTGTGGACAACATTTGGATGACTATAGTGCTAGAGAGCAAGGGGCAATGTGTTTTTGCTTGTAGTGGCCAAAATAGTCCCAATTAAGCAGCAATATATTGCTTTTAGAAGATCTAAATGAAGGCAAAATGGAATATAAACAAGTACTGTAGTTGGTAGGTACATGTTCAATGCCAATAGCTTCATGAGACTTATTTTATGTTTCTTTGTCCATTTCCTCAATAAGCTATAGTTATTTTCCAAAATGGATTGTACAAGTTCAGTCTTAAATTCGTACTACTGTTTTAGCAATTTGAAATCTGCACTTATCCTAGGGTTTGTATACCAACAAAGTTTCAATTTGAATCACTCCTAATTTCTACCAAGTATTTGTGTTCTTTAAAAAGTGTATCATTTTAAATTGCCCCCTTAAGCAAATATTCATACTTGATTCCTGAGCTCCCAAGTTGCTACTTTTTGTTGTGGTGGTGGTTATTTAACTACCGTGCACTTGCTACAAAGAAGGCTCTAAGTGACTTTTGAAAAGGTTGAGTTGGAAAGTGTAATACAAAACCCAAGAAATTATACATTTGAATAAAACCAGTTCAGCAATCCATAAACCCAGCAGCAATAACAAAAACTTAAACAGACCCAGCAGGGGAACAGGGGGGAACCCAGCCGAAAACATACAAACAAAATTCAAGTAAGCAATTGGCTGGCTTGTCATAAAATGCCTGGGAGAAGAGAAGTTTTAACCTGGCACCTAGAATATGCTAATGACAGCATCCAGAGTGTTCAACAGAGTCTGATTTGATTTAATATTTGTATTCCACTTTTCCAACAACAAATGTTGAGCTTAAAGTGGCTCATAATAATTGCAATACAGTAGCCTCCCTCTGAACCTCACTCAGGAGGAGCATCTGTGGGAGGGCCTCAGGTGACAACTGAAAGGGCCAGGTAGCTTCATAGCATGAGAGGAACAACAAAAGATAATGGTAATATGAGTTGCATTAGGTTCTATGATGATGCCAATCTGTGTTTAAGCTTAAAAGAGTTGAGAAAGAGATATCTGAACTTAAGCATGTTGATATAAGAATTTTAATATCTGTCAGCTTACTTTAACAAGCAGCAATGATTGAAAAATCCTGTTGAGCACAGGTCAGCCCTTTTAGCTTTGTTAGGATAGTTTTAATCCCATGTCTGCTTGAATGTCAACTTTTAAAAATTCCCTAGCATGATTTATAGGTGTATGCCATTCTTGTTGGTTTAATCATTGCTAATTTCTATCATCCGTTTATCTTTTTGTGGCTAAGTTTTGCTTTCTTTGGCTATTTTGATTTTAAAGACTGACTGATACTACTGCCTTGGCTTACTTTTAAACTTGGGTGGACATGGTTTATAGAATTGAACCCAGTTTTTCAGACTATTTTCAGCTACTGCTTTTGCACAGGCAGAGTGAGGTGTGTGGAAAAGTTGATACATCTTACTGTGCTCACAACTGAAATAGGTAGCCAACAGTGTTACTACTAAGTAGTTGTCTTATATTTATAATCATCTCTTCCCCTATAAGTGGTTAGGTTCACAGTTAAATTAATGGAATAGATTGAATGCTTGTTTGTTTGCCGAATTACTTTGCAATGGTACCTTGGTTCTCAAATGAAATTCATTCCGGAAGCCCGTTCAGCTTCTGAAATGTTCAAAAACTGAGGCACGGCTTCCCATTGGTTGCAATAGTTTTTTGCCCTCAGCAGAAGCCACGTCGCACATTTGGGTTCTGAAAAACGTTCAAAAATGGAAGCATTTACCTCTGGGTTTTCACCGTTCGAGAATCGAAACATACAACAACAGAGGTGTTCGGGAACCGAGGTTCCACTTCATTAGAATGTGTGCATCAAACAGAAGGTCTGCTTTCTCACTACATGTGTTGCACTTTGTTGAATAATTTGCATAATCTTTAGAGCTAGGAAACTTCTAGAAGGACGAAGGCTATCATTTTGGCATTCCTTTCAGTTAGCATGGATTTTAAGGCATGTGGTGAGTAAGCAATACTGCAGTGGAACATTTTGCTGTAGAACTGAGTATGAAAATTGCAGCTGCAATGGGACTAGGAATGGCCTAGGGGTGATTGTGCCTTGTGAATTTGTGTGTTTTAATTGGAGGAATGTTTGTAATGGTGAGAATGGCAGGTAGTTTGACATTTAATAGAGTTTGGACAAACAGGCAATTATTGCATGGGGTGGGGGAGCTTCAGTAGTGGATTGCTGGGACCTTCAGAAGAGTAGGCAGGTGGTGATACCAGTGAAAGGGTTTTGGCAGGCAGTGAACAGTGGCTAGTGGAAAGAGCAATTAAATGGTATGGATAATTCTAATATAGGGCAAGTGGATACTTGGGTCCTCAGTGGAGCACCAGTCCAGACAAGTGGGGTGAAGTTGGCGCGTCATGTTGTCCATAGAGATTTAGACCTTCTCTCCAATAGGCTCATCAACTCTGTGGCTTGGTTTTAGGGTTTGTACCTTGTGTTGGTCCAAAGATGTACTCCATACTCTTCTGCTCATCATCCACCCTAATTGAGAAGGTAGAGGTCACCTCAGAGTTGGCGTTCAGAAATTGTAGCTGGTGAAGGATGCAGAGGCCAAGGTGCTGGATGGCACTACTGGCTGTGGACAGAAATGCGCTGGTTGCTAGTATGCTTCAGAGCCCAATCCAAGGTACTTACATTGACATAGAAACCCCTAGACAACTTAGGCTCCAAATATCTGAAGGGGAGTCTCCTCTGATATATAAGCCTATCCAAGTATTAGGATCTGTAAGGGAGGCCATGCTGGTAGTTCTACCATCATATAAAGTTGGTCGGGCAGCAGTGCATAAGGGCCTTTTTGTGGTGGCCCTCAGATCATGGAATTCTTGAGGTGTGTCTGGCCTTGTCACGCTATACACTTGATGTTGGGTTGCTGTATACACTTGATGTTGGATTAAAGTGCACCTTTCTGCACAGGCCTTTGTGGGTGGAAGACATTACACAATTGAGCTGAGAACGCATGGTGAAGGGCAAGCAAGTAATGCCAAATAACATATAAAGAGATAGGTGCTGGAGTGTAAAATTGCCTGAATGAAAGCCACACCTTGTAACCTGGAAGTTCTGCCCACTAATCCTATACATATTGGGACATGCGGTGGTTACTTAGTGATGAAAGACAATATTCTGCACCTACTCAGATACTGTTAGTTATGTCACATGATTAAGAGTTGAGCTCTAGCACTGAAAACAAGTTTCTGAGCAAAGCTCTTCACAAATTCTGTCAGAAGCCTGGGTAACCTTGCAGGCAGGGAGGTGGGTGTCTGACAGGAGTTGACTAGGAGGAATGGACTCTGTTAATTTGATGGGTGTCATGCGCTCCGAACATTGTCAGAGATGCATTATGTCTGCAAGTACTAAGCCATGGTTGCAGTTGTGGGCAATACTTGGATTTATTTTATTTTTTGTTTTCATAATGAAAACAATTTTACAAATAAAACAACAAGCAATTCTCATAAGTAACATACCGTATTTTTCCGTGTATAAGACTAGGTTTTGTTTTTTACCCAAAAATGAGGTTTAAAATTGGGGCTTGTCTTACACACGGGTAGTGCTGAGGGGTGTTTCCTTAATTTGGAGCCCCCCAAAATAGGAGACATCATATACATGGGGGCATCTTATACACTGAAAAATATGGTAATTATCTGTCTTCAGTTATATAGGTTGTGTATGGACCAGTTACTTAGATCTGTTTTTAATAGCTGTCCTTTTGGAATGAATGTTTGCACTTGGTGAATGGGGGATTGTTTTCATGAAATGATATGAAAGTTGTGTTGGGTGACTTATGGGTTTCTTGTGTTAACACTTGTATTTCCCATGGGATGATTATTAGCTTTCCATGGAAAGAGGAATCCATGCACTTTGCAGCACTTGGCTGTCACTGGCAGTGCCTTAAGTATATGCTTCTGTGCATGTTCCCCACACAACTCATTTGATGGCTTCTGGAGAAGAGGCAACAGCACATTCTCTTGGATTTCCTCCATAATACAGTGAGGCAGAAAACTGTTTTGATTCATGTTAGAATTTGTATTTGAAGTGGAACTCCATTGGTTAGATTTAGATTGTAGCATTCATCCATTGGATCTCCCTTTCACAAGAACCCTTTAGCTTTCTAAGAGCTGGTAACTTGTGAAAATTCATCCAAATAACTTCTTAGATGAATGGGAACTTTAACTTTATTCTCCTCAATTCTAGTTCAACACTGTTCATGACACCACGTTACAACTTGGTGTTAAATTTAAGTAGACTTTGTGTATATGTGAACATTTCCTATTACTGTATCAACTTCATTGTTGTTTGTTTGTTTTTGTAGTTTGGTGCAGAATTCCGGCGCTTTTCTTTGGAAAGGTCCAAGCCTGGAAAATTTGAGGAATTCTATGGATTACTGCAGCATGTTCACAAAATACCCAACATTGATGTCTTAGTTGGATATATAGACATTCATGGAGATCTCTTGCCTATCAACAATGATGACAATTATCATAAAGCAGTTTCTACAGCTAATCCTTTGCTTAGAATTTTTATTCAAAGAAAAGGTAAGCATATATTTCATCATACATCCTTCAATGAGCTAAATTTCTTTGTGTCTTTTTCCTGATCATTGCTCAAACTGCATTGCTCTCTACTGGCTTGGAAGAAAATGCATCATTATATGTATTCACTCTGATGCATTGTTTGATACCTGTTGATTTATTGAGAAAGAATATTGCACAGTTGTGCAGTGTATGGTGGGATTTCATCCTGCTGCATTTCCTTTGCTATGCATAGAGAGAAGTTGGGGGAGGGGAGCATAGAACCATTTAGAGAGGCAGCCATATTCATCTAATAGTTAATTTTTTTTGAAATTCAACCTTGATTAATACCCAAGATCATGCCTTTTAACCTTGCTACAAATCTTGCCTTCCCTACTGAAAACTTTGTTGCCTAGCTTATCATGAAGAGATATAGAATCTGTTGGTACTGAAAGAGAGATTCTTTAATAAAATCACAAGCACCACTTACCCCCAAAAGCACATCATTGATAGATAAGCAAAGAAAAAATGTAGCTTTACTCTGAACTCCTTACAAATTATGTATTAGGTTTTTCTCACGTTGATGAAAAACAAACAAAATATTCAGCAGTTTTTATGTATAATAAGGGCTCTAAGTCACTGTATTGTACCCTGGAATCTGAATAGCTTGGGAACACCCAGGCAGTGTGATTCCTGGAGTTTCCAGTAAAAAACAAAGGCTCTATTCTGGTTTGGAGAGAAGATGGGAAATGGTCACAGCCTCCCTAATACTGACGCAAGTCATATTTGCTGTAAGTAGAAGAGCAAATAGTTATATGTAACTGTTTAAATAGAATGCCTTAAAATATGTAAAATGGCACATTCCAGCTACCTTTTTCTAATCCCTTATATTTTGTAATATTCATCAAAAAGATAGAAGCTGAATCTGGAATAGAAGTAGATGGACTGGTGAGGTCATATTCAGCAGTTCTGCTTAATCTCTTTCAGTAGCCATATGACTAGAGCAGATAAGCTACTTTGTTGGGCTGGGATTATTACTTAACATTTTAGCACCATATGTGTGTGTTTATATGAGTTATTCACTTAACTCACTTTACATGAGTTATTCACTTATTTCTAAACTGCTTAATATTTTAAACATCTCCAAGTAGTGTACAGTTTGGAAAGCAATGTATCATTAAAATAGTAAAATGAAAGCTGAATAGTGGATAGACAGGTGTTCTGTGTCCCAAGTTGTCATCTTCGTGAAGTGGGAAGATGACTTGCTCTGGAGGGGTGGTATTCCCCAGGAGGGAGCAGGTCTGGAGGCTTGGGTGGCCATGGTGGCTAGGAGTGCCACCAAGCTCATATCACCCTGTTCCATACTTCAGTGGTTTTTAAAGCTCTAGAATCCTTCAAAAGATCTATTCAGAATTACAATTCTCATTTATTCAGCATACAATGCTAGCTTCTGTCAACAGTTCATTAGCAACTGTATGAATGCTGTTACCAGTGCTCCAGCCTTACATTCTACATTTGTAACTTAATATTTCCAGCTCTGGCTTGTTTGCTAGCTACACCCCTGTTTGGACAGAAACTACTTAGCTCATAATACTCCATGCTCTCATAACTTCCAGATTTGATTATTGCAATGCACTCTGTGGGGCTACCCTTGAAGATTACTCAGAAACTTGTTTGGTCCAAAATGCTGTGGCCAGATTACTGGTTGGAGTTCCATTTAGATCTTTCATAACCCCTGTTTTTAAACAGTTGCATTAGTTGCCAGTTCATTTTAACATCCAATTCATGGTGCTCATGTTAGTGTTTAAATCTGTAGGAACAGCTATTTCTTTTCTTTCTATGGTTCCAGAGAGAGTGAAGTCCTCACTTGACCTGGACAGGGCTTTCCAAAATGTTCATGTTGGCAACACACTTTTTAGACATGCATCATTTCGCGACACAGTAGTTTAGTTTTGCTAGCAAACCGGAGGTTAAACTAACCCCTTTCCAGCCCTGGGAGGAGCGTGGGGAGCATTTGCGTGACACACCTACACATTGCAGCCGACACACTAACGTGGCGACACACAGTTTGGAAGGCTCTGACTTAGGGTATATGCAATTAATATATTCCAGAATTTGATAACTGGCATACCGGTTCATACAGGCAACGACCCGATTTATGTGCGTCCAATTGACACTTGTATCACGGTGACCCAGAAGTGGCCGGAAAAGTGGGTGGAATGGGCTTATGTGCACTCCGCTGTCACGCACAATGACCCTGTGCAAATCGGGGTTTGCCTGTAATGACAAAAATATGGATATATTTCTCTAGTTTACAAGTGGCACAATCTTGTATGTAATTCATTGCCTACTTTAACAGAGTTTAAAGTGAATCTGTATCCAGTTTTTTAAACTTGTAGATCAGAAAGCAATTCTGAAGTTTCAGTCTTAGGCTCTTTTTGTTCATGATTATGCTGTGTTCACTCACTATGTAGTAATTAACAATTGTATACATAATAATAATAAAATTCCTTCCAGTAGCACCTTAGAATATCTGAAGAAGTGTGCATGTACACGAAAGCTCATACCAATAACAAACTTAGTTGGTCTCTAAGGTGCTACTGGAAGGATTTTGTTTGTTTCGACTACGGCAGACCAACACGGCTACCTACCTGTAATTGTATACATGTTCTTCTGTACAAGACATTAAAATAAAGATGGGGGTGGGGAGAGACTTGCCATAGGAATATACCTAATTTGGAATGCTATTCTGGCACCACAGTATTTCCAGTATACAGCATATATGGGGCAAAACAACATAGATTAGGTTTTATACTGAAGCATTTAAAATTGTTCTCTCATTTAATTCAGTTATTTTGCTACACTGGAATATCTGAGGAAGAGTTAAAAAGAGAGAGAATCTAATGGCCAGGCTTCTGCAGTTTAAATCTAATACAAATGCATGGAATTGGTCTTTCTGAAAGTATTTCTGAAACAATGCTGCACAGAGTTATCATGCCATTGACTGGAATGTAAGAAAGAGCTAACTAGTACAATTCCCTGGTTGAGAAGCATTCCACATTTAATGATTTTATAAAAGGCATCTAACATTCTGCATTAAAAATAAATTCTGCAAACTTCTAGTCTTTTCTCATCTAGTTGCAAAATAGATGTCCTGGCTGATTCAGGATGTATTTGGCAGAGATGTCTGGAGAAAAATATGCCTATTACTATACATAGTAGAGTATTTTAGAAGGTAGATCGGGTGAGGAGGAAGAAATAATAATATTCAGAAGGGTAAAATTTCTGTCTTAAATACAATATAATCTTTCTATGTCTTATTTTTTTAATAAACAAATGCTGTAACTTGAGAATTTATTAGGAATAGACCTAGAAATGTGTTCATTGCAAAACCAGCTCTGAGGTTCTCAAACTCTGCATATACTAGTACTAGTTGCTTAGCTTTTGTGCATTGTAATCAGTTATGCCGAATTCTAAATTTAACAGTACACTTTAAACAAATGCAAATAGTATTTGTGTTTCAAAACATAAGCTAATAACAAGCACACGTTAAACAATTAATAGTGTAAATGATTGTATACATAACCATTTTCATCAGCGGAGTTTCAAGGGCAGTCATTTTTTAAAAATAGGTGTGACAGTTTTCTAATTTGTGTACTACATGCTTTCAGAAGAGCTGAGTAACTGGCAACCAAGCATAGACAACTGCACAGTGCTTGATAAAGGCTCTTGTGTGGGTTAGGTTAGTATAAGTTTTACCTAATGTCTCATTCTTTGTGTTGAGTTGGCAACATGCCGATTTGGTTTCACACCAGTGAGCATGCTTATTAAAAGCAGTTCACCTTTGTACCTTATAGGCATTCACCTTATTTATGGCAACACTTTTTACTTCTGGTTTCTTGCCAAAAGTTTTTCACTGTTCTAAACTGATTGGTTGATGTCAGAACAATAGTGCCTTTGTGCTGAAGGATATTGCTTAAAAGAATTTATTCAAGGGTTGTTGAGAGGCTAAACAGTCATGCTGCCTGACTAAGTTTATAAAGCTCAGACTTTATTATTTCCCATTTTTTGCATTTATTTATCTCAAAACTAGTGTTAGAATTGCCATGCCATAAACTCCTTATTGTATTCACCTATTCAAAACAAGTTATAGTTCTTTGCCTGACGTAGCAGTTACATTGCCTTTATTTAGAATGTGTCGTCATACATCAGTGGATCTATTCACATGTCACATTGGGTCATAGTTAGTCCAAGACAAACCATGTCTTACCCTGAATGAGCAGCATACTGGTACATGCTGCTCAAGTTGTCCCTGCCCCACTGCTACCTTTGCCAAGTAAGAAAGAAAAAACAAATCAGTATACCTGAAGGAACATCTTCACCCCCATCATTCAGCCCGGACACTGAGGTCCAGCTCTGAGGGCCTTCTGGTGGTTCCCTCACTGCGAGAAATGAGGTTACAGGGAACCAGGCAGAGGGTCTTCTCGGTAGTGGCACCCGCCCTGTGGAACGCCCTACCATCAGATGTCAAGGAAATAAACAACTATCTGACTTTTAGTAGACATCTGAAGGCAACCCTGTTTATGGAAGTTTTTAATATTCTGTTGGGAGCCGCCCAGAATTGCTGGGGAAACCCAGCCAGATGGGTGGGGGTATATTATTATTATTATTATTATTATTATTATTATTATTATTATTTATTAGCACTAAGCCAAGAACAAACCTTAGCTTCCACTCACTGTTTAGAAACAGACCATGAGTACTGGCTCACGTGCAGCACTAAAGCAACATTCTGATTTGCTTCTTCCTGGTTCAGTAAGGGGAGGAGTGGGATGAGCCTGATTTGAGCTATGTGCACATACCAATACATTTTTTCATGGTAAGCCATAATTTCTTTCAAGCTATGACTCAGAATGACATGCGAACTATGCCAATGAGTTTCGAAAGGTAGACCTGGAAAAACAGGAAACATTTATTTGAAAGGAAGTACTGGTAATGCAGAAAGGAGTTGCTGATAAAAGGTTAAAACACAACCTGCTATAATAGTTTCCACAAGAGGTTGTGAGAACTTTATTTTGCACATTCTTCAACTGCTTATTTTCTGTAAGAGTAACTGTTGCTCAGCTAGTATATTTTCTTCATAAAAGGCTTTTTATGTCCAAGACTATCAAAGTGTTTATCAATAGACTTCCTTCAGCTATGTAGGTATTACATTGCTCCAATTCTGTTTAGAAACATGGAATATACACCCAGATAAGCTGCATAACGTAGGTATCTTGGTCTCTGTTTCCAGTGCTGCACAGCATTTTAAAAATTATTTCCTGACAAGGGCATTGTCCTTTCAAAATGAAGCACCACGTCTGCATCTTTTTGGGAATATGAAAATCTCAGTGTATACATGAGTTGCTGTTCCTTAATTCTTAAACTAAAACCTGAATAAAAGAAGGTTTTAAAGCAGAAGAATCTTTGACTTTATTGAATTTAACATTTTAGTTACATTGCTATTGAAGGGAAAACTGCTACTCATAAAGACAAACAGTAAATGAACTTTCAACTTGGACTGAAGTTGAAGACTGGGGAAATTGTGTTCATAACAGCATATTTAACTTTAACCTGGGTTAAAAATTCTCTTACTGGTGCTATCTTGGAATAAGTGCATTTCATTCATTTCTTGGTTTCAGGTACATGCACTACTTATTCCTCAAGTAAATATTCTTTCAGCTCAACTATTGAGGGATGTACTTGGAGATTCTTTCTAATATAGGAGTTGATAGTATTTGCATAACTTCACATTTCCAGATTAATTTTATTTATTTATTTTATTCCCATACTTGTTTACATCTTAGGCCTTTCCTGGGTGTACCCTGATCCTCAGGAGTGGTTTGGGGGCATACAGGGTATTGGAGGGGGGCATGGACTTCCTTATGTTGAATACAACCCATTGTGTTTTGTTAGTATAATTTGCTGACTTCTGTCTACCCAAATTCATTCTTGACTTTTTCTTTTCCAGCCCTCATAAGCTATTGCCCTCCCTCACACCTTTCTTCAGTGCAAGAAGATGGTTGCTAGGGATCTAATTTCTAATACATCTGAGATGCTGTCTAATGTCAATTAACATCATTTTGCATTGCTGGTTCTCAAGGAAAGCAGTGCCATTTCCTTACATACTGCCTAATTCTTAGGTGGTCAGTTCTAGGTGAAATGTTCAAGATACCCCAGCCCTTGTGCCCCCAACCCCCTTTCAGGTGGTAGTTGTACCTGGTGTGACAAAGCAATTCAGAAGGAGAAGGCAGACAGTTTTTTCAGAGATGTAGGCATGCTGAAGCTTAGAACTTAAGTTACTGCAGAAGCAGATGGTTTTTTTGTTTTTACTATTCCCTTCCTTTTATAGCTTCCCTAACTAGGAACCTTCCAAAACTGTGGAAGATGGCATATTGTGGGTGGGGGGCTACAAGGGGAAAGAGGACTAAGTGAAAATCACATCATTGCACCAGCAGTATCCTCTGATGGATTGTAAGACAACTCAGGATTCAAGCCTATCTCTCTGCCCACCCTGCAAGCTTAAAGTTTAATCATAGAAACATATCTGGTTGTAGTCGTGTCCGACTCTTCGTGACCCCATGGACCAGAGCATGCCAGACACTTCTGTCTTCCACTGCCTCCTGCAGTTTGGTCAAACTCATGCTGGTAGCTTTGAGAACACTGTCCAACCATCTCGTCCTCTGTCGTCCCCTTCTCCTTGTGCCCTCCGTCTTTCCCAACATCAGGGTCTTTTCCAGGGAGTCTTCTTTTCTCATGAGGTGGCCAAAGTATTGGAGCCTCAGCTTCAGGATCTGTCCTTCTCTCACGGATGATTTCCTTAAGAATGGAGAGGTTTGATCTTCTTGCAGTCCATGGGACTCTCAAGAGTCTCCTCCAGCACCATAATTCAAAAACATCAATTCTTTGGCGATCAGCCTTCTTTATGGTCCAGCTCTCACTTCCATATATCACTACTGGGAAAACCATAGCTTTAACTATACGGACCTTTGTTGGCAAGGTGATGTGTCTGCTTTTTAAGATGCTGTCTAGGTTTGTCATTGTACTAACCTGATCTTTAAAAATAATGATGAGTACAGCACTTTTATATGTGAACCAACTGCTAATTATACTCACAAAACTAGTAAAATAAATAATAATAATAATAATAATAATATATTTATTCCCCAGCCACTCTGGGCAGCTCCCAACAGAATATTAAAAATGCGATAAAACATCAAACATTAAAAACTTCCCTAAACAGGGCTGCCTTCAGATGTTTTCTAAAAGTCAGATACAGTAGTTATTTCCTTGACTTCCCTCTGCCTGGTTCCGTATACAGTAATGTCACTTACCTCAGTGAGGGAACCGCTAGAAGGCCTCTCGGAGCTGGACCTCAGTGTCCGGGCTGGACGAGGGGGGTGGAGATGCTCCTTCAGGTATACTGGGCCGAGGCCGTTTAGGGCTTTAAAGGTCAGCACCAACACTTTGAATTGTGCTCGGAAATGTTAGTTTTCTGTTTCCCCCAAGCACTGGTAAAAACAAACAGGAAATAGGATAAGCATACCTCTAAGAAGAGATACTTTCTAGCAACAGATGTGTTGTGCTGTTGGCAATGCTTTTGTGTGATGGTGGCTGTGAGAGTCATACTAGTCCATTTGTAGTATCAGTTACCCAGGAATCTGCCCAGTTCCCATATTGGGTGACATGTCGTGGCACATGAGATTTCTCAGTTCTCTCCTCCCCCCTCCCACCTCACGTGCGCCCAATCTCCTCCAGAGGGTCTCCCAACTCTCTTTTTCCAGGACACGTCCTCTTTTTCATGGGGAGAGTCGTCATAGCAATCCACAGTTAAAATTAAAAGTCAGCAAATGTGTCCTCCTTTTTGCTCTTCAAACTATGGCAACCCTAGAATACCCTTCCTGTCTAGCATTTGGATCCTGAGTCTTTGAATGTGTTAGTACTTGACAGTGTATTTGATTTCACACATGGCCTAGAACTAGGACTAGGTACTGCTACTAATTATACAATTGAATGCATAACACATACCTTTTAAATATTAAAATCCCTAGCACACGCAAGCTGGAAAGTTATTCAACACTAGTACCTAATCCACCATTCCATTGTCTGTGTTCCCCTTAATGTAACATCTAGCTATATAATGGTCTTCACTTAGAATTGCCATAAGATCTGTGCATAATTGCAGTTTAAAATAAACTTCAGGTTGCAGTACTATACACTTACCTGGGAGTAAGTCCCATCAAACTCGAAGAGAAGCACTTCTGAATTCACTTGTGTAGAATTGCATTGTTAGTGTATCAGATATAATTAGCATTGGTATCTTGTGCTAAAGCCATAAGAAACATTTTTTTCCGTAACAGTAGTTTTCAAAAAGGCCAGTAATAGCAGACAAGGTTGCATGAAGAACTGTTTTCCTGCCACTGCTGGGCTTCCCCTGCAATCTGTAGCCACAAAGTAGGGTGTGTTCTGAGTATATGCAGAAAAGCAGGTGAGACCCATTGAGTCATATAAATGCCCCTCATGAACTGAGTGTGCAACTTTAAAGCATGATCCAAAATACAACTTTCTAAGAGTTGAAACTGATGGGATTCATATTGATGTCCTGTGGCATATGGGAAAGGACCTTGATTAATTTTGGGAGCAAATATATAATCAAATCATTGGATGAAGTATTCAGTTGAGGTTGTATTCAGCTAAGATTTACTTTGAGTAGACATTTTGAAATTAATGAAGCTAACTTGGTCGTTCATTAATTTCACTAGGCCTACTCTGAGTAAAACTTGATTTAATATTACCCTTGGTCCTTAGGGACTGTATGCTAAGCAGATGTGGTACTACTACCGGAAATACGAAGAAACGACTTATAATCATCTCAGTTATAATCAATTCTAATACTTTATTACAGGCATCCCCAAACCCGGCCCTCCAGCTAACAGGACCAGTGGTCAGGGATGATGGGAATTGTAGTCCCAAAACAGCTGAAGGACCGAGTTTGGGGGTGTCTGCTTTATTATAATTAATTTTCTTAATTAAAAATCAGTATCTAAATTCAATTAAGCAGTGGATTAAGGCTTATCTGTCTCTCCTTAAAGCACCTTTTGCTATAATAACTGAATGAAATCCATGGAAAAACATTCTTCAGCTTGAGTTGCAAGGTGTTGGTAGGACTAGTTTGCTGTTAAACCACTTGTTAGAAGTGTCTTCCAATGTTTAAATACGTTACTTATTTAGTCTGTTGCCAGCCATTTTACCTACTCTTGATGAGGGGCAAGGAAGGGAGCTTGTGGAATGGTATTTGTTTTCAGGAGATTAAAACCAGGTCATTTGGCCACGATCCCAATATTTGGCAGCACTAGGTCCACTGGCTGTTTGCCTTTCCTCATTCTTTTTATTCTAATATTCTGAAACTCAAGAAGAAGAAAAATGTAACCTAGAATTACACATTGACTAAAGAATTGCAAGTGCATACCTTAAAAGTCATTGACAGTTCTTTGGAAAGCTCTGAGTTTTGCTCTTCTAGTGCTAACTTCTTTGCTAAAAGTCCTAGAGCTAAGGATGTTCCGGTTGAGAACCATGTGTCACATTTAGTGGGCTATATAAAATAAAGCGCAATACAGACATGTGCAGCTACCTTGTTCCTTGAATCCCTTTTTTCTTGGACTAGGCCAGCCTGTGTAAGTTCCATTTAGCAGATCAGGAGCAAAACATTACAGAATGCTGAGAACTATTTATTTAGGAGCTCTTATGGCTAGTGCCATATATGCTGACTGGGCTTATTTTGTACTCCAAAAATTAACATGTACTCCCCCCCTTTTCTCTTCCCATTTGTACAGAAGATGCAGACTACAGTGCCTTTGGGATGGATACCATAACAAGGAAGAAAAATGTCTTGACAAACGTGTTGCGTCCAGATAACCATAGAAAAAAGCCTCACATTGTCATTAGCATGCCGCAAGACTTCAGACCAGTATCTTCTATTATAGATGTAGACATACTTCCAGAAACCCATCGCAGAGTGCGGCTTTATAAATATGGAACGGACAAGCCTCTAGGATTTTATATACGAGATGGCTCTAGTGTCAGAGTAACGCCTCATGGGTTAGAGAAAGTACCAGGAATTTTCATATCTAGGCTTGTTCCTGGTGGACTAGCTCAAAGCACGGGCTTATTAGCTGTAAATGATGAAGTTCTGGAAGTAAACGGTATAGAAGTTTCAGGTAAAAGCCTTGATCAGGTTACAGATATGATGATTGCTAACAGCCGAAACTTAATAATTACTGTGAGACCAGCGAATCAGAGAAACAATGTTGTTAGGAATAGCCGGACTTCTGGTAGCTCAGGACAGTCTACAGATACCAGCCTTCCAAGTTACACTCCACATACTGTGCCCATATACCACCCTGAAGAAGAGGAAGACAGTGATGAAGATGATATTATTATTGAAGATAATGGTGAGCCACAACAAATTCCAAAAGCGGCTCCTTCCAGTGACAGCATTGAGTCACTGACACAAACTGAAACCAATCATGAATCTGTGCAGAATGGTTTAATTTCTTCCAGAGAAGTAAACTTGTATTGTTCAACTGGCAGCATTAACATGGAGTATGAAATCCAGGACTCAGACCCAAAGACTTTAGAAGAAGATGGGACAATCATAACATTGTGAAACTACAACAGCTTATTTGCTAAAAAGGCCATAAGAATTTTTTTACTTGGCTGTATTCATGCAGGACGTACCTCTCAACTACCATACTCCAATGACTTTTGATATCTGCATAACGGATTAGAGCACTCTGCTGTGATTCACAGGAACTGCTCCATTTTGATACCCAGCTGAGAAGCAAGTGTTTTTGGAACACATACTGAGTGGTTTTGTGGTTCAAGGCAGGACAGCATTTCCATGACCTAAAATTGTGCAGGTCTATTTTTCAGAATGTCAGTGTCTAGAAGGAGCCCCACCGTTTAGTTTATTGTCCTGTGATCTGGTTCCATGTATTGTTCATGGAACATGTTTTAATTGTGGATTTGAGTATTGTCATATGAGAACCAGCCTGAACCATTTTTCAACACAATGTTAATAAAATAACCAAACATAAACTTCAACAATTTTTGGCCTTCTTACTCCATACTCCAGACATGTGAAATTTAAATAATCTGGAATGTTAATTATCGGTACAATCCTATTCATATTTACTCAGAAGTAAGCTCCATTGAGTTGAACTCTGCTTACTACAGGCAAGTCGGTATTGGATTGCATTCAATGAGTTGATTGACTTCAGTTGTTCTAAAATTTCTTGAAGCAGTTCACAAAATCAGAAGGGAGAGAACTGTCCATTGGATTTATTGATTTGATAGTTGTGAAGTGTAACTTTTAAAAAAAAAAACTTTTAAACTGTTTTGTGATCTACTACTGGTGTTGGAGGGATAAATCACTGCTATTTTGTATGGATTGGATAGCTCACTAAAAAACAAGAAGTTATTTGTCTGATCATATCATATATAGATGTGTACATTTACCCTTTTTATGAGAAAAACTGTGATCTTGAAATATTATGATGCAATCAAGCTCCACAAAAACCAATTGGATTTTCCATTTACGTCAGTGGGAGTTGTACTGTACCCATAATGTGAAAGACTTAAAATATTGTTCCTTAATTAGTTCTCTTGGTTCATGGCATCCGCCACTGCTGTAACTGTTATGGAATGAATATAAAAATGCAAGTGCTAATGACAGATTTGGCTAACATAAATCTTACTGCTTATGAAGGTTCTTTTGTAGTGGAACAGTTCCCAAAAGGAGGCAAATTATATAACCACAAATAAAGCAGTTTAGAACATTGGTTTTAGTTACTTTCCCCTTGACAAAATGCTTTCTATTTATAGAATTCTAAGCAAAAGGCATCCTAATATTTATCCTTTGGGCATGTGCTTATTCCTTTTTCTTCACATAATTATGACTGAAGTACAGTCCACTTGAAGAGGGTTCCACAAATAGATAATGTGTGCAATCAGGTAGCCATTTTCATGGATGCATATGTTTGGTACGACTATGGATCTTACCGTGGTTCATTATATGGTAGATAAGGTGTAAAATGAACTTTTCACTTACACAGAAGCATGGAAACCAAAACATTAGTGAAAGAGTTGAATGTTAATTTATTGTGGAAACACACATAGGGTTGTTGTGCTGCTTAACACATTCAGTTTGATTTTTTGATACTTGTACTGCAATCATGTGCATGAACACTTTGGATATATTAGTGCAATTACAAACTTAAGAAAATATTTTATTAAACTGTGTTTAAATTTTACTCCTTATGATACTAGCCTCAATCAGGTAGCTTGTTTTACAGGATGGAGTGTGTTCTTTAAAAAGCATATATATCTATACATATCCTTGTAATGCATAAAATAATCTTGGCTTGAATTAATGTAATTATACCTAATAAAATTAAACATTGGGGGATGGGGGAAATCAATGAACACTAGAGAGGATAAGCAAAAGGCCCAGTGTGTTTTGCTATTAAAATGACAGGCTGCACTGCATTTAATTGCAAAGTAATGCAGTTGCCATGATGGTTTATCACTACCTTATTTTTACTAAGCCTTTTAAAATCAATTTGAAACAGAATAATAGTACATTTTAATTATATATATATATATATATAAAACGGTACTGGGCTTCAGTATAAGTGAAACTATTAGACTTTCATATACTACCTCTTAAACTTTGACAGCTAGCATCTTGTGGGGGACAAGGTCGGTCTGCTAGATGAAGACATGAAGGCTTGGTGTATGTACAATTTTTACTTTAAAACCCAGAGATACTTAAAATTTTACTACAAGTTCTAATATGCTGTTTGCTCTGTATGTGTGTGTATATATACACGAACATACATAAATGCATTCTCAATTTTTGATTGAATCTTACAATGAATGTGTATGGACAACTTCACAGAATCAAAATTCTTTTGAGGTTTGTATTGATATACAAAAATTAAAAGAATTTTTAAAAAAAAATAATCAGCAATTTAAAGACTGATTTGCCTTTTAAGTGCACCTTATCTGAAAGAGAGCAGAATATGGCTAGTAGTACAGTTTTCTGGAACTATTTTATAGTTTCTGATGAAGTCAAGCTAAACTGTGAAATCTCTGTTCTTCCACAGCTATGTTATTTAGGATGTTGTTGTGTACTTTTGTGACTTGTGTGTTTTCTAATTAAAACCTTTATGCAAGATGATTTTTACATGAACATGTATAATATGTCAAATGTCAGTATTTTTCTTACCACTTTAATGTATGATGTACGTCAATACCACTAAATGGACTTTGATTTTACAAAAATCAAATTGGCATAAGTTGTATGTTAGTCATATTTTTACAGACTCAATAATAAAAAACTGTAACTATTGCTAATTTTAAACTTAGATGCCTTCAAGAATGCTTTATTACTTAAGAGATCTCAAAAGTTACTTCCTGATCTTCCCCAGGTCAATATAGCATTTCATTGGAGCTATCCCAGATATTGCTAAAGCACAGAGCTTATCCTTCCACAATCAGGCCAATCACTAGAAAAAGGAAGGACCAGGATCACATTACCTTTTCCTAGGGTATTCTGAAAGGGCTAAAAACAATCGCTCATCTCCTCAATCAAAATGACCACCATAGTTTCTGTTGTAGAAGTCACTTCAAAACTAGTCTATTTATATTACATATGTATCCCACTTTTGTTCCATAGCACCAACATGTGGTCTCTCATCCAAGGAGTGATCAAACCCTAACTTTAAGTTTTCTAGCATAAATTTTCAGCATTCTGAAAAGAAATGAATATGGAACAGTTAAATGTTTCATTATTTCATTTTGGACACCTCAGTTCATAAAGAGGGGACAGCATGAAAGGCAGGTTTGGAAAGGTCAGTTAATCATGCTGGATTTTAGAGATGGAGTTTATGTCCTTAATTTGTAAAAACATAATTATTCTTCATAGGTATTCATAAGTTCCCTTAGCATATGATCAGAAAGTTAAAATGGTAAGGCACAGACCAGGTCTTCAGGAGTGAATAAAAGTTTCAATCTAAAATGAAAATTCAATGCATTGCGAAACCTTGTTACCTCAGGTTTCACCAATTAATTGGCATTGGGTGTGTTCACTCCTACATAAGAAGTGTTTCAAATTGTAAGATCATGGCTATGATCCACAAAGCCAGTTAGACTAGAGTATTTTGCATTTAAATCCAATTTAATATTAAATGTGGGTGAAGTTTGATGAAATAATAAATGAACAGGCACTAAGGTTTCTGCTATAAAACATGAAAGACAATTATGACTCCAGTTGTATAATTTAATTTCTCATGCTTTTAGAGAAGAAACTTGACACAAGTACTTGCCTGTTCCATGGGATTTGAAAACCCAACCCTTTTTAGCATTTATGTGCAAAATTAAACTGTGTGCCACTTTCTGTGACTTCAGTTGGATCTGCCGCTTAAATGCTGTAAATTATCTTATGACTGCATTTTAAGTTGGTGACTTGCGGGTTTTGACAGAGGAGATAAGGCTGTCCCCCTTTTTCCCTTTATCACTGGCATGGCAGGTACACATTACACTGGCCTTTACAACTTATGCCTCAAAGCCCAGAGAATGTCTTACAAAGAGCAGAAAGAATAGTGCAGAGTAGTGCAGAAAACCTTGCTGAAATATACTAAGTGTGATGGAAACAGTGGTATATTAACACCAGCTCCCACTGGATGCACCTCTATAGTGCAAACCTAAGTTTAATAGTCTATTATTTCCTAAAAGTGTACTGTATTGAGGATTATAGTTTTGTGAGGATGTTTGAATTCTCTGCTAGCATTTCCTAGCGCCTGTTGGAGCTCCAAGATCCAGGGTACACTGGCAAACAGTAACAACAAAAACCAATTTGAGCTTGTGGTGTATATAGTGAATAAATTTGATTTAAATCTAAGTACACCCTGAGTTGTGTGGTCAGAACCTCAGTCAGTGCAAAGGTGGAAGTCATGGGATAAGAGGAGTTCCTTTGCTCTTTTGAAAAATGCCAACATTGTAATGCTTTTACTGATGCAAGTGTGTTTGGCATATTGAGCACAGTTCTGGCTGCTGTGTCTCAAAAAACATATTACAGAGCTAAAAAAGATGCAGAAAAGATCATCAAAACAGTTAAGGGGCTGGAGCAGTATGGAAAACATTTCATCCTCCAGATGTTGATGAACTACAGCTATCTCCCATCAGTCCCAGCAGGCATAGCCAATGGCCAGGGATGATGGTAATTGTAGTTCAACAACAGCTGGAGGGCCAAAGTCCACTCCATCACCTGGATGAGAATAACTCCGCTATGAGAAAGATATTTACAGTATTTACCCAGGGCTTTTTAGTTTTGAAAAGTGGAAAGGAAGAAGTTGTTGGATTGGTAAAGATGGATAGTGTGGAGTGTTTCTCTTTTTTTCTCGTACTGTATCCAGTACGCTACATAGCCAGTGTAGCTGAATGGTGGTGAGAGACAGACAAGAAAAAGTACTTCACATTGCATATAATTAAGCGATGGACTTTACTGCTGCAAGATATGATGGCTACATAAATTTAGACGGATTTAAAAGATAAGGCAAATTCATGCAGATAAGGATACCAATGCCTGCTATTCACAAAGCAGCCTTCCATAGCCTCATGCTATCCAGACCCTTTGTACTATATCTGGGGCCCCCAAAGGGGCACCTATGGGCACTATGGTACCCCCCCAGCGTGCCAAGGCCCCTGCACCCCCCTTTTAAAAATTAAGGGTGCTTGGATTTTGTATGGATCGGTAGGCTTGCATTCTTCCTCACGTTTGATTTTGGGGTGCATGTAGGTGTTTTGCATGTTTTAGGGGGCAGGTCTGACCCATCAGAGCTTCTCTGTGAAATATATATTGCAGTTAGTGCCTGCAACAGCTTACTGGGTTTTCAAAAATACCCTCAGGCACTACCTGAAACATTGCTAGTGTTGCCTTGGATCCCTAAAATGATATAGAAACTGTTTCCTCCTTTGGTGAAGCCAGTTCTGCATGACTGATAGTTGCATACACAACTTGTGTAACAAATGGTGTGTACCTTGCACCCATTGCTTATTTTTCACATGAGAGCTGGGTGGCCTTTCACCTGCACTGCACAATGACTTGATCCTCAGGTTTTTCTCTTTGAGCTAATCAGATAGCTGGTGTTCTGCAATCTTGGTTGTGTTTACATACGTGGTTTTACTCACAGCTGAAATTCCTGGAGCCTTGGAAGAGTAAAGTATGCAGGAATACAATGAAATGTGGGGACATGAATGTGTCAACGAGGGTGGGGGGAAACTGTCAAACTTGAAACCAGGGAAGTTTTTACATAGCGGGGATTACCCAGTCTCTTCCCACTGATTACTTTTTTGGTAGGAAAGCTACCTTTCTACTGAGATAGATGCTGTTGCTGCCTTTTAAATCATGGTTTAGGCTGATTTTTTTTATTACAGTGATTTATCATGCAACATTTTCTTTTTGAAACATATGTAAAATGTATTTCTATAAAATAAGCAAATAGTATTTGTTTGGACCCTAGGTAAAAAGAGAACGCAACCAAGTGTAAGCAAAGACTCTTATATGGTTGGTTGTTTCCTGTTATAATCTAGTCAATATAGCATTGTGTAAAACAGGAAGAGGAAAAAGTGGAAGCATTTATTTCTTACATTTCTATTCCTCTTTCCTCCAAGAAGCTCAAGGCAGTGTATATTGTTCTCTCTCTTGCCTCTGATGGGTTGCAATTCAGCCCAATATGACTTATATTTAAATCTCACTTAACTCTGGGCAGGACTGCAAACATGAACACCTTACGCTGACATTATGTCACTGGGTTCTAACAGCTAAAGTGTAAAAACACCCTAAGTCATCTATTTTGGGCCAATTGGCAAGCAAAACAAGGTTACAAGGCAACCAGGCGTCCCATCTTCTGCTTTATCAAGCAGCTCATTCTGTTCCCTAGAGAAAAATAAATTAGCCAGGGTGGAGTAACTCCCACATTCAGTTGTCATTTAAATTGTAATGCCAATTAGGTTGGCAAACTTGCCATGGCCTGCAGGAAGCATTAATGTGTGGGAACACATTATTTATGAAAGATGTGAGTAAAATTGCAAGGAAGGGTTGTGAGTGGAGCTAGTTAGACAGAATGTGCCCCCACGGTATTTTGTATTTGCCGTATTTCATGTTTGCACCCAAACAAACCTTGAAAGCTGCTAGAAGTCAACAGTGAAATCTCATTCAGAATACTAGCCATCCAACCATAACTGAGGCCAGCAGTGTCGCCACCCAGCACAGAATTAAAACAGAATTGTGTGTAATATAAAATCAAATACTGAGACAATGAAAGCAACCTGTGTAAATTATGCAATACTACATAATTTGCTTGATTCTCATTATTATCCTAGTTGCGGAACGGGGTAGGGGAAGTCGTTAAATAGGGCTAACCTTAATGTGAATTTTGCTACTTTGTGTGTCACTTCTTCCATTGGTTGCCTCCAACTCATTGGTTGTCTCAAATGGCCTTATTTTCCAGCATTAAAGTGGAAGAGGTGATTAAGAGAGGATCCTTTAGGGAAGCAGATGTAGTTCAGTGGTAGGTCCCTGATTAAATTCTTGACATCTTCAGGTAGGGCTGGGGAAGGAGTCCTGTCTGCAACCTTAGAAAGCCACTGCCAGTATGTGCAGAGAGTGGGCAATGCTGAGCAAAATGGACCAATGGTCTGCCTTAATATAATAAGGCAACTTCCTATGGATTCCTATGTACTTGTGCTTATTACAGGGAAACCCAGCCATTTAATTGCATGCATGCCAATTTGATGGCCCTGCATCCTTTTTTTTTTTTTTGGCCATGCCTCCATACTACTTATAAAAGTATTGATTCAATTTGCATGGCTGCTGAATGTGATTGTTGTTGGGGTTGTCATCAAGAGTAGCCACCAAAATGTTGCCACCTGGTGGTAAAGAGAGAGATTGCACGAAGAAATGGGTGCAAAGTCTAGCTTGATGAGTACAGATGGGAGGGGATCAAGTTACATGTGTAGCTCCAGAGAATCAGGAAATGGAGGGATAGTTCAATAATACAGTGAGGGTAGATCTGTTTTGGCAGTGACACACAAAAGATGACTGGCATTGCATGTCCACAAGAAAATGCCCAATATGTTATTTCAACAGGTATGCCAATGCTCATCTGCCCAGGAGATTTATTTCAAGTGCTTTAGGCTGGTACTCTTCAGCCTTGGTATCAAGTTGTTGGAGCAGATTTTGGTGTCGCACAGGGTGCCCCTGAAATTTGAGGTGCCAGCATCCGCCACTGCCTTCACCAATAAATGGTGAAAATGCGAGGGAATTTCATCACTTACTGAGGAACTCCAACTTAGTTTCAAAATTACCAGTAAATTGTGTTTGTGTGTGTGAATTTTTTTATACATTTTCCATTAGCCACCTAACATCTGAAGGATTACTAAAAATGCCAATGAAGTATTCACTAGATTTTTGGTATTTACCACAATATTACTCATCTTAATAGCAAACTCGGTTGGTGGGCGATTCCATTGCAGCCAGAATGGCATCGCTGAGAAACGAGAGAAATATCAACATATACTAGTGGGAATATGAAATGAATATTTCATTTAATGTGGGAGAGAAACAAGATTCTATTTTCTTCCTTATGGGTTACTGTTTTTCCTCCCCTAACTCCCCAGGAGAAATAAGGAGAGGCTGAGGCTTACATGTACCCACTATGGGTAGTCTTTGGAGTTGGAAAATCGTAGGAAATTGGATACAAAGATTGAAGACCCCCAGCATGGGAGACACCCTCCCCCAGGTAATTGGTCCTATTGTTCAACTATTCTGATAATTAAGAAATTTTAGCCTCCAGTGACTTGAGTAAGGGGCCAATTAGAAATTTAAGCCTTGATTCTCTTTTTTAAAAAAAACCCATGTATTTAAGATGGCTCTTTTTTAAAACAAATCTTGCCTGCCAATGAAAATATGTTGGCAATGTCAAACTTTACGAAATTCTATAATAGATTTTGAGAAAGTTACTCTCTGTATCCCCTCATTTTGAAGAGGTTCTGCGAGGTAACGTGCCAACTTGGTTAAGTCCTGAGAATGTAATCACTTTGAAGTAAAGCAGTTTAAATCTTATCATAAGATGCCTCCCTTGTGATGCCCAATTATTTCTTAATACCCAGTAAGTAATTTGTTAGACCAAGCTATAAGGAAACAGCCAGATCTTCCTCCTCTTGCAGATGGTGAGCATGTTACTGACATGAGTGAACATTGCCAGTAATCTTTGCTTTCAAACATCAGTCAAAGAATTGAGAGAGAAAGAAATTGCCCTTTCAGAAAATGAATTCACATTCCAGGAAAGGTGCAACAACCTAAAGGTATATAATGGCAGGCTGCCATGTTGGTCCATTTGGAGTGGAGGGCGGAATCCAAAAAGTAACAGTAGGTTACTTTTATACCTTTAACAGGTCCAACAAAAATGTTACAAAGACATGGGCAAAAATTACAGTTGACCAACATTCTTCATCAGGTAGGATGAAAAGTAGAACACAACAACAGACAGAGAAAATGATGTTGCTGTGCACTGTGTAAATCTTCAGCCTGTAATAATTGAAGACGAAACTGTGTTAAACGGATTTAATTAGGTTACGGCATATCTAGTGGGGGGGGGGGGGGAAGGAACAAAAGGTGAAAGTACATTAATAATCTCAGGTTCCACCAAAGGCTACAAACTCTGCCTAATATATATATATATATATATATATATATATATATATAGCCAGCAGACAAATCTAGAGGCACATCTCAATATTTTTTAAAGTATTTATTTATTTTGCTAAAATAATATACTGTACATATCACTGTATGTCCAGACAGAGACATATACATATTCACTATCTGAACGGGTCAGCAATAAATTTATAAAATGAGTGGGGCTAAGTCTTAATGTCTATTGCTTCAATTGTGTGCAATATCTTTTGGTGACAGGTCAGTGTAAATTATGCCTGTTCTATGAACAAGTCTCCACCCACAACCATTATGTAAAGAATCTTGCTGCTGGTCCTACACTAGGGCAAGCATGGTTGATGTTGGAGTGTGTAAAATTTTTTCTGGGAATACCTTCATGCTCCTTAAGACTTTCAGTGTCTGCTATCTGCATAAAGGGACATTTTTGCATTTGGCCAGTTGTGTTTGCCTGTTGTTCAGGTTGTGTCTACTGTTTCAGTGCACACAGGCTTCTGCCTTTAAATACTGACACATATCATTTAGGATGTAATCCTGTTTCCAAATATTTGGAAGTAAGTTTCACTGAACTCCGTGGGCAATCTTTGAGCAAGCATGCAAAGCATCATGTTGCATGTAAAGGCTGCATTCTTATTCTTCTCTACAGCAGTTACAGCTTCCCCATCACTGTATGGAGGGAAAGCTCCACCTGCTGTGTTCTTGTCTGTCTTGCAGCTACCAAAGGAACACAACAAAAAGCTGTTGGGTTAAACAAACAAACAAATCCAATAACTCTAGAACAAACAGGATGGGGTGGGAGGCAGGAAATGTAACCTGGGCTAGGAAACCCATCCCATAATAAACTCCTGAAAGTATCCTCAATCACCTGAAAAGAGTTTTTCATTATTTATTTTTAATATTTTAAATTCTTAACCACCCGAAGGTGTCTTGGCAGAAAGGTAGCATACAAACGCAACAGTTAAATGAACAAAGGAGCAGATAATCAGGTGTGCAGTTACTTTACCCACAGAAAATATTTGAAATATTTCAAAAAATGTTCATTTTTGTTCTCACCAAAATAGGCAGTCTCCACAACATAACACCAAACAACCTAAGTACACTTCCCCGGAAGTCCCTTCAAACTTGGCAGAGCTTATGCCTGAATAGCCACGCATTTAAAGATTGCATTGCAATTGGTCAACAGCCAGACATTTGTGCAATGATATAAAGAAGGAGGGACGAGGGTGGTGTTGTGGGTTAAACCACAGAGCCTAGGACTTGTTGATCAGAAGGTCGGTGGTTCAAATCCCTGCGACAGGGCGAGCTCCCGTTGCTCGGTCCCTGCTCCTGCCAACCTAGCAGTTCGAAAGCACATCAAAGTGCAAGTAGATAAATAGGTACTGCTCTGGCGGGAAGGTAAAAGGCGTTCCTGTGCGCTGCTCTTGTTCGCCAGAAGCGGCTTAGTCATGCTGGCCAAGACCCAGAAGCTGTACGCCGGCTCCCTCGGCCAATAAAGCGAGATGAGCACCACAACCCCAGTCGGCCACGACTGGACGTAATGGTCAAGGGTCCCTTTATAGAGAAGGCAGGCAGTGCATTCTGACTCTGCTCAACTGCAATGGTCTAATTTTATCAAATGATCTTTTGATATGATGAGCAATTGGTTATTGCATGGGTTAGGTAATTACTGCTTGATGCGAAACAGGGAGTGCTGCCCTGTCCTGCCACAGCATCCCTTACCCCCTTAGCTTGTGTGCTGGTGGTGCAATATCTGTGTGGACAGTTCCCTGCCAGGCGCTGCCTTGGGTCAGCTCAGTCGGGTAGAGCGTGAGACTCTTAATCTCAGGGTCGCAGGTTCGAGACCAACGTTGGCCAAAAGATTCTTGCATTGCAGGGGGTTGGACTAGATGACCCTCGGTGTCCCTTCCGAGTCTGCGAACCTGTGCTTCCTCCGCCCGAGGTGGCGGCTTCACCCTGGCCCCGACGGGAGCCGTCTTCCAACGGCAACTGGAGAGACACAGGTTCCCCACCCCTGCGAGGGGGAAGAGGCAAAATCGAGGGTGATGCGGGGCGCCGCCGCCTCTCCCCCCTTTGGGCGGGAGGAGCAGCACTTCCGCGCCGCCGCCGCCGCCAGGGGGCGCCCCGAGCTCGCCCCGCGGCCCCAGGAAAAAGGGAGCCGCTTCGGATCCGGCCGACGGCGCTTGGCTGCGGCGGGATTCCCAAGCCGGGGCTGGAGAAGCCGTTACCCGCGGCCTCCGGGCCCAGTCGACTGTGGGCAGCGGCGGCCGCCATGAGCGCCGCGGCGGCCTCGGAGCGGGGGGAAGCCTCGGCCTCGTCGACGACCTTGTCCCCCTCAGCTGAGGCGGGAGGCGGCCACGGGGAGCCCCAGCTGAGGGCGGCAGAAGAGGAGCGCGAGGCTCGGCAGTTCGCCCTCTACCTGGCCCCTGAGGCGGGGCGAGAGGGGCGCGAGGAGGTGCGTGGGCGGTTAACGGCCGCGGCTGAGGGGTCATCCGCGGAGGGGGGGAGGGGAAGCGTTGCTTAGCTACGGTGGTGGGAAGGACAGGTGGGCGTGGCGGCGGAGGTGGGGTTCCCGCCAAAATATTTTTTTGGGGGGGTTGGGGTTGGATTCATTTGTCTCTGGGGGATGTGGGGGGACTTTGAAAGCCACGCTGCGAGGGGGTGACGCGTGTCTCGGGCGTGTATACGTTCACACAGACACACACAATAGATGCCAGGCTTCGTTTAGTATCCTATCATTTTGTGTGTGTGTGTGTGTACACGTGTACATACACACACATATATTTAGATACAAACACACACAATAGAATACTAAACCAACAGTAAGAGCCATTTGGGATGGACTCCCACGAGAGGCGGTGGACTCTCCATCCTTGGAGGCTTTTATGCAGAGGCCTCTGTCAGGGAGGTTTTGGTTGCGATTCCTGCATTGCAGGGGGTTGGACTAGATGACCCTGGGGTCCCTTTCAGCTCTACCCTTCTGCCATTCTATAATTCGAAGCTAAGCCATAACAAAGGGAAGCAGGGGGTGGGCGTGGAGGTGGGGATCCATTCAGAGTTGAGGCACAAATTCGGGTCTTATTTTCCTGGCAGCCAGTGCAAATAGAGAAAATACGCAAGGTATCATTATTTCCCTTGTCCCGCAACAGTATTCTTTTTTGTGCCTGCCGAAGACATTCTTATTTAGACAAGCCTACGCAGATATTTAGAAAGTTTGTATGAGTTTTAGTTCATTTTAATCTATTCTGGTATTAACTTTCTGTATGTTTTTAATTAGGGTTGCAATATTTTAGGTGATCGTTTTATTGTGCTATCTTTTTTGTAAGCTGCTTTGAGGTTTCTTCTACAACAATCAAGTAGTATATAAGATGTTATTAAATAAATAAACAAATAAGTACACTCAACTCCCACTTGATGGGACAACTTTTCCTGATTTTTTAATAAGAATCTTTATATAAAGGAATGTAGTCAATAACATTTTATATAACTGTCTTAAACCCACTCACAAACCCTGTTCCAAACCCTGGAACCCTGTTATAGCAGCTGTTCCAAACCCTATAACCCTGTTATAGCAGCTGTCCAGAAAGGCGGTCTTAATTCTGTAAAAGCAATTCTGTGTGGAGCCAAACTAATTAACTTGAGCTAGTTGGCTTTCTGATGGTCTGTCTTAATACATGAATGCAACCTGGAAAATAATTGAGGAATGGTTAGTTAGCATTATCAAGCAAAGAAGTTCTGCTATACACAAACTTATTTGACACTGCTATTCTTAGAAGAGCAGATAAATAAACTGGGAGCATGTGTGATTGGTGAAGGCAGCCTTTATCTTTTTAAAATCAAACCACTTTATTATTTAAGATTTCTGTCCCACCTCCTCTACCAAGCTGGGCTGTCTGGGTGGCTGAAATTCAGAGAAAGCCTCAATGCGGTAAAACAAACAAACAAACAAACAAACTACTTAGTAAAACATAAACACATTTTCTTTTTTAAAAAAAGCTATGATCACCACCAAAGCTAACGGTTAGCCACCTTCCCTTCAATGTTTGTTGAAGCATAGGAAAGCTAAAGAATTCCATACGCAGAGACACATCTGCTTGCAGATGTCAGTTAATGTTATAAAAATTAATTTTATATCCTAAGGTTACAGTGCTGTGCCCGTTTATCTAGAAATAATACAAGAAGCTGCCTTATACAGAGTACAGTATAAGATGTATATAGATGCCAGGAATGGAAATTTGGACTTGCATGCAAAGTATGCTGCTGTATGCACCCAGACTTGCTTCTGTGTCAGCATGTGCATAGTTGCACTATAAAAAAAGGTTTTATTTATTTATTTAGAATGTAACTTCCAGAAGGCTCCCAAAGTGGCTTATATGCAGTCATTTAAAACAGGACGACCCCTGTTCTTATTCTTAATAGTTTTAAAGACATGACATAAAAGGAAAAGGGACAGGGAGGAAAGATGAAAATAGCAAACTCAGGTACCAGTTATTTAAATTAAATAACAGGTCTTATAAGGACAAGTTGGAATAGAAACAGTTCAAGAGCAGGAGGTATCTGTCAGTGGAGCTGAGAAAATACCAAAGTTGTACTGTCACAGGTAATACACCCTGATTCCTTTCTGTGTTGGCGTTCCATCTGCTACAGTTAGAGAACTAGGTGGGGACAGACACCACAAAGAGCAGTGCCCAGGAGTTGGCAGTGCTACCCTTGGTTTATCTGTGATATGGGGCAAGAAGAGGTAAATCAACAGTAGCAATCACTCCTTGGGGGGAGCAACTGCAGCAAATTGCTGTTGCAGATGGTGCTGCTGCTAGAGCACATCTGCGCGGTATATCTGAAGGGGTTCAAACTGCAATAGGCCAGTGGCCCAGAGATGACAGAAGTTGCAGTTCAGCAGTGTCTGGGGGGCTGTAGCTTAGCCACCCCAGATCTATTAAACCATACATAAGGAATAAGAATAAGAATACAGTGGTGCCCCGCAAGACGAATGCCTCGCAAGACGAAAAACTCGCTAGACGAAAGGGTTTTGCGTTTTTTGAGCTGCTTCGCAAGACAAATTTCCCTATGGGCTTGCTTAGCAAGACGAAAAGCAAACGTCTTGCAAGTTTGTTTCCTTTTCTTAACACCGTTAATACAGTTGCGACTTGACTTGAAGAGCAACTCATAGACCGTGGTGTGGTAGCCTTTTGTGAGGTTTTTGAAGACTTTGGTGATTTTTGAAGCTTTTCCAAAACTTCTTTTGCAGCCATTTGGTAAGTTAAACTTTTAAAACTTTTTTGGGGGTTTTGGATTTTGGGTTGGGGTGTTTGGAATTCAAGGACTTGGTGTTGGGGAGGGGTTTGCAAGAATCTGGAAGCTTGTGTGTTTTTTCTGCATTTTTATGATTTTCTGTGACCATTGGACCACTCTACTGTTTTTAAAAAAATTTCTGGATTTGAATTTCTGTGTGGTGGGTGCCTGGGGGAACAGTTGAGGAGGGGTTCTTCAGCAAGAAGGAAAGAGTGGAAGAGGAACCTTCTTCGAGTTGTCCCCCAGAATCTTAGAAAATGTACTGTACACTTTGTTGATTTTTAAATGTTTTTCTGTCATGTTTAGAAACTTAATTTATTGTTCCTTCAATTTTGAAATGCTCTTTACAGTATGTGTGACTTTAAAGAGCACTTAATATACTCTAGATGTACCAAATTTGGCTTTGTTTGGACTTTTTTTGACCATAGGAACGCATTAATTGAATTTCAGTGCATTCCTATGGGATTTCGTGCTTCGCAAGACGAAAAATTCGCTAGACGAAAAAACTCGCGGAACGAATTAATTTCGTCTTGCGAGGCACCACTGTAAAAAGAATACAGCAAAAAAAATTAGAAGGGGAAAGAGAAATCCATTAGCTTTGAAGGTTGCAAAAGATTTGGTGTTCGTTGTTTCTTTATTGTGTGTTCATTTGTCTTTCATATTGCTGTAGAATAGATATGTTAATTTGTCTGTCACCTAATAGTTATTTTTAATGCATATTTTAGCAGATTCACGTTAAATAACTACATACAGATGTCTGAAAATGTTTTGTGTGTTTAATGTACTTTGGCAAATACAAACCTTCACAGTCACTAGGAGAAAGATGAATGAATGAGCTACAGGCATACAGCGTCCCTTTCCTGTTTTTGTGATTTGCAGCAGTATTGTTGAATGTGCCCGGACTGGCCCAGGGAGAGAATAGGATGAAGGCTGTGTTGGGGTCCATGCTGCCCCCCCTCCCGCCTTCTCATTGTATCTTAAGGGTTCATTCCATGGTGGCTGCAGTGCTAAGAGTAATGTAAGTTGTACAGCTGAAGCTGTTTTGGTTTACTTGTGCCTTTTAGACCCTGCTTTTTTTTACTCTGAAGTGACCAAGTGAATCCATATCATTCCAGTACCATGGCTACTAACTACAGAGTGTACAGATCTATCTTAGTTTTTTTTTTAAAAAAAGTCTAAATGCACCTTGGTTCTGTCTGAATTGAATGTGATACAAATGTGCCTCCAGTTGGGGGAATTGCAGGGTTCGTGTGGTGCCACATACAGAGATGCTAAAGCCCTTTGTGCTACAGTTTTGGGTCTTACGTGACTGAAACGTGTCACTTGGCACAGAACTGTGCACAGTTACTAATTTTTGAATTGTGTATAATTTCCGTCCTGCCCCTGAAATTTTGTTTAATATACAGTCATACCTTAGTTTTTGAACAGTTTAGTTCTCGAAAGTTTAGGCTCCAAACGCCACAAACCTGGAAGTGAGTGTTCCGGTTTGTGAACTATTTTTGGAAGCCGAACGTCTGACAGAAGCTTCCTGCAGCCAATCAGAAGCAGCACTTAGGTTTCCAAACGTTTTGGAAGTTGAACGGACTTCTGGAACAGATTCCGTTTGACTCCCGAGGTATGACTGTATGTGTACGTCACATGTCTAATACTGCTCAAGGCAACGTACAGAACGATGCCAAGGATGTTAAAATATTATGTGTGCAGAGTCTCCTTAATGATTTAATAGTGTTCCTTTTTTAAATCCAACTCTCAGACAGGAAGGATACACAAAATCCCTATGGTAAAAGTATTGAAACATGTAACTCGGCATGTTTCCATAGGAACCAATCTCATTATATGATTGGATCTCAAGATTCTCCAGGTGTGAAGCTATAGGTTTCCTGCAATGGATTTGATGTAGATTATACTCCTTGGATTTTAATCTAAAAATACCAAGGCTCCAGTTTTTCAATAAACATTTTGCTAAAATGGAAGCTGAAAGAAACATCACATACTCCTTGCTTTTGACTTAGACATTGCTATGGGTAAAACGCTGTGAACTTGCATTAGGAACATAAGAAGCTGCCTCATACTGAGTCTGACTGTTTGTTTGCCTAGCTCAGTATTGTCTACACTGACTGGCAGCAGCCCTCTGGGATTTTAGGCAGGAGTCTTTTCCTGTCTTACCTGGAGATGCCGGGATTGAAGCAGTGACCTTCTGCTTGCAATTTCAGGGGACTCTACCACTGAGCTATGGACCTCAGTATTCATTTTGCTGTGGTTTAATCATGGTTTTGTTTCCTATACGTACATTCCGGTGTTCTTTTTCATAGAATCTATAAGCACTAGAAGTAACTGACATATCATGTAGCTGAACCTCATGCTTGCAAAAGTATACTTGCTCTATTTTAATGTCAGGAAGTGGTGAAATAATGTAGTAAGTACCTGTATAGGCTTTAGCAATGGTATGATAGTGCTGGTATGATACTACTGTAATATTATATTGTATTGTATTATTATATTATATTATATTATATTATATTATATTATATTATATTATATTATATTATATATAGCAAGCAAGCTGCTGGCACTAGCTAAAACATTAATGCAATCTCCTGCTGCTTCTGTTTTCTGATTCTCTTCTGTTTGAGATGAGTTTTTGTTTATGGGACTAAATGAGCAATGCCAAAGACAGGTGAGAACCTAAGGCCACATACCCACAGTACTTGCACATTTTGAGTACTTGTAAGATTTCCCCCCCTTTGCATTGATGACAGAATAATTTAAAATGGGTGTGGTCCCAGTTTGTGAGAGTAGTAAGTCAGTTCCTTGGTTGACAACTCTTTCTGTATTTATTCTTCCTTGAAGTGGAATTCTGTGCTTTTCAAAAGCTTGTCACCAGTAAAAGGCAGCCTAGTCTATACAGTCAGCAAGGCTGGGGCAGTGTTTTTCAACCACAACTCTGGTGTGTTGTCTCTCATCAGTTATTCTCTTCTATTCTCTCTGTTCATATTTTTGTAACGAATAACTTCTACATGCATTTGATCATTTCCTCCTCCCTCCCAATTCATTTTCCTTTTGTGCCATGCCTTTCCAGATTGTAAGACTAGGGTCAGGCTCTGTGTTTTATTCTTTTTCGCGACCTGTATGGCCACTCTGGGAGTTCTCCAGCTGAGGAGTGGAATAAAAATTATTTAAATAATAAAAATAGCATGATTTCTAGCCAGCCGGAATTAAATAAATCTTTTCATTTGTGATAGATGGTGCATGTATTTATATTCATGCAATAACCGAGTTCAAGAATAATTTTGAAACACGTTTTATTTATATTCTTCTAGCTTTAAATCTTCAGCACCTCACCAGCAACAGATAAGACCGAATAATGCTTGGTAAAGGAGATTTTAAGAATGTGTTTGGCTGTTTACATGTTTCAAACAGTTTTTAAATTAAAGTTTTCCATATTTGCACAATTGTGTTGCCATGTCTCTTTTTCTGCGCCTTTGGATGCAGCAGCTACTTTGTGCTGTGTCTCACTGCATCGTAGCCATTTTATGTTTGATATCCAGAATACGTTCTCATAAATGTGCCCATATGCCTGAGAAGGTCAGCAACCATTAAATTACAGCAATACACTCTATATGCACCTTTCCTTTAAGTTGGCTGGAAGCTGCAGCTGGTGCAGAATGCAGCAGCGAAGTTGTTCAAGGAGGAGTCCTTTCAACAACATGTAACACCACTGCTGAGAAAACAGCACTGACTTGTCAATAAGCTAGTTGGCCAAGTTTAAGGTCTTTCTCTTAGCAAATAAAGCCCCAAGCAAATTGGGATCGCCAGGATTTATATGCCTCTGTCTGGTCACTTGGATCTTTGAAATAAATGCTCTTAAGTAGTGCTGCATGCTCTTAAGTCCACACAAAAATGGCTTTTAGTGTTGTGTCGCCTGCTGTTTGAAATTTGCTCCCAGCGAATAGTAGTCAGGTGCCTACAGTATTAGCGTTTAGGTAAAGGTAAAGGGACCCCTGACCATTAGGTCCAGTCGTAACCGACTCTGGGGTTGCAGTGCTCATCTCGCTTTATTGACCGAGGGAGCCGGCGTACAGCTTCCGGGTCATGTGGCCAGCATGACTAAGCCGCTTCTGGCGAACCAGAGCAGCGCACGGAAACGCCACTTACCTTCCCGCCAGAGCGGTACCTAGTTATCTACTTGCACTTTGACGTGCTTTCGAACTGCTAGGTTGGCAGGAGCAGGGACTGAGCAACAGGAGCTCACCCCGACACAGGGATTCGAACCGCCGACCTTCTGATTGGCAAGTCCCTAGGCTCTGTGGTTTAACCCACAGGGCGTTTAGGTGCCTACTTAAAACATATTTGTTTGCCCATGCTTTCCCTAAGAGGTGATCCAGTTAAATTGAGTTATTCTTCTGATTTATTGAGTTCTTGATGTAAACTTATTAATCATTTTATATTTTTCACTGCCCATATTGGTTTCTTTTAATGTTTGGTGAGATAGAAATAATTCTATATGGAAATAATCAAAATATTTATTTGAATACTTGCACAGAGACATTATAGGAAGTACCTTCTTCAAAGAATTCCCTATGAATATTTTTTGTTTCATTGTTTTAAGATAAAGCTATTGGTTTACTAGATGGTTAAGGTGTTCTGATAGGTGTTGCCTTACACATTTAAAGACAAGCCTGCAATACCACATTGGTGGCAATGTTTCAGAACTGATTTTTCCCCCCATCAAATCCCTTTAGTCTTATAGTTTTTCATCCCCATACTATAACTATTGTGTTTTTATCCCATGGGGTTATATCTCTGTGGCAAAACCACTATATGAAATTATAAAGAGGGTTTTGATCTTGAACAGTGGGCAACCCTAATTCACTTATTCTGTATTAAATCCTTGCACTGGTTGAACAGGTTGGTTGGATACCACCCTTAGTCCGTACTGGGGCAGAAAGTTTGCTAAACTGGTCCCAGCTTGTTTAGGGCCTAATATGTCAGCAGCAAATCTTTGAACTTGGCTCGGAAGCTATTAGGCAGTCAGTATGGATCTTAATGCGGGACGCGGGAGGCGCTGTGGGTTAAACCACAGAGCCTAGGACTTGCCGATCCAAAGGTCGGCGGTTCAAATCCCCGCGACGGGGTGAGCTCCCGTTGCTCAGTCCCTGCTCCTGCCAACCTAGCAGTTTGAAAGCATGTCAAAGTGCAAGTAGATAAATAGGTACCGCTCCGGCGGGAAGGTAAACGGCGTTTCCGTGCACTGCTCTGGTTTGCCAGAAGCGGCTTAGTCATGCTGGCCACATGACCCAGAAGCTTTACGCCGGCTCCCTTGGCCAATAAAGTGAGATGAGCGCCACAACTCCAGAGTCCAGACTGGACCGAATGGTCAAGGGTCCCTTTACCTTTACCTTTTATGGATCTTAATATGATTTTGGAACTATGGTTAACACAGTAACCTCGGTTAGCATGAGCCATGGTTAAGGCAAGGTATCTATGCTGGCATGAGGGCAGTTTGTGACAAAGCTACTAGCCTTGGTCAACTATGGTTAAGACTCAGGCCATATTATTTATGGGTTAAGTTGAGAAATGCTATGAAAAAATCATTAAATTAATGGTTTTCCTTTATTTTCATTATGTTTTGGTTTACTGAGTGGGGTGGGCTATAAATCTGAGGGTGTATCCCAGGTTGTCTACACCAGTCCTAAGATGATCCAGAGGTGGGTGGAGAAAACTAGTTTTCACCAGGATTCTCTCTCTATACAGTGGTACCTCTGGATACGAACGGGATCCGTTCCGGAGCCCCGTTCGCATCCTGAAGCAAACGCAACCCGTGTCTGCGCATGTGCGGGTCGCGATTCGCTGCTTCTGCGCATGCGCGTGATGTCATGTTGACCATCTGCTCGAGCAGCGAAACCTGGAAGTAACGCGTTCCGTTACTTCCGGGTCGCCGCGGAGTGCAACCCGAAAGCGCTCAACCTGAAGCAACTTCAACCCCCGAGGTATGACTGTATTCACTTCAAGACCCTAAGTAAGCTGTTCAATTTTTAAAGTGGTCAAACTTTTACGAGTGTGAATGATTGGCTGCTGAGACTGGCTGTTAACTCTGAAATTGTCTTCCAAACAACAAATTTAGAGAAAATGTCACCATTCTACAAGTATACACAGAAGTTCTAAACTTCCATCAGCACAAAAGAGAGAAGGTAGATGTTGCGAGTGGCTAAACCTCCTCTCACTTCTTTTCCTTTCCGCAACATGCTATCCCAAGAGTTTCTGTTGCTTTTGCTAATTATACAATAGAAATACTTCCTTGGAAATCCCACTCTGAAAGAAGTGAACATCCAAGTTTAAAAGCTCAACTAAGATTTGTATTTGTCTAAAATTGCTCTCGAGTGATCGCTGTAAAATGGAGAAATAATTTGAGTTCTTTAACAGCACCATCAACTTAAATGTGATTTCCATTTTAAAAAATTGATCTGTGCTCGGACAGTAGACCTATGTCTCAGCAACGCACCAACTATAATGTGTGCAGACTGTCCAAGCAGGAAATACTCAAAATTTGAAGGTATCGTATGCTTGAGAATTGCCATGGGCAGTCTTGAAACTTCAGAGGCGATCCGTTTTGAAAATGTAGCCTATTTCTTGAAAAACCTTGATTTTGTGTCTGCGTGCCTGTGCTTGACACTTAATTGCTAAATGGCAAATGATTATTTTATTTGATTACCAGTGCTTATTTTTAATAGCTGAGTGGCATCGCTGAACTTTATTGAAATGCAGACCGTGCTAATGTCTATTCTTGGAAGGCGATCGCCTTGCTCTTTCATAGATGCAACTTCCTTAAGATTGTTTGTTTGTTTCCAGGTGAAAGAAATTGAGGAGTCTATAGAAGAGATGTTAATAAGACTGGATGAGTTCTGTGGCATGACTGATCTGGTATGTACTTAGCTCCACCTCTGTAGACCTTGAACACTGTAACTGTTGTCTCTGTTTGGCTCCTGTGGAGGCCATCTTGTGAGTGTTTCAGAAGCCATGCAGGCAGCTCAGGCAAGGCAGCAGGCAGCTGTGGTGACGGGAGGGAGGGAACACGCTCTCTCTCTCTCCCTCTCTTCCCGAGGCAGCCATCTTGATTACAACCTTCCCTGAAATGGTTTTTTATTACAGCGATGGTTTAGCCACAAGGTGGCACTCTGGCGCACTAATATTTAAGGGCCTAGACTAGTGCTCTCCGCTTGTAAATTTAATGTGCTCCTTACAACACACACACGCACATCGAGGAACCTAGATCATCCCCATGCCTTTCTGGCTTTTGTTGTTAAAGCACTCTGACAGGTTCATCTCCACACACACACACACACCCATTCTGTATGTTCCCTCTTCTAGATTTCCAGAGAGGTTAAAGTCTGGTGGCATTCAGTACAACAGGTACCCAAAGGTCATTTTGGGAAAAGTTGCTTGTTAGCACTGCTGCCCTTATTATTTGGTGGGGTCGCAAAGCGCATTTCTCAGGAGGTTCCATGCTGACCTGTCACGATGATTGGCGTCCCCCCAGTTGATGGTTTAAGACTTGGGGTGGGGTGGCTGAATAATAGCTTTGATAATAATGCAGTCATCTGGTTGCCACAAGGTGCAAACTCATTTGAGACAACAAAATAGTGATAAGCTGCAATTGATAAGAATGCTATCAGCATCTTTCCTCACCACTGCTGTATATGCAGTGCGGTTGGAAATGCTTAGGAGAAGTGGAATTGCTGTATGTTGTCACAGCAGCCCAACTTGGCCCCTTTTTTAGTAGGAATTAGTTAGGAAAGTGCAAATGAAGAAATGTCTCAAACCCACCCAAAGCAGAAATGCTGCAGCAGATCTTCCCAAGAAAGACATCAAATATGTTTGTAACATAATTAGTACAGTGGTACCTCCGGTTACAAACACTTTGGGTTACAGACTCCGCTAACCTGGAAGTAGTACCTTGGGTTAAGAACTTTACCTCAGGATGAGAACAGAAATCGCGTGGCGACCTGGCAGCAGCGGGAGGCCTCATTAGCTAAAGTGGTACCTCAGGTTAAGAACGGACTTCCAGAATGAATTAAGTATGTAACCAGAGGTACCACTGTATGCTGAAACAGTAAGTTAGCTTTCTGTTTAACTATTGATACAGTGGTACCTCGGGTTACACACACTTCAGGTTACATACGCTTCAGGTTACAGACTCCGCTAACCCAGAAATAGTGCTTCAGGTTAAGAACTTTGCTTCAGGATGAGAACAGAAATTGCGCGGCAGTGGGAGGCCCCATTAGCTAAAGTGGTGCTTCAGGTTAGGAACAGTTTCAGGTTAAGAACGGACCTCCGGAACGAATTAAGTACTTAACCCGAGGTACCACTGAATCTGGCTTCTGCCACCTCTAAATTCCCTGTGACAGCTGCAGCTCACAAAATCCTTATTTCCCACTTACCTGGAAGTAAGCCTCACTGAATTGAATGGAAGACACTTTTGAGTAATCATGGATAGGGTTGTGATACTAGTCTAAATGTTTACATAAGTTGGAAAACAGTTGTGTGATTTGAAGAATCAAAACAACTCTCCATAGGTGAGTAAGTTAAAATCCTACTTCTTTTTAAATCTGATTTTTGGTTTCCAGTGCAGTTTTGCCATTGTTTTCAACACTATCACATGCAGACAGCATTTTTCCACTGCCATCATTTCAAAATTTTGCTTAACAGTAACAAGCAAAACTGTGGGTAAAAACTGTGGTAACTGTGGGTAAAAGCCTCAGCGCCTAGGGCTTGCCGATTGAAAGGTCGGCGGTTCGAATCCCCGCGGCGGGGTGCGCTCCCGTTGCTCGGTCCCAGCGCCTGCCAACCTAGCAGTTTGAAAGCACCCCTGGGTGCAAGTAGATAAATAGGGACCGCTTACTGGCGGGAAGGTAGACGGCATTTCCGTGTGCTACGCTGGCTCGCTAGATGCGGCTTTGTCACGCTGGCCACGTGACCCGGAAGTGTCTCCGGACAGCGCTGGCCCCCGGCCTCTTTAGTAAGATGGGCGCACAACCCTAGAGTCTGGCAAGACTGGCCCGTACGGGCAGGGGTACCTTTACCTTTACCTTAACAAGCAAAAACAGTAGAAGGCAACACTGACTATTGCAGCAGGAGAAAATTACAGTGGAGGTTAAAAGCCTGGGAATCTAAACAACATCTGCATTCTTGCCAGGCAAACCTCCATAGGGAGAGGGCTCTGCAAGCAACTTGTCACAACTAAAAGGGCCCTCTCCCATTTGCTTCAAATGGTGGCGGCAGCACCCAGAGGAAGGCCTTTGGGGAAGATTTTAGTGTACAGGCTGGTTGATGTAGGTGAAAGCATTATCCATGTCCCAAGCCATGTAGGGCTGCCTTTAAAGGTACGTACCAGTGCTTGGAATTGCGCAAACCACTATTTTTGGGACTTTAAAGTTATGTTGCTCATAACAGCTGGAACAGGGGCAATGTTGCTTACTCCCCCGTTACTGATTTAATATTTCAATGAATGCTGAAAATTGATTCAACTCTGCAAGTGGCCAAAGGTTTATTCTGATCAATCTTATTATAGTGCTTTAGGTTTCAAGCTTGGAACTGTTCAAACAAAATGGTTAAAGTTTGTGGCTCTGTAATATTTTTGCAAGTTTCAGGGCCACTGAAGGAATAGCCACTTCTTTTTTCATTTTCCCTATAGGGAAAGTTTAATTGAAACTTTTGCCTGTACTGAGTTTTGAGGTACACTTCATTTTATTGGCATTTCAGCTATTTAAAACTTTCAAAAATCACTTAAGTTGGTTCAATAAACTGAGTGCTCCCTCGAGACACCCCCCCCAAATCCCTTTCTTCAATGGGGGTGTTTGCTTGCTTCATCTTTGCTCTACCCATGAAAACATTTTTAGAGAATCTGAAGTATGAATAATTAGGCTGTATACAAATTATTGACCTGATCTGGCAGCATCAAAGCATTATGCTTAGTCTGCTGAATTTGTGCTTGGCAGTGCTAAATACCTGTAGTGGCAGCTTCCTTTCAGCAGTGTATGAAATAGTATCCAATAAAATTTCATGTCATCTTTCAGATTCATTCCAATTTTTGCACATAAAAACAAACCAAGGAATTTATAGTCTTCTGTTTGTTGTCATGAAGAAATGGATGCATCGTTTTAATTAGTGAGTCAATAAAACATTCTACATTAATTTGTTTCACTGCTTTCGGTATCCTGCTTCTCTGGGTATGTTTAGTTGTTACAGTTATTGGGCTCAATGATTCTTTATATATTTGCATAAATTTGTTGGTTCCTATGATTTATGAGAATCCTAACTTCAAACAATCTTTGGGCAAAGATGTGGCTGAACTGAGAGCGCTGTTTATATAAATATATAAAATGAGATCCATCACATTAGACATGTATGACATCAGATTTTCTTTACACGGCCATACATTTTTATCAAATTCATGTATCTGTAGATGTGAGAGCCTTGATCAGCAGGGTGTGTGAAACAGAACTAATCAGCAAAGTCTCATGTTTTGAGGGTTTTAAAAAACAGCCTACTGATGTAATGATTTCTAGCCCAGGGAAGCTAGATTTGCTGAACGTAGTAAACCTGGTGAGACTTATTTCATTTAATCTACGAAGCAGAAGGATTTAGATATAGAATGGCACACTAGATTGTTTTATACCTAAGCCCATCTGGTCATCCATCAGTCATGTTTTGGGATCTCTACATCTTCGCTTTCGTTTTTTTTGGTTCCCTCCTGATGGTTCGGCATAGGGTTCGCCAACTGGGATCTGTAGACCAAAACGTCAGGAGGCCGCTGGATCTGTGAAGGCTCTTTTAGTGTTACATGTGAGCCAGTCTTGTGTTTTTGAAGTTGACTTGTTTCCACCAACCGTAATTAAGACTACAGTAGTACCTCTGGTTACGAACTTAATTCGTTCAGGAGGTCCGTTCTTAAACTAAAACCGTTCTTAACATGAGGCGCTGCTGCTGCATCTCTGGCACACGACTTCCGCTCGCATCCCGGGGCAAAGTTCGCAACTAGGGACATCTACTTCCGGGTTAGCGGAGCTCGTTACCCGAAGCATTTGTAAGGAGGACGGTACGTAACCCGAGGTTCCACTGTACTACAGTTTGCCTGAGTGTGAATGTCACAGCAAACTGGTTGGTCTAAAACAGAAGTGAAAATGTCCAGAGTAACTGTTGCAGCCATGCTGGCTGGGAAGGGCAGTGTGTGCAAGCTTGAGGCTCACTGCGAGAAATATGTAGACACAAAAGAGGAAAGGGAAAATAGAACCGTCATTCTGTCTCAACACAGGCAGACACATGCACCAGCACACACAAAGACTTTACTGCCTTCTCTCATCCTGTGTCAGATCAGTGGGACAAAAATAATGTGGGCAAGAAGAAACAAAAATATGTTTTTCTAAAAGTATTTTGAAGTGACAGATCACCTCCTTTTTATAAAAAAAATCAAAGGCATTCTCCCTCATGTAGTAGTGGCAACTTCTTCATACTGGTTGTTTCCCTGATAAACACAGAACCCTCTGCTCTCTTCTCACCCACCCACCCAATACCAATTGGGATAGTTAGGAGGACCTACCTTGCTCAGTTTGTTTTGGTTACTCCCAGGGAAAAGGGATTATGTTATTTTTCAAGAACCTGCCATGGGGGAAGGGAGGAGAGGAGAGAAGAAAAGATCCCATCAGAGTTCACAACACTCTCTCTTTATCTAAGAGGGGAGGATGGAATGGAATTTCTTTTTTAGCAAAGGGGGTGCAAGGTGAGGAGTAAATAAGGGCTTGCTGCATATTTCTATGTTGGTTTCTTTGTTGGTATGGTTCTTAATTCAACCTGCTAATCTCTGGCAAAAAGGTGTTCTATTTCTTGAGGAACAGATTTCTGCATTGCAGGGCGTTGTACTAGATGATCCTCGTGGTTCCTTCCAACAGTATAATTCTATCATTCTTTGATTCTTATATATTTCTACATCTGGAGGAAGATGCCTGTTTTGACCTTATAGGGCTTACCTGTAGTGTTCTTCTGTAGATTAATATCTCCTTGTTTTGTCTACATTTCAAACTTCATTTCTTTTCAATGTACTTACGTTGGCTTTGCAAAAGGCCTTTTGAGGTTGCTTCTTTCAACATTAACAAGCAACCTTCGCTTGCTTATCTTTGGTAAATTAAGGGTCAGTTTCTAACCTCTGCTCCGTTTCCTTGTCCTTGAACCAATGATTTTTAAATATTTCCAGAGAGTTAGCCATGCTTGTTTGCTGCTGCAAAAACAACAGAGTTCTGAAGCACCTCAAATACTAACATTTTTATTATAGCATAAGATTTCATGGATTAGAGTTTATGCCGGGGTCAGCAAACTTTTTCAGCAGGGGGCCAGTCCGCTGTCCCTCAGAACTTGTGGGGGGCTGGACTATATATTTTTTTGGCGGCGGGGGAGGGGGGAATGAGCTAATTCCTATGCCCCACAAATAACCCAGAGATGCATTTTAAATAAAAGCACACATTCTACTCATGTAAAAACACCAGCCAGGCCCCACAAATAACCCAGAGATGCATTTTAAATAAAAGGGCACAGTCTACTCATGTAAAAACACGCTGATTCCTGGACTGTCTGTGGGCCGGATTTAGAAGGTGATTGGGCCGGATCCGGCCCCTGGGCCTTAGTTTGCCTATCCATGGTTTATGCCATCATAACTTTGTTTAGTCCGTGAAGTGCTCTGTTGCTTTTGTAAATGTTTGGACAACAAAGACCTGGTTCAAAGGGATGTCAAATGGTGATGATACCACCTTTGTCTGCTTCATCTTTTGTTGGTGTAAAGCAGGGTGGGAAATGGGAGGCCCTCCAGATGTTGCATAACTACAACGCCCACTGTCCCTGACCATTGGCCATGCTAGGTGGAATGGATGGTAGCTGGAGTCTGACAACATCTGTAGCGCTTCAGGTTCCGCAGTGCTATAGTAAAGAATATGTTATCTTAACATTATTCAGAGTCTTCACTGGATAGCTTTGAAGGCAACTAATTGTCAGTTAGAGAATGCCCAATGGTCACTTGATACGCATGGCATTCATTCTCCTACAAGGGTGAACGGAAAGCCAAATAGCTATATTGTTGTTTGAAAACATGTGTTTTTTTGTTGCAAATGCATGTGCCCAGATTCAAAAGCAAAGGTAGGGAAACAGTGGTCCTCTCAACGTTGTTGTACTCCCATCAGGTAACAGGAGATGTAGTGCAGCAACATCTGGAAAATATTTTCGTGGTTCTCAATTCATAATGGAGCACTTGATACTGTAGCATCATTGAGGATATGTAGGTGTGGACTGAACGGGAGTCCATCAGGAGATTTATACGTATAAGCTAACTTTCTTAAGGAAAGTGCACAGTACTGATATAATAAATAAAACACAGTAACAGTACTTCAGTTTCTAAATAGTGAGTGAAATATGTCTGGTATTTATTGTTAGTGCTTTCTGATACAGATTTTTTTCCCTTTGTCTATACAGATTAGAAGCAATACATCCCAACTCTTGGACGAGGCAATTCCATTAATTAAAGCCAAGGTGATAGAAATGAACAGCATCTATACCAAAGTGGATAAGCTAGAGGTTTGTTATCACATCAAGTAATTGTCCCGAAGATTATGCATGTGAAAGTTCTTTTCTGCGTTTGTGTTGAAGATTTAAAAGTGAGCCTAGAAATCTGGTGCACATGCCTAGAAACATGAAAACATTATTCAGCTCTCTGCAGGACTGACACGATGAAGCTTTTAATTCTTGTTGCATGTTTTTTGAACGCTGTGAAGAGGTCAGTGAAGCATCAAACTAAAGCCTAGAACATGCAGAGTTGCAGTAATATAATGCTTTTGTCAGCCTCCCTCCCCCAAAAAACAAACAAACCAGGTAATAAAAACTCAGGTAAATACAATCTGCAGTCTTTGAAATCTTCATAGCTATTGGCTACAAGAACTCTGGGTTCAGTAGATTGAAATGAGACCTCTTAGGCCATTGATTCATCCATGGGACATTTATAAATATTCTAACTACTCAGAAGTGTTAGAATTTACATACGGGGCCCAAGGGCACTTTGAGGAGCGTACAGTTCATTTGTGCTACCTGATGCCTTCTCTGCTGAACCAATCCTGAAGTCAACTGATAGACTGAAAATGTGAATGTTCTATGTATGTGATACAGTGGTACCTCGGGTTACATACACTTCAGGTTACAGACTCCACTAACCCAGAAATAGTACCTTGGGTTAAGAACTTTGCTTCAGGATGGGGACAGTAATCGTGCTCCGGCGGTGCGACAGCAGCAGGAGGCCCCATTAGCTAAAGTGGTGCTTCAGGTTAAGAACAGTTTCAGGTTAAGAACGGACCTCCAGAACGAATTAAGTACTTAACCCGAGGTACCACTGTAGTCGCGTGTGAATGGTTTTGTTGAGAGATGGGAATGTGTGCTTATATGTATTATGAGGATTGTGTGTGTGAATATAAATGAATACAGATAAGGTATTGCATACACACAAACATTCATACATCTTCTTTTACTCTATTAGGTAGCAAATCTGCCTGCTTCTCTCTTCCACAGTGCATGTGTGTTGTTTATGCCGGGTGTTTATATGAGGGAAGGTTGTGTGACTTAACAGAATTATGTTCTCTTTTTAACAAGCCACATTCTTGTAATGGCTGTGAGGAAGTCTGCTTCTGCAGCAAAACATGTCACTATACATATGGCATTGTTTAATATCACTTTCAGTGACTCACAAGTCTTTGTGTTATCAGGACTGTAAATTCTTAAATTTCAAACCCAACCTCTGTGTGCACTGATGGAAATTCTTCCTAGCACAATTGCGTTTGGAAAGTTAACATTATTGATGTGTATGATAGTTGAAGGAACCTATTTGTATTTCTTATTATATTCTATTAGATTTGCATAGTTAATTAAAGCATTTGAAAGTGCCCATGCAAAAGTCTACATCTGTAAGCAATCCACTCATAGGTGGCAAGTGTAGTCAGATCTTCAGTCCTTTTAATAAATGGATCTGCACATTTATCTTTCTAGTGCAGCAATACCAGTCTTTTGGCCATAGTAAGGGCACAGGGAATTCATTGATGAATTCATTAATTGCTCAGCCCGGACACTGAGGTCCTCTTCCAAGGGTCTTCTGCTGGTTCCCTCACTGTGAGAAGCGAAGTTACTTGGAGCCAGACAGAGGGCCTTCTTGGTAGTGGCACCCTCACTGTGAAATGTCCTCCCATTTGATGTCAAGGAGAATCAGGAGGTTTTTAATGCTTGATGTTTTTATGATGCTTTTAGATATGCTTTAAGGTATTATTATTAATATTAATGTCCAGTTGTCAAATTCCATATAGTAGGTATGTAGTTCAAAAGAATATTATCCTCTGAACATTTTAGCTTTTTTCATACACTCCTGTTTACATAATCCACTACTTTCTCCCAAAACCTAGTAAGTATAGGACATTGTAAAAACATGTATTTCAAAGAAGCACTATCCTTATTACATCTCCAAGAAAATGCTGTTTTCGACAATCCTTTTCTGTACAGATGTAGTGGAGGCCAATAAATTCTAAGTATTATTTTCTGTTGTATACATAGTAATTTTGCTTGGACTAGGAGGAGAATTGGTACAGCCCTCTTCATTTCACATGTCGTGCATTGATTTAGCATGACCGTTGCTCACAAAAAACTACTCTGAGTTATTGGAGGAAGCAGGGACCCTGGAGAGATGTTCTTAAAGCTGGGATATAAAACTGGGGCAGCACTAAAACCAAGTTAAAAAAAGAGACTGTTTAGCTTTATTTCTGTTTAGGGAAGCTTTTAATGTTTAACAGACCATTGTATTTTAATATTTTGTTGGAAGCCGCCCAGAGTGGCTGGTGAAACCCAGCCAGATGGGCGGGGTATAAATAAATAAATTTATTATTATTATTATTATTATTATTATTATTATTATTATTATTCTCTTCCGGCATGTCTAGGCATTTGTGAAAATGGCAGGACACCATGTCTCTTTCCTAGAAGAACAAGTCCTCAAGGCAGAGAAGGCTCATGCCATCTTTCCCTACACTGTGCAGAAGCTGTTTGGCTCAGTAGCTACACCTTCATTTAAAAAAGTAAGTGTCAAAGTTCTGTGATGCGTTGGAGGAGGGGGGGATGCCTGTTGAAATAACCTCCTTACAGTTATCCCATTCATCTGGTGTTACTCTTTCTTTATATTTATTTATTTAGAGCATTTTACCCCAATCTTCAGCCAAAAAAGGGCTCCCAGAGTGGTTTGCATACAGTGGAATAAAACAATGAAATTATTAACTGCTAACAGGGTGTTGTGGAATATTGCTATGTGCTTCTTTCTTCCCTGGAATTGATGCTTTTTGGCAGTGGGTGGAGAAGCACTTTTAGAGACATGGAGCCCTGTTTAGAATTGCAATTTGTGGCCTCAAATGCACCACCCACTTACATTTTAAGTGCCAACAAAATGATTATTCGGTCCATCATACCACTGCTAGAATTCAAGTCCACAGCAGTTTGTGAACCTGAGACATTGGGATACAACCTCTATTTCGACCACAAAAGGATGGCTCATATCACTTACCCAAGTAATCTTGAGTTATGTACCTTACACACCTCCATTTCTTAATCACCAATTAGTCTCTTTCCATGCCACGTTGTGTGCAGGCATCGCAAAGGCAACCCAAGAAACTATTATCTATCTATTTACAATTTTTTATCTCACCTTTCATCTAAAGAAAGCCCTTATGAAGATAAAACCTAATAGAAATGAAACAAAATTTATAAATTTTAATAAATTCATTAGATCAGAAGAGCAGTAAAAAAAAAGAGAACTCCTAAAAGTACGGGAGAATAGGACAGACTACTCCCTGGCTCCCAAAAGAGAGCAATGAAGGCATGTAGCAAGCATGTAGAGTTTCATAAAAGGCCATCTCTCTAATAGTCATCTCCCTAATTTCTGAAGAGAAGGGTCCCCAGAAGCTGACATAATTTGTCAAATCAGGTTCATGTGGCAGAAGATGGTCTTTACGTACTGTGGTTCAAGCTGTTTAGCACTATAAATATTGCAACCATTTCTTTTACAGTGGTGCCTCGCAAGACGAAAAGAATCCGTTCTGCGAGTCTCTTCGTCTTGCGGGTTTTTTCGTCTTGCGAAGCAAGCCCATTAGAGGTTTAGCGGCTTAGCGCTACAGTATTAGCGGCTTAGCCGGCTTAAAGATCAGCTGATAAGCGGCTTAACGATCAGCTGATAAGCGGCTTAAAGATCAGCTGATAAGCGGCTTAACGATCAGCTAATAAGCGGCTTAGCATCAGCTGTTAAGCGGCTTAAAGATCAGCTGATAAGCGGTTTAGCAGCTTGGGAAAAAGGGGGGGGGAGGAAAAAAACCCCGCAGGAACTCGCAAGACATTTTCGTCTTGCGAAGCAAGCGCATAGGAAATTCGTTTTGCGAAGCACCTCCAAAACGGAAAACCCTTTCGTCTAGCGGGTTTTCCGTCTTGCGAGGCATTCGTCTTGCGGGGCACCACTGTACTTGAGTTCAGAAACAACACAGAAGCCATTGACAAATCTTTAACCAGTGGAGTAACGTTTTCGTAGCAGCCAGTGCTGGTTAAAAGGTTGGCTGCCAAATTTGTTGACAGTACAAACACTTTTCAGAGATAGCCGCATGTATAATTCATTGCAGCAGTCTATCCTGGATTTTGTTAGAGCACAGTAAGCTGTTGCCAGGTCATCTCTGTGGTGAGATGACTTCATATTCAGGTTGTTTGCAGGTGAATGTGGTTTTGTTCTGTTCCTTGCTAATGACTCATTTTGCCGTGCTCTTAAAAGCTCTGCCATCTTCTTTAAACAGAATAGAATTGTGGACAGATCTCTTATAGTTTAAAATATAATGTATTTCCTACAAATTGGACGCAGGTGGCGCTGTGGGTAAAACCTCAGCGCCTAGAGCTTGCCGATCGCATGGTCGGCGGTTCGAATCCCCGCAGCGGGGTGAGCTCCCATCTTTCGGTCCCAGCTCCTGCCCACCTAGCAGTTCGAAAGCACCCCTAAGTGCAAGTAGATAAATAGGTACCGCTTTATAGCGGGAAGGTAAACGGCATTTCCGTGTGCTGCGCTGGTGCTGGCTCGACAGCTGCGGCTTAGTCACGCTGGCCACGTGACCCGGAAGTGTCTCCGGACAGCGCTGGCCCCCGGCCTCTTAAGTGAGATGGGCGCACAACCCTAGAGTCGGACACGACTGGCCCGTATGGGCAGGGGTACCTTTACCTTTATTTCCTACAAATACATTTGAAAGAGTTGTAGTAAGGTGAACTTTTTGAGGGTTATTTTCACCTTGAACTTTAAAGCAATATGTCTGCTTTACAATCCTGTTTAATTTTCTGAAGTATATACACAAAATATCAAATGTGGTGACAGTGATAATAATACAACAAAACAACAACACCACAAACTGGCTTATAAGTATAAACCAAATTTACTAGAATAATAGCCAGAATAGAGATAGACCTACAACCATTCAAACAACAAACATACTAAGGTGCCATGTGCAAGATAAAGCCTGGAGATACTGTAAACATGGAGTGGATAAATGTACAACTCTTATCTTAACAAGTTACATGTACAGTAAACGTTATACAGACAGAATAAATGAACCGTTCAACAAGTAGCGCAAGTCCAATCACAGAATGGCAACCCCATGCCACCACAACGGCAAGGGTAGCACACTGGGGAATATGAAAACGTTTTTCAGAGCTGTTTTTCAAAGATTGAACTGGATGAGATGTTCTTCAATGGGTCTTGAGTTGGAAACACAAAGCCGTGTACATGGATCAATCACGGGAAGGCAAATCTGGTCCTAATTGCACAAATGGTACTGCCTACATATAACAGCCCACAAGCACAGGAGTATAAATTAATATTTCAATTAGGAACCTTATATCCAAAGGGTTTGAATACTGAATTCGATCTAGGATGCTATGTATAAGTTAATATGTATACTGTTGTTTGGTTGTAACAGAAAAGTGATGCTGCACCTTTAACCATGTAATCATGTGATGATTGATTCTATACACCTGTATTGTATTTAACTGCTTGTTATGAGTCTGAACACTAGCTGTGCCTATGAATACCTCCTTTATCCTGAGCAAACCATTTTGTAAGATTGGGTAAGGTACAGTATGAGACTGATATTTTCTAATTTTTATGGTTTACCACACATTGTAATTGGAGTGCTATTTTGTACCATGCAGCTTTTCGGACTGATGTAGCATGTAGCGAAACCTGTAATATATCCAGAGAACAGGTCTCCTTTTGCCCACTTGCCTTATTCTCACCAGGGTGGTGGCTTTGATTTGCCTTCCCCTGATTCATCCATGTATACGGCTTGTGGCGGCACGGGGTTGCCGTTCCGTGATTGGACTTAGGCTGCTTGTTGAACGGTTCATTAATTCAGTCTATAATGTTTATTGTACACGTAACTTGTTAAGATAAGAGTTGTACATTTATCCCCTCCATGTTTACAGTATCTCCAGGCTTTGTCTTGCACATGACACCTTAGTATGTTTGTTGTTTGAATGGTTATAAGTCTATTCTAGCTATTATTCTAGTAAATTTGGTTTATACAGTACTTATAAACTGTAAGTTTGATGTATCACAGTATTTTAATATTTTTTTGGAAGCCGCCCAGAGTGGCTGGGGAAGCCCAGCCAGATGGGTGGGGTATAAATAAATTATTATTATTATTATTATTATTATTAGCCAGTTTGTGGTGGTGTTTTGTTGTATAATTTTCTGAAGTGCCAACACAGAGGTCAGTTAATGCAAAATCATTGCTACTGCAGTGATACTTAAAATGGGCTTCTAGTTGAAGTTACGTTGCTCACGGCACATTCATACAGCTGCATAACATGTTTTCGGTACAGCACCCAACTCTGGAAATGCAGAAAGAATGCCATTTTTGCATACTAGGCTAAGAGTTTTGCTTACATAGGGCTGCCATGCAAATGGAAAATCTATATTAGCTAAAATGTACTTTCAAGTTAAAAAACCTTCTGCATTTCCCTCCACGTTAGCAACATTCACACAGTAGTAGGAGAGAATCTCAGAGTTTATTGTCACACATGAAAAGAACCTTTGAACTGGTTAGCAGAAAATTTAGTATTTTCAGGTTTCTCATCACATAGTTACTGAGTATTTGAAGGCAGTCAACAGAATGTTTTAATTGTCTCAGTTGAAAACTATTGTTTAGTTTGATCTCAGCAGTGGTTGGTGGGACATGCCTGACTTCTCAGTGCTGAGCATTGCTGCGGCTTGCTGAGAGGGATAGTAGTGGAGATCAGCTCGATGTAGGTGTGGTGGCAGGAGCATCAGATTGGATGATAACACCTGATCAATGAATGATGAACTTTTATGTGTGAACTTGTGCAAAGTTACCACTGCATGAACCTCACCACGTTGACTTACGGTGTCTGTGTGAAACCCTAGCCTTAGGTTTACTGTCACTTGTAGGATTAGAAGCAAGTCCAACATTTAAAGGTTGCATTTTTATTTTATCCTTCCGCTAAAGAATTCAAAGCAGTGTGCAATATTTTCTGCTTTTTCTGTCAACAGAGATAGATTAGGTTTCTTGTTCACAATATCATACTAGCTAAACCACATTAGAGACAGAAAAGGTCATCTGGGCTGTAACAGCTAGGTCAGAAATCCTAGTTCAGTTGACTTTGAAAGTTAGTTTTAAAACTTACCTAGCTGTTGCATTGAATTGCAACTGAATGAGTAAAATGTTTTGTTGAAGCCATTGGAACATTTAAGGAACTAGATTTGAGGTTGACTTTGGAGCATCCATACATGTACATGCAAAACAGTGTAAGACAGCACAACAGTTTAATCTTTCTGATTGCTCACAAAAGAAAAATATTTATCCCAGTCCACCAGAGCACTAGATGCAATAGTATTTTGCAACTGGCTCCACCTATGTTGGAAATTATTGCTTTTGATTTGCTTTTGAATTATTGCTAAATGCATTTGACATTTAGAGGACGATCACTCCCCCATATATGTAGGACATTGTTCCTTTCTATTTGTGCAATGTTTCCGCCCTTTTCTCTTCATTATTTCACTAGCTAATCTTTTCAGTGAGAGATCAACCATGCAGGTATGTAATCAAAATTCTAATATGGCTTTTACACTATTTTGGAAGCTTATTCAACAGCTGAATATAAATGTTAATAAAGTAGACAAAGCACTCAATGATAATTTTTGTTTGTATTCTGCTAAGTTTTGGTTTTCACACATACAATAATTTGCAGTCTCATCTCCTTAAAGCCCATCCTCTTAATTCTCCCAGGTTAAATGGAATGTTATCTCACCTCCCATTTTACCCACACAACATCCCTGGGAGGTAGGCAAGACAGAAAAATAGTGACTGGTCTGAAGACTTATGGCTAAGAGTGGATCAGAACCAGAGCTGTCCTTTTTCCAGCCCAAAGGTTGCATTCCCTCATGAGTGGAGAGCCCCCTACAAGCCCCAAGAACCAGATAGAAGGACCTAGATGGCCTCATTTGGCCCCTGGCCTTCAGGTTCCCAACCTGTCCTATATGGTTGGACACTCTAATACTACAATATACTGCAGATATTTGGTAGCACTATGGCCATGTTAAGTTGTTCATATTTTGGAGCCCTGTCCATAATACGTAGATGCTTGTTATCCATATTTCAGTTAAGGAAGAACTGTCTGTCTGAACAAAATCCCATGTGTCATCAGTTTGAAAAATATCTTTGTGTTTTGGGAGGAAGGGCTTCTTAAGGCAGCACATGAAGGTTTTTGAATTACACAAACATTGTATGCCAAAAAAACCCCAACCTTAGTTTGAAGTTGTGCTTAGGCTAATAATAAAAAAACCACCACTTGCTTACACGTGGTTGCATGTACTCCCAGTTTTGCCTTAGCTGATGTAATTAGACTGGCCATAATTTTCTAGATTAAAAAGTGGCAGCCCTGTAGCTGGTTAATGCAGGTATGCATCACCTGAGCCCATGCCCCTTTTGCTGTCTCACTGCTGCTGTCACTGCACATATGACACTCTCAAAGATCTGGCTACTTGCCAACAGAAGCTTGTTGATGTCTCTTATCGGGTCACTGGAAAACTGTCAGAGAAGCTGCCTCTGGTGTGCATGAAAAACAGGAGGCTAACAGAAGCAATCTTGAGCAATGCTGGAAACCTTCAGGAAAGAGAAGTAAGGGTTAGGGGTCCTTGTGTGCAATCTATAGAGGAGCTTTTAACAACTTCTGCTGTTGAATACATAAAAGATATTTCTGAGTCATCTTGATCATGGCTGACTCTCACTGAAAGCTGTAACTGGCATGCTACTTCAGGTAACATTTTAGGGTTGGAATACCTCATATTTGTGTGGCCCTGCTCCTAGCTACCTTCCAGACCCATATCTCAGTTCCCATGATTCCCCCCCCCAACTTCTGCCCTGTTGCAGTTGTTCCTGTTCCAAGGAGGAATCCAGCAGTAAGTTGCAGTTTCCTAGGATAGCAAATGGGAGACCTAAGTTTCCTTCTCTTCCTCTTCTCAGTTAAACTACTCTGGAGAGGTGGCAACTGGAGGTGCGTGGCTGGGAACTACAGACAGGTAGCCTCCTCTCCTGTAAATATTCAGATTTTTCACTCACTTGGTGTTTCATAGGCTCTGGTGTTCACTGAAAGGAAATAATCAGAAAATGGAAGACAACAGTTACTTGCTCAGCAGGAAGAGTGAATCTGTGGCTCTCCCGATGTTATTGAACTATAACATCCATCACCCTGACCACTGACCTTGCTGACTTGAGGCTGATAGGTGTTGGAATCCAGCAACATCTTGAGGGCCCGAGGTTCCCACTGCAACTTACTGAGTAGTTGGGCAGCCAGGACTGGCAAATTATCATCATGTATTCTACATGCCCCTTTGAAGAAGGGTAAGACTATCTTTCTTGTAAAAGTAGTAGTGACTTGGCCTTCCTTTAAAAAAGCAAACCAGTTCCTTAAAAAATATGATCTAGCCAGTTATAGGCCTGTGTCCAGTCTTTAAAAAAGTTGTTTGAGCCGTTAGTAGTAGAGCGACTTCAGATGTGTTTGAAAATAATTGAGGAAAGATGCACTATTTAGTCTGGTATCAGACCTCATTTTGGGGCAGAGAATACATAGGCTGCCCTGGTGAATTATCTGCTCCTGGATATCTACAGGAGGAATACTTTTCTGCTGATCTTCCTGGACCTCTCAGCAGCTTTTCAACAGAGGACCATGCTATTCTAAAGGGCGAGTTGTCCTTTCTGGTCTGGGTGTTGGGGGCTGGTGTCTGGTAGTTTTATTGTCCAGTTAAACTGGATATTTGGAGACACAGATTCATAGAATCATAGAGTTGGAAGAGACCACAAGGGCCATCGAGTCCAACCCCCTGCCAAGCAGGAAACACCATCAGAGCACTCCTGACATATGGTTGTCAAGCCTCTGCTTAAAGACCTCCAAAGAAGGAGACTCCACCACACTCCTTGGCAGCAAATTCCACTGTCAAACAGCTCTTACTGTCAGGAAGTTCTTCCTAATGTTTAGGTGGAATCTTCTTTCTTGTAGTTTGGATCCATTGCTCCGTGTCCGCTTCTCTGGAGCAGCAGAAAACAACCTTTCTCCCTCCTCTATGTGACATCCTTTTATATATTTAAACATGGCTATCATATCACCCCTTAACCTCCTCTTCTCCAGGCTAAACATGCCCAGCTCCCTTAGCCGTTCCTCATAAGGCATCGTTTCCAGGCCTTTGACCATTTTGGTTGCCCTCCTCTGGACACGTTCCAGTTTGTCAGTGTCCGTCTTGAACTGTGGTGCCCAGTGGAACTTGGTGCGTGGTGTTCCACAAGGTTTAGTTCTTTCACCAGTGCTTTTAAATGTGTAAGTTAAACTCCTGGGAGAGATGTTCCTGAGATTTGCCGTTGGCTGTCATCAATATGCTGATTAGTCTCTATTACATATCTGGAGCCTTTTCTGTCCTTCACCAGTGTGTTTTAAAGCTGGTCAGAAGGATTAAGTAGAACAGACTGAAATAAAATCTAGACAAGTCAGAGAGGATGCTTGTGGAAATTATTGTGCCCTGCGGGTGAGAGTAGAGCTTAAATAAGCCAGAAATTGATGGACTGGTTGTTACCCATTGGTGCAGGTCTGCAGCTTTGGGATCATCTACATCAGAAAATAGAATGTAGACTTTTGTTCCATATGTGTTAGAACAGACGTGTGTTCAGTGCTTTACATCAAGTTTCATTTCTTCTTGAAGCCTTTTTGTAGTTTTCTGGAGTGAGGCTTTTTTCCCCTCCATGTGTTACGGAATAGCAGCTAGTTGCAGCTAAACTCTCTATGTGTGCTGTATTCTGGCCTTAAAGAGCCTTGAGGCAATATGCACAACTGCATATTGCAATACTTTTCTAGCATTCTTTCTCTGTTTATGAAGAGCAGCACATCAGCATTGTATACTGTTGTCTCTGCTCCCCCCCCCCCTACTTTTAGCATTCTTCAGGAACTCTGGACCGGAAGTTGCCCTGGCTTCACTAAATATTGGAGAGAGAATCCACTTGTATTGGCTGAAGGGGGTGGTGCAGAAGTGTGCATGTCTTGCTCCAGCGTTCACATTTTTTAAATGCTCAAAAACTTCAATACAGATTCAGCCATCTGATATGCTGTTTATCCATCTGATGTGCAATGCATGGACTTTGCTTTGTCTTTTTGGCAAGGGCATTATCCTGCATAACTAAACACTTTAAAAAACCCACAGATAGCTCTGTTGCTTTTGAGATCACGCTGGCTGACAGAAGGACATCATTTTTACTCAGGAGAACTAGAGAGAACTGATTAAAACTACAGCTACTAGACAGTTCTGAACCAAGATCCTATGAGACCACTGGCTGCCCATCTCCAGATGATAAAAATGCATGTTTTCAGCTGCCAAAGACTGAACCATAATGAAATCACTAGAAAGGAATGTTACGATCAGATTTCAAAGATCCTATTTTGGTGCAATACCAGCCGAGCTGCCTCTAGGGATCGGGGAGAAACTGGATTCAGTATGCATTTAAGATTAATTTACCTAATTTGCATTTACCAAAACACAGCCATTCTTTGAAATTTGCACTTCTAATTTTGCAGCTTCTCCGAACCTTCTCTTGCCAAGTAATGAGTACAAAAATGCATCTACAAATTTCCATATTACTGAAAATAACACAAAAATGCATTATTTTAGGGGAAATTGCTTTGCAAAAATGCATATATTGGGCAAAATTGCAAGCAAATGTATATATCAGGAGAAATTTGCACTAAAATGTTGATGAATTTTTATGAGGACTGTTATTAAAAATGCAGGGTGATGCGGAAATATAGAGAATTGAATTTAAGATTGAAAAATTAACCAAAAATGATAGATCCACCCACCCCTAGCTGCCACTATGCTATAAACCCCCAAATATATTGCTACTTTTCTTTTCCATTGGCCTATTTGACCTATTGTGGAAAGCAGAAGAAACTCTACTCAGTCTTGGATTGGATCACATTTTTCTTTGGAATAACTCACCAGAGTCAAATTTGAGAACTTCTCCATGTCAGTTTTGTGCTACATCGGTACAACATTGGCTTGTCCTTCTTCCCCAGTATAAGGTAATTTAGATCTTCAAATCCCTTAAAGGAAAGGAAAGAACTGAGGTGCACTTTGTGACCTAATGTTCCAATCCTCATAACTTTTCTGTGGATGGAGACTGTTATGTGGGGATGCACTGTACATCAAGGCAGTCCAGTTTCTTTGGTGCTGAATCTCTGCAATATGGTATAAAACAATGCATGTGCTTTCTTTATTTTGGACTCGCAGATGTCCATGGAGGCGCAGGTCAATTCTGTGTCCAGGGCAGCTGTCTCCCAGCTCCATCTGGTACTCAGGCTGAGACCCTACCTGCCCATGGACTGTCTTGCCAGAGTGGTGCATGCGCTGGTTATCTCTCGCTAGGACTATTGCAATGCGCTCTACGTGGGGCTACCTTTGAAGGTGACTCGGAAACTACAACTAATCCAGAATGCGGCAGCTAGACTGGTGACTGGGAGTGGCCGCCAAGACCACATAACACCGGTCCTGAAAGACCTACATTGGCTCCCAGTACGTTTCCGGGTACAATTCCAAGTGTTGGTGCTGACCTTTAAAGCCCTAAACTGCCTCGGCCCAGTATACCTGAAGGAGCATTTCCAACCTCATCATTCTGCCTGGACATGTGAGATCTAGCGCTGAGGGCCTTCTGGCGGTTCCCTCACTGCGAGAAGCAAAGTTACAGGGAACCAGGCAGAGGGCCTTCTCAGTAGTGGCGTCCTCCCTGTGGAATGCCCTCCCAGCAGATGTCAAAGAAATAAACAACTATTGGACTTTTAGAAGACATCTGATGGCAGCCCTATTTGGGGAAGCTTTTAAGACGGGATGAATCATTGTATTTTAATATTCTGCTGGAAGCCGCCCAGAGTAGCTGGGGAAACCCAGCCAGATGGGCGGGGTATAAATATTATTATTATTATTATTATTATTACTACAAGAATGTACATTTGTTTCCTAAGTAAATGGTTCAAAGTTAATATTTTTTAAAAATAAATGGTGTCAAGAGCATTGCAGCTATTGACAGTAGTCCATATGAATTTGATATCAGGTCAGTATAATAAAACATCATATTTTATGTGAATATTGTAACTTTATCTTAGCATTTATTGTGCCTCCCAGTAGATTTGGTAGAACACAACCCTGCATTCATGTTTCTACCTGGGAGAGTGCCTTATGAATTGCACTGTCAGGCTTGCCCCGTGCTGCATCGATATCTATGAGCTACAACAGGGAAGCATAACTCGTTCCAGAGGAAAGTGGTTGGGAGTCTCCTGCCTTTTCCTGTGTCCCTTTGTAGCTGCTCCTTCTGCTGGGACTGCAGCATGACGGTGTTTTCTGCAGCACTATTGACTTAAGTGTCTGCATATGTTCCAGCCGTGCACAGGCAAATTTACAAAGGAAGGGCATTACATTCTTGATCTGGGCCTGGTTGTGAAATCACATAAATTGGGGAGCACCCCACTTAATAGGGAGGCCATGCGGGAAGGGGGGTGGGTGGGGAGAGAGAGAGTGAGAGACTCATCCTGGAAATTGCTCAGGGCTGCTGCACAGCTTGCCCGCCTGCCTGAGGGCAGGCTGTGAGTGCAGCAGCTGGCCAGGATCGTGCAGAGGCAGGGAGCGCCACTGATCAGTCGAAGGCCACCTTCCCTTGCTCAAACAGCAGTCCCGAGTAAGGGAAGGGCAATTTATTTATTTATTTCACAGCGTCCCACATAAACGTGGTTGTGTGTGAGTGGAATTCACATAGGGGGCAGAGCTGTAGTTAAATGTCTGGCATTTGGTTGCATGTTCCTGTCACATGAATGGATTTGTTGCTGATACAGGAGAAGCTAATGTTCTACTACTGTACTTTAACTAGAACAACAGTAGCAAGGATTGTCGTGTTCTGGCACTGATTGCCCTCGATGAAATAAATCAGCGCAGAGCCAACTATGTTTACATTATCATTAAAGATATTCCCTGCTACTTAGCTTCCCCACCCCTCCCTCACCCCGTTTGTCTGCTAGTCATCATTTTATGCTCTGAGGCTAGATCTCTAATTCCGTTTTTCTTTCTCAGTTCCAAATTATATACGGATCTCAAGTCAGTCCCACCACCGCTATTTTGGTTTGTTTTATAGCCGGGGGGGGGGGGGAGGAGAGGTTTCTGTCAATTCAAGAGGGATTTCAAATTATGTATGGGGAAAGGTGGGCTTTTTCTTCCCATCGTTTCTTCTAGAATTTGGGGCCATCCAGTGAAACAAGGAAAAAAATGTAGTTTTTAAAATGGCACGTAAGTAAACCATGGCATTCACTGTGCAAGTTACAGTGGTGACCACTAGCTTTGATGGCTTTGAAAGGGGATAAGACACATCATAATGCTTATATGCTACCTACAGGTTCAGAGGCAGTATACGTATGAGTTACTGGTTGCAAGGGTACAGCAGTATCAGAGGCTGTTGTCCTGCTTGTGGTCCTAAGGCCTCTGGCAGGTTTCTGTGGGAGACAAGATGCTAAACTCTAGTTCAGCCTTCCTTAAACTTGGCCCTCCAGATGTTTTTGGCCTACAACTCCCATGATCCCTAGCTAGCAGGACCAGTGGTCAGGGATGATGGGAATTGTAGTCTCAAAACTCCTGGAGGGCCAAGTTTGAGGAAGCCTGCTCTAGTTAGATATGGTCTGATCTAGCAAGGGGGTTCCTAATTTTCAAAAATCTTCTGAATAGACTTGTGGCAAAAGAGGGGAGAAGTTTGTGAATTTAATACGGTTTTATTTTTCTTTAAAGAAAAGTTAACTAAGAATCACTCAATGGTGGGATAGTGTTATTTGGGGTGAGGGTGGGGTGTAACCACTTCTTAAAACGTGACTGCTTAAGCCTTTATTTAAAATGAATTTACTTTTTAATGCAAAAGACAGTTAATCTGTGGAACTCATTGGTACAAGATGTTTTACCTGTGAATGCTGTAACAGGAAATGGTTAGACTTAATAAAAAGTGAGCCTGCTAAGGATCATGCCAGTGGCATTATAGATCAAGTTTCATGACCCACCCAGCAGAACTAGCAAAAGCGTATGAGAGACCTGTGAATCACATGAGTGCTCAAAGAGTTGTGTTAATAACAATAAAGAATTACTTCTAGGAGTTTATAGTATGGTCTGGTATGTTGTTGGAATCGTAATTTGTGGCTAAATGAGCCATATTTTTGAGCCATAATGACACCCCTTAGGTGTCCATTACTTTGTATTTTCCAGTTTTGGCTGGAAACTTGCACCCATAATGAAAGCTAATATGTACGAAGAGGAACTCCAGAAACCTCCACCCCAGACACATCTTAAAGTGATACATCTCCTGAAAATCATTTAAGTGATTCATTTGGAAAGGGCAGTGGCACAGCTTTTGCGTTTGTGGTGCACTATAGTAAATACTAAAATTCCCTCCCAGAGTGTATTGGAGCACATCTGCATGGATTGTACAGCTCTGCTTCTAGCTAGGATTTCACTTTAGCCCTGCCTCTCACAGTCTGGTCTGGGGAGTTGATTGCTGCCTTCCTGTCTCGCCCTCCCCCAACTCAACTTCATGCATGCCTCTGGTTAGACCCCTCCTATGCCATTTCCTCAGTGCTGCGGCTGAGTGGTGTTACCACTTTAGGTTAGGTCAGATTAGTCATGTTTTTTTGGACACCTACCACTTTTTAGAAAGGTATTTTAGCAACACTTCTCCAATGCAGTCGCCGTCGCCTTGCTGGAAATAGAACTCTGTTGCTTTTTTGAAATGTTAGGCACTTCATTTTTCAAAGTTTAGAACAATTTCTGAAAGCGTGTATAGCTATGGGGGGGGGGGGACATCCCACATCTCAAATTCTGGTTCACAAGACAGATTGATAATGGCAAACTCATATAGTAAATTTGCCGTTCTATCTACGGATGCTCATGATGTTTTCAAATATTTGTTCTTGTTTGTTTTTGAGAGAGAGTGAGAGAGATTAGAGAGAAAATTCAAGACACCAATGACTGGAAAGCCTTTGATGTAATTTAAATATTGATGGTTGTTTTCCAGCATGTGAATTCCATCAGTATATTCTTTAGGAAAGATTGCCTGTAATGTTAGGTAATGCCCTGGGAGGGCATGGCGATTTACATTAAATTTAACTTGGAACCTAACATTTACACTTGGGCAAAGACAAACCCAGCCTAATGTGTTACTAAATCCTGTAAATAGATGTATAATTTACAAGTGATGCCATTCAGAAGAAGAACGGGAAGAGTGATAGAATGAGAAGGCTTTGTTGAGGGGTCTGTTTTTAAAGATGTAGGGGAAACACACACCCCCCATCTCCTTCCGAACTCTAAAATACCAAGGGCAGCAAAGGGCAAAGATGATACAGCAGAAAGAAGCACAAAGGAATTGCAGGACTGCATTTCCATCCCCTCAACTCAGTTTCAAGTAGCTTTTGGGACACTGCAAGAAATACTTAAATAATTGGGAGAAAGTAACGTGGAGTAGGAACTTTGTAAAAGTTAAAGTGTATATGGGACACATCATATTTACAAGTTTTACATCCTGCTCCACATTTGCCCTTGTGTTATGTACTGAGTTGAATAGGATCCAAAAGGCAGCAGTCTGATTGGTCCCAGAACAATAGGATTCAGAATGCAGCAGTCTGATTGGTCCTAGAACAATAGGGTCCAGAATGCAGCAGCCTGATTGGTCCACAGGAGCCACCCAATCCAGCTCCAGGTGGAAGTGAATCCGCAACCTGATTGTCCTACAGAAGAATCCTGGAATTAGCCAATCACGTGGGGCCCATTGTGTAAATGATGTATATAAATCAGACATTCTGGGGGAACTTCCATTCCTCCTCACCACTATGAGCTGAATAAAGAGCATGAAATCCACTCTCGACTCCGAGTATATTTCACCTTGACTGCTGTTGGGTAGCTGTAACTTTTTTGAAAATTTTGTGCTAACTGCATGGAAGCTCAACTTTGCCAATTTTCTGCTGCTCTCATGAAACACTTGCAGTGTGGCTCTCAGTGCCAAATGCAAGGATCCTTTTGAATTTTGATTGTTAGGGAACAGGCCTGTTGAATTCAAGTCCAGTGCTATTAATGGGACTACTTAAGTCTTTGGATATCACACATAGACTGCAGCCTATTTGAACCTTATTGGATCAGGGTGACTAAATGTAAGTTTCCTTTATTTCTTGGTGGTTGCTTCCATTTGCACACATCTAATGTGTGCCTGCCTTGAAATAGTCATTTGGGCCTCATTGAACTTGATGGATGTGCCTCTCTCTGCTGCTGCTACTACTAGTTTCACACACAACACATCAAATTAGAGCTGGGTTTAAGACCGATATATTTAAGATCTAGAGATGTAAAGCACAGGATAATAACAATTCTTTAGCACAGGGACTCTAACTAAATTAATTTTAGTGTTCTTCTTTTACAAGTTAATTTACCAGCTCATAACGGCAATACCCCCATGACCGCCTCTTCCCATGTGAACCAATCCAGACCCTGCGATCACCATCTGAGCCCTTCTTTATGTGCCTCCTCCATGAGAGGTCCAGAGGGTGGCAACACGAGAACGGGCCTTTTCTGCATTGGCCTCTCCATTTGTGAAATGCTTTCTTAAGGGAGGCTTGCCTGGTACCTTCACTATGCATCTTTAGACGCCGGACAAAAATATTTCTCTTTAACCAGGCCCTTGGTTGATTAATATTCTTTGGCCTTTTAAATGTGTTTGTGGGAGGGGGGTTATTTGCTTTTGTTTTATTATGTATTTTGTGTTGTGCGGCTTGTTGGCAGGCTGGGTGGGGCTTGCTGCACCCCCACTTCTCCGATGTATCAGCTGTCCCTGTTTAGGATTATAAACATCTGGAATCTGTTACTACGAAGGGTGACTGAAGTAATGGAAAAACTACTAAATCGGTTTCCTCTTCTCTGCTTCCCCCTTTGGATTTTGACAAAGAAGCAGGAAGGTAAATATGAAAGAGGGCATGCTGATTCAGATTGCCCTGTTCTGCTTCTAAAAAGCTTAATGTGGTAGTAAGAGCACAGAAATACCATTCTTGGACAGTTACACTTTGGCTGATTTCTTTCCCTTCATTCATTTTGCTTACTATCACTATTTTACTCTAATCCTCTTTCCCCTCCCTCTCACTCTCAAGCCGAGAATAGCAAGCCTATTCTGAAAGTCATGCTGTTGTTGATGAGACTTGGGATGGAATAAAGGTTCTGATTAGCAATTTATAGCTGTCATTCCAAAACGGTTTGCTGCCATTAGAGAACTCCTATGTAGTGCACCATGAGATTAAATTAAACAAAGGCTCTGGTCAGCCCAAAATATCAACCTTGGAGTAGGGTGCATGTTACACCTATGCTTTGGCCTCAGAACATTTCTAACACACCCTCACCGGGGGGTGGGGGTGGTAATTCCCCCCCCCCCCATTGCAGCATTGTAATTAGAGTATGCAATCACTCCCAATACAGAGATGCAGCAGGATTACCGCTTTCAGAGGAGGCTGTCTGTGTTTGACCATGTAGAAATACAAGTGTGAAAATTGCCTTACATTGAGAGACCAAAGCTCAGTACAGTGGTACCTTGGATCCCAAACGCCTTGCGAGTTGAACGTTTTGGCTCCCGAATGCCACAAAACAGGAAGTGAGTGTTCCAGTTTGCGAACGTTCTTTGGAACCTGAACGGCTTACGCGGCTTACGACTGGCTGCAGGAGCTTCCTGCAGCCAATCGGAAGCCACGCCTTGGTTTCTGATCGTTTTGGAAGTCGAACGGACTTCCGGAATGGATTCCGTTCGACTTCCAAGGTACCACTGTATCATCTATACTGGCTGACAGCACATCACCACAATTTTAGAGAGTTCTTTCCCAGCCCTTGAACCTTCTGTGCTTTAGCACTGAGCTATTATCTTTCCTTAAAGGATGGGGGGCTCCTTTGAGGTGAGAATTACTTATTAGTTTGGATCCCAGGATAACTTAACTTCAGGAAGTTGACAGGAAAGGTTCCCATGCTCCATCTCACCAACCGCTAACCCTACAGACAGGTATTTTGGGGGTCGTGAGTAGTTGCAGAGGGGAAGAGGAGACAGGAGAGTTTCTTTCTTTGGGTTTCCTTAAATTAGCTTATCTTAAGATTTAAGCCAATGGCTTCCATTTTAAATCAGAAAAAAGGTGGCATGGCTTTTATCTTTGAGGAACATATTGATACGAGAAACTCACTTTGGGAGGCTATTTCTTTAAAATCTCACATAACGATATTTGTTGCCTGTTGCTGGTGAAGAATTGTGAATTTAATTTTGCTGGGGGTTTTAATTAAATTTTACATATTGTGAATCACCTTTGGTGAGGGCAAAGTTTGTATTTCTGTGTCCCATGGTTTTCTATGAAAATGTTATACTTTAGTCTGGCTAGTGGTGAACAAACGGCTATGTATTGAATAAAATCATGTTTACATGGCCAAGTTTTCCATTCAGAAGATTTCCAATTTTTTTTAAAAACCCTTTATCAGTTGTTTAAAGTATTTTAATAGTCAATACCTTGTGAAATTTATGAACAAAGGTTATGAAACTTATCATCTTCCTGGGAAGAAGGGTTCATTTTCAATCTGTTTTTTTTTCCCTTTCAAGACTTCTGTCTAACACCCTTGCCTTTCATAATGATAAACAAGGATACTTTGTTGAATGAAGAAATGAGATTGCAATGTACAGAAGAGATGCAAGTGAGGAATTAAAAAAACTAGATGAGACATGAGAACATTCTCAAACTCAACATACCTAACAGAGATTTACTTGCTTTGGTTTTAACATCCCAGAATGTAAATATTTCTGCAGTCCTTTTGAACACCTACAAAATGGCAGCATGTTCCTCAATTCATAATCAAAAACTGCTATTACCCAAATTCTAAAAACAGCAACACATTCTTATGGACCTGTTTGGTAGGGAAAAGCCCCAAGGAAACCAATTTGTTGATAAAGCTGCATGTTAGTTTTGTGTTCTTCTCCAAAGGTCCGTTTCATGTTTCCCTGTTGAAGGACTTTATATAATAAGATCAACCGACTCATGCCACATGGAATACCTTGCGCAGTCTTAAAACCAGCGTTCTGCAAGGGGAGCAGGAAGAGTGTAACTCATTAAGGCCTGGCTAAACCAAGGCTCACGCTTTCAATAGCAACAGGCCAGTCTTCTGCTTAAAAATGAATAAAACCTAGGCCTCCGATGGACGTTTTCAAAGGGCAACCGCTTTCAAGGAAATAATTATTTCCGGTGAGCAGAAGCACTTATGTAAGTCTCCAGCGGCCTGGCGAGAGGTGGGGTGTTCGCTGCTGCATCTGCTTTTGGCTGGGTAGGATTATGGCCATTTTCTGTAGGCTGCTAGCAGCTCTCTGGCTGTGATGTAATGGTGGTTGCAGCAAAGGTGCTGTTCTTCACTGTGGCCTATAGGAGTCATAACGTTTGGCCGATCTCTCGCCTGCCTCCCAACACAAGGCATTTTCGCTCCACTCTCAGCGCACCGCACCTCCCCCAACTCTCTCCACAGAGCTTTTCCCTGAGGCAAATTTCTTGCTGTCTGGAGTATCAAATATGCACAGGCACTGCCCCCCCCCCCTTCTCTCTCTCTCTCTCCCTCCAAAGGATTTCCCAGTGTGGTGGTTGTAAGGCGCAAGCAATACCTTGAAAAGCCACTCAAAACTTTGCTCAGGTTCCCTTTTTTTTCCTGTGGTGTGGGTTTGTCTGCTTTGCTTCATTCAACTTTGTACATCTATACAAACAGTAGCTCCGCATAAGCTAGAAGCACTCTCTTGCCATTCCAATTTTTTTTTTCCTGTGGTGAAAATGCAACATGAGCAGATGGCAAGTATTAACACACAAAACGCAATCCTTGCCCCTAGACGCTGATTTTAACAATGATGTAGGCTTCTGTCATGGACTTGCAGCTAGTTAAGTAGTGTTTACAAGTTAATGAATTTGTTCCACTTGAAATATTTGATATGTGCTGAGGTTCGGCGATCAATGAGTCCTTGAGGAATAACAGAGGAGTGTGAAGTTTTGAAACCAGCTCCTCCCCCTCCTCTCAACGCATTCATTTGTCCACAATGTAAATTACCCACTTTTAATAAGGAGATGAAAATTAATAAGGGTGTGCAAAACCTGTTCCTTTTATTTCCACAGCCTTTTCTGCTTTCGTGTCACAATGGCATCACGCGATTGTGACACTTGTCCACAAAAGTGGCTATGCCGTTTTCACAAAGTAGATTTCAATCATTAATGTGCATCACATATGCTTGTCATGTTGCCCATTCAAAAACACAGCACCGTAATTTAATACAGATCTTTATCATTGTTAGCACTGCAGGTGCCGTTGACATAAATGCACAACAGCTTGCACGATGAAGCTGCCTCTTTTATTTTTTTATTTATTTTTTTACAGATCTGGTAATATTTGTAATACCTGCTGCCATTTGGGGAAAGTGGATGTGCAGTTTTGTTGTTCAACCCGAAATTGCAAATATTCACAGCATTCCAAAACACAATAAAAAATAGAGAGCAGCTGTGCATGGCTTCCTGTACCCTAAGCTGTTATAAATCTTGCAGTGATTGGGCTCTTAGCAAATGCAAATTAAATACTATTATTATAACACGGCCCTGTATCTGATGATGTGCTTTCTTATTTTTGATATGTTCAACTGATAAGTTCTAAACATGAAGGCACTGAATAGTGTACATTTTTATTGACCGGGCTAATGACAATCATATTTTGGAAATGTTTTATGGATGGTCCCATCACAAACTTTTCAGATATCAGGGATTTGGAAACATGGACTTCTTTGATGTTTGTCTCCTTTATTCTAGCTAGTTTTTATTCAAGAAGAAGTAGAAACAGTGCTCAGAAGCCTAGCCCCTAGTTTAAAAAGGGTGTGTTTCTCTTATATTCATACTTAAACTGAGGCAAACCTTTGACAAAACAGAGGGATGATATATGAAACACATGCTATTCATTATCTAGAAGAACAGGCAGGCAGTGGCCTACCATACAAAGACTTCTTTCTGGAAGAAAGTAATTGTTCATAGTTGGATGGGTAATTTTTTGAAAATGTCAACCTACAGACTCGTCCTTCATTTTCATATATAGTTAACTTGTTCAATATCATTTTAAAGATAATTTTCCAAAGTTTCATTATCTGGCAAACAGTTTTTTCAAAATGCCGTTTTATACATGAGCAAAACAACCAGAAGCACGACCTGCAAGATGACTCTGAATTTCTCTGTTCCCTCCTCCTAAAGTTCAGTTAAATATCTCTCCAATGAAATAGAGAATAGGTTAATGACCCTTTATTGTATTGACAGTTTGCTTTCTCATGTGGTGAATAGGAAAAGATTTTTTTTTTGTTAGGAGCACAATCAGCTGAACTTCAGAGAGTAAAACTTACTTTACTTGAGTGTTACATTAGTCACAAAAAACATACTCTCCCTACATCAAGAAATTAAAAGAAATATCTATATGTATATTATGTCAATAACCTTATTCTCTTCTTTGATTTTCTTGCCATTGAGAAAATGTGCAAACCACATTTGTTGTGACCAGCATAACACCACAATGGTGCAACTTAACACAGCATAAATGTGATGGCATGTGTGTCATGTAAACCTCTTTTTAGGATTGTCATATTTTCTTCCTTGAGAATTAAATAATGGTTAGGGGAGCAATCCTATGCACAAGCAGGTAGTGAAATCCAAGCTGGGGTAAATTAAGGCAAAGTAAAGTACAGCAGACCCAAACTCTGTTCCATAGCAGGGCACAAGCCCAGCAGAAGGAAAGCAAGTGAGCCTTCAAAATAGTCTTCTACTTTGGGTTGCCAAGTCACATGGCTGAGCTGGGCAGGCTTGAGATGCAGCCTAAGTCCCCAATCTCTGGTCCTGCACCTGCCACACCCCTGGAATGCCCCGCTTTTGGGACATAACACTGGCCTTGGCTCAGTCAGCTTCAACTTAGATGGCTAAGTCCTGATCAGCAAATTAAGCCAATGTATCTTTGGCTGAGCCAGGGTCAAGGACTTGATGCTGATGGAGATCATCTGCATCCCACTCTACTCGTCTGCATCCCAATCTGCTCATCTTGCCATAGGATTGTCCCCAAAGCCTATTATATGTACCATTCTATCAACGCAGAGCATCTTTTGGAAAAAAGAGACCGGCACCTCAAGAAACTTAAAGTCTGAAAGACAAGTCAGAAAAGGGAGGTAGGCATATGTTGTTGCTTTTTGAAGAAAGGTAATATAATTATGGACGCGGGTGGCGCTGTGGGTTAAACCACAGAGCCTAGGACTTGCCGATCAGAAGGTCGGCAGTTCGAATCCCTGCGACGGGGTGAGCTCCCGTTGCTCGGTCCCAGCTCCTGCCAACCTAGCAGTTCGAAAGCACGTCAAAGTGGAAGTAGATAAATAGGTACCGCTCCGGCAGGAAGGTAAACGGAGTTTCCGTATGCTGCTCTGATTCGCCAGAAGCGGCTTAGTCATGCTGGCCTCATGACCCGGAAGCTGTACGCCGGCTCCCTTGGCCAATAAAGCGAGATGAGCGCCGCAACCCCCAGAGTCAGCCACGACTGGACCTAATGGTCAGGGGTCCCTTTACCTTTTCATATAATTGTGTGTTGGTATACAGTTGTACCTTGGAAATAGAACGGAATCCTTTCCGGAAGTCTGTTCGACTTCCAAAATGTTTGGAAAACAAAGCGCAGCTTCTGTTTGGCTGCAGGAAGCTCGTCTGAGTACCAAGGCGTTCGGGAGTCAAGGTACAACTGTATTCAGTAATTTGTGGGGTCACGAAGAGTCGGACACGACTAAACAACAACAACAACAAAGATTAAAGGAAGATCAGATTTAAGGGGAAGGGAAGAGCTTCCCCACCACCACCTTTTAAACTCTGGGTTTGGACACGCCTTTACGTTTTCTTTACCAGCTGATTGTTGTCATGTATTTCCTGTGAACCAAACAAATGGCACAACTTGTATGTTTTTAATGTTGTACACTGCCCTGAGATCTTTTGATAAAGGACAGAATATAAATGGAAACAACAACAACAACATAGATTGGTCAGAACAAACTACAGTTGTTTTTAGCAAACTATTAAAGTCTAAAAACTTGAGTCAGTGCATCAGCACGTGAGTATCATTAGATTTTCCTGCATGGATTGCAGGCCATTTTTTTACTGCACTGCAATCTAAGCTTTTGCACTAGTCGCTCTTAAGTAGCTCATTTCAAATAATCGGGCGCTAATAGGCTATTTCAGAATGGTTGTTGGTAGATGAACATTCCTGCTAACAGAAGCAGTAGAATATCCAAAGATCCCGTTGCCCTAACGGCAGCTTTGCTGCGCATTCTGCTCCGGTTGAGTGTTAAACCGCCTTTATTCTTTGCCCTCGTTCAACTGCACTTAACCTGCAGAAGACTCCTGTTGCCTCTAATTCGACAAGAAAGGTGCGTGCATTTTGTGTACTTGTGTGTGTTCTCTCCTGGCCAGTAGGAGCGAAGCTTTCCTGGCCTGCTGGGAAAATTCTAGCTCTTTCTCTTTGCAGTTGCTGTGGCCAGCGGTTGCTATTACACAGTGCTTCACTGTAGTTTACCTAGCAGAGCACAGCCTGCAGGAGTCGCCATGATTACTGCAGCTTCTCTTTCTGGCTGCCCATCCCCCATCCATGCTGCAGTGCCAGTTCTATGGTGAGAGAGAGAGTTTTCACATAGTCATACACAAGACTATTTTTATTCCCTCTTAGCTGGCTATGCTATTGCCATGTTGAATGGGCTTTTTTCTCCCCATGATCTGTGCACCAATATCACCTCCCCCCCAAAAAAGTTATATGGACCCCTGGGGTGTGGGTTACAGCTGTTTAACCCTTTAATTGACAAACAGTTCTCCATTATTTCAAGGTCTGAGTTTTCTGCCTTTCTTGGGAATCAGGATGGTTTTGAGGCCAACACACTGACCTTTTTGTATTACCCCCCTCCCTTTTGGGTTCAAGTAGCAGAGCTTGTTTGCAGAAGTGGCTCCTTTTCATAGTGGTGTAGCGCATGGTTTGTTTGTTTTTCATTTGAAGTTAGCACTTTTCCTGCATCTGACTCCAGATTCTGGGTCATGCATTAATCTCTTATCTATAACTGGAGCGGGGATAGTAGCCTCCCTGAACTTCGTTTCCCCTCTGTGTGTAAATGTGGAGAAGAGTGGCCTGCCTTCTGGTGCTGTTAATTGAGACTTTTCATTAATGGACTACCTCTGGCATCAGCTGGGAAACTGCAGCTCTGCAGCTGTCTGCCATTGTGGCTACCACAGACGCAGCAGTGGGTGTAAGAATAGCCCTCCACTTGGGGGACCATGCAGCAGATGGAGCATGTTAAAGCGCTTTTTGATTTGGACCTCAGCGTTTTCTTTTCTTCTTCCTTTCAGCGCAAGTGTGTCGTGTTCGGAGGCAGCGTTGCACAGTCTGTGTTAGAAACTAGAGCAAAACGCCCTTGCACGAAGCCCAGAGTGCCAGCAGATACAGACTGTCAAGTGGATCACAAACAGCAGATAGAAAACAAGCAGAGGCCCTCATTTATAGACATGTCGCTTCTGGCAACTTCATATAGGAAAGCTTAGCTAAGTTTGTGGCTGAAAAGAGGAGAAGCCAGGGATCTTGAGCTGAGCAGAGGTCCCCAGTGTTGTAAGGACTGCCAGATTGATTCCAAATTTCAGGTTTAAGGCTGTGTGTATTATATATATGTTTTGTCATTTCAAGTATAGAATCTAGCAGCTGGTGCCTTTATGGTTTCAGAGTAAATGTCTAGCTCTCAAAAGTCTAGAACTTTGTGAGAAGTGTCTTAATGAAGGCTCCTTAATTGCTATGGAGATGAGCTCAGTTCTGTGTGGTCAGGTGGTGGCTGGTGTTTTCCATGGCACCTGTCTCCTGCCTATGCAGCCAATCTCTATGCCGCTATTTCACATTCTCTTCCTCCAATACAGATATGAAGCCCCCCACTTCTTTTTCTCTCTGCTATGGGCAGAGGAGGATTTATTATTATTATTATTATTATTATTATTATTATTATTATTACTGAAAAAAATACCCTTTCTTTTCCATTTCCTCCCCCCATTCAAGCCTCATAAGGAAGTCAGGGGGTGTGACCCTTAGGAATTTAAAATCCCAAACTGTCTTTCTTCTAAACTCATATTCCAAGTAGATATAATTTAAATTGATATAATTTAAAGAATATATCATTGTTTACTGTTCATAAAGACGTTATGCTTATTCAGGATGACTAGTTTAGCCTACCCTTACTGTGATCCTTAATACTATATACTATTAAAGTGTTGGGTGGTTGGTTATATATCCAAATTTACTGAGTGATGGAGATGCTCATAACCTGTTGATTTTTCTCCTCCAAGCACAAGTTTCTCCTGATTTTGCATGGCAGAAAGGGCTCAGGTTACAACTTGTGTCCAGTGCATTGGGCTTTAGCATGGCACCAGAATTCTCTTCCATGGCACCCACTTTCTGCCTATATCTGTGCCACCACTTTTTATACGTGCTGAAGTAAATCTGCGTTTCACTTTGCTAAGTACTCAGAAGGCCTCTTCTTGGCAGTTTGCCAACTCCCGAGCTGTTTGTGCCATTAGTCTCTGACTCCACCTACACTGAGGTTCTTTGTAGAATGCAGTTCACGGGGAATGGCTATACAGGCCCTTCAGAATCTGGAAACGTAGGAAGGAATTTTAACAATGCCTAGTCAAGGACCGATCTACATGTTACTTTGGCAAATGCCTGATCATTTTCTGAGATCATGTGGGGCCAGAGTATTGAAACCTTCTCTCTGCCTGCCCATGTTTTCTCTGCAAGTTCCTCTCCCTTGAGTTCACAACCAGCGACACTTTTTGATCTTTGGGCCTAGCTTAGGGGAGAAGGGAATGATAGGGGGTGTCTGTGAAAACAGCTGTGGGAGGAAGACACCTTTGTAGAGAATTAGTCGTGAGCAGAAGTCACATGAAGCACCTCCCATCTGCTGATGCTTTCCTATAAATGTACTGCCACGTGGGGTTGGGAATCCCAAGGTTACCTTGGACTTATTTAAAATATTGACATCCCACCTTTCTGTCTGACAACAGGCTTCCAAACCAGCTGATAAAGGAAAATTAACTCAATATTAACACATTTTCCCTTTTTGAAGCCAGTGACTAATGAAGACACAGAGACAGATGCCATAAGAATTCCCCTCTCCCCATTTCTTTGGTGTTTCTTACAAACTACTGTCGACTCAGGGGAAATCCAACGCAAAAGTGCTAGGAGTCTGACCCTCTAAACATAGAAATAGATGTTGGGTATGCATTCCTTTTGTATTAAGGTGTTTTTTGTTTTAAAAAGCCACTTGCCCCACAAACACAGATTGTGATATTGAAAGTATGGAACTGTTCTTCTTGATTGAGCTTTGGTCTTAAAACAGAAGTATGAGGAGTGTTATATGGTGAAGCAGATAATCTTGTCTAATTCTAGAATGGTGGTTATGTGGACAGCAAAACCTGATTTTGTGCAGATCATCTGTGATGTGGCCTCTCACCTTTTTTAAACAATTGGGCTAGCGCTGCTTGCTGTCACTTTGTGCTGTTAACAGACCTGCCTCTGCCAAGGTGCCCCATGTATGTTTTATTCTTTGCTTCTGTTGAGCAGCTATTCGACTGTGAAGCCCAGGAGAAATAGGAACTAATCTTTCCAGCTGCTTGGACCTCAGTATGGATGTAACTTTGAAAATACAGTTCCCTTGTTAGTCTTATCGAGTGAGCACCAGTTCACTGTGATTGAATACAGCGTAGGTATTTTATCTTTGTTTCTCAGTTTTCTTAGCTTCTCAAGAAGCAGTGTTTGGGAGTAGAGATGAGCAAAATGGAAAGTGAAAGCTATTAAGTAGTGTATAGGCTCCTAGAAAATGTTTCAGACTTCGAGAACATGAGTATTTGTGGGCGAATGATCCTTTTATTTGCCTTAATTTAGCCTGGCACCAGAAGTCTAGGGGTCCTAAGACAGTTAAGCAACACCATGGCTGGCACACCAACATAAAAAAATCCCATCTGTCTGAATTGTCCCATGGTACTGTTTAACAAACTACTTTCCTATCTGAGTATCTTTAGAAAAAATACTAATTAAGACTCAGCGTCTCTCTTTGGAGTGGTCTTCAAGAATACCGCTCTCATGCCTTTCCTTACTGAACTTCTTAGCCCATAGATAACCATTTCATTGATACGTCCCAAGCAAATTGTCTCACAGCAGAAGGTATGAAGGATTTCAACAGTTTGGTGTTTATGGGTTATAGGCAAGCTTGGAAGACAGTGGATTTCCTAGTTGACAGTTCCAGAATGTGTGGATAATATATACTGACCCACCACTGCTTAAACAGTATCAACAGAGTGCATTGCAGAGGTAACCCTCGATTATACAAACTTGGATAGTAAAATATGGGATGGTGATTTATTATTATTATTATTATTAATTCAATTTATATGCTGCCCTATACCCAGGGGTCTCATTTATTCTATAAATAAATCTGTCATGGAAGCTTTAGCTGAGATTCCTGCATTGCAGGGGGTTGGACTAGATGACCATTGGGTCCCTTCCAACTCTACAATTCTATGAAATAATAATAATAATAATAATAATAATAATAATAATAATAATAATAATAATAAAGATACAAGGAATGGCTTTTACAATGGCCCATATGGTGTAATATTGACTGCTGGCTATCAGCAACATTGGCATCTCAGACAGAAGTACCTCTCTCCCTCTCCCGAAAATGCCTGGTGGTAAAAGTGTGAATTCTGCCCCTCATGGCTGCTGAGAGGCAGGTAAGAGGGCAATGGTGTGCTGGACTAGCAGGGGGCCTGGGCTGCAAGCTTTCATGTTATTATTAAAAAGGTGAAGTCACTAGGCTTAGGGGAAGATTCAAAGAAAAGTGTGCAGGCAAACTTCTGAGTGATTTGTGTGAGATGAGTTAGGCTCGCTGCTCAAACCTTTCATTGTCTTTAGCTAATGGATGTTTGGACACCAGGTGGTTGGAATGCCTGGGATATTAAAGAGCTGCTGTTTCCCCATCAAGTACAATTTTTTATTTCCTGGTTCTGGCTCATTTTCTTCCCTTTGAAATCTCTGCAGTTTAAAGATCTACTATTTCTCCTCATCTTCCTTTGCCCTTTAGCAGGACTTACTCCCAGATAAGTGGGTACAGGATTGCGGTCTTGGCTTTCTCGTAAGGGGCAAAAGGGTTCAGTATTACTACAAAGCAGAACTTAAATATAGTTCTAAAGTTATGCTATAAAGAAAGGCATATAATATTAATAATTCTAACAAAAAAAATTAATCTAACCTTTTTAAAATCCTATGGCTTTGCCACTGGGGCAGAACACTGGAAAAGTAAGAATAGCTTTTATTTTTTTAGCAAGCTATTAGGAAAGATGTGATCAGATGTGCTTTTCCTTCCTATTTTACCAGTAAAGGGCAAATAGTAAAAACTAAAAAGTAGAGTGTTTTGCTTCCCTTGGTCTCCCAACACCAGTGACTGGCCTAAGGTGACTCCTCTTAGGAATCAGTCTCCTGTGCACACCAACCTGGGAATAAGCTCAGCTGAATACAAGTGGGACTTGTGCATCTTAGTAAACACACAATAACCAGGTCAGATTAAGTTTGCTTGAAGTCTTGGAGCTTCATGGGTGGAGGGTAAAAAAACACTCCCTAGTACAAAGAAGCATCTGTCTGGTTAAAAGGACTAAAATTAGATGCCTGTGATACAGAGTGTAGGCCTAACCAGTTCTACTCAGAAGTAAATCCTATTGAAGCTAGTGGAGCTTCCTCCCAGTTAAGCAGGGCTAGAATTGCAGCCATTGTACACTTCCTCCTGTTATGAGAGTTGGTGGCAGGTTCATGGTAGAAGGTTTAGAATGTGAAACTGCGTTTGCTCAGACTGTTGTTTCTCAGGGTTGACAAGCTTTTAGTTGTGCTCTGCTGTACAGTATCACAAGTGGAATGTAGCAGTCAGGAGGGGGAGTACTAATTTACCTGGCTTTGTGTTTTTATTTCTGGTGTCTCATCACCTTTTTTGCCTGTGGATGCTATATTACACATATACACAGTTATTTTAAAAGAAATGTATTACCAGGTTGCCCAAATGGTTTGTTGCTTTTTCTCTTTACTTGTTCTTTGCATGTTTTAGGGTGGAAAGCAGGGCTCCTTAGCCTTTAGCAGCAGTGTGGCAAGCACAAATTAGGCAAAGGAAACCTTTTCTGGTATGGAAATCAAATTTTGGGGATTCACCTGTCAACATTGTGTCTACCAAGGCAATTCCTTCTGTGTGGCCCAGCTCCACCCGCAAAAGAGGGTGCAAATTTGCATATGGCAAATAATATGCAAATCTGTGTCATTTGTGAATGCAGAAAATGCAATCCATGTACAGTGTACTGGGCTCAGAAAAGCCTTTTGGCACTCATTCTACCAGTTGGCTTACCTTACATGAGGGTGGGAACAACCGGCCCTCTAGACTACAATTCCCATCATCGATCCCTGACCATTGGCTGCGCTGGCTGATGAAATGCCAGCAACAGAGGGAGGAGTCACCTGTAGGCCAGTGCTGCTTTAAGATGGATAGGTAACAGAATGCATCCATTCCCTTCAACTTGCTAGAATAGGGAAGCCGGACCAGCAGAATTAAACTATGGTCAACTGGTAACCTTAATGCTTTAATGAAAAGAACGATGTGATATTTAGGCGATAAAGGGGATAGTGCCCAATCTTGTTAGTTGTTTGAACACAAAAATAGCATTATAAAGAAAAAAAAATATTCCAACCTATGGCTCAGCTCCTAGTAGCAGCACTGCTGCTTTTCAGAGAGAATGGCCAGCTTGCTTTGAAGAGGAGGGAGCCTGGGAGCTGCTGCTCATCATCTCCATTTTCTTCACTTCAGAAGCTACACAGGGCTACCTGTCCTTTCCATGTTCTGATCTGAGCTGCTGCCCTTTGGGTGCAGACACTGGTCACACTCCAAACTTGGGCCTCCGGAGGGGAAGGGGAAGTGCGCTGGCATTCTTTATCACATTTAATTAAGCCTCAGTACTGCACAGGTGTTCTTTCCACATTTTTGATCTGGCACCTCAGTGGGAAGGAGGGCTGCATGGAAGGGAAAAAGCCGAGACCAGCAATCCTCCCGTGCACTTGCTGACTCTGAGTCACCAAGAGAAAACATCAGGAGGAAGCCACTGGATGCTGGTTTTAGTGCTGATGTGCAACAGCCTTCACTGAGCTGTGGCGCGATGCCATTTTGAGGCTGATGAGCCAGGGGTGGGGGTGTTGGCTCTCAAACTGTGTGACGGAGATGTGCCACTATCAGTTAAACCTCCTCTGCAGCATTTCAGGGAGGCTCTGTGCAATGATGGGAAGTGCAGCCATGCAATGCGAAAGGCAGGTTGCCGTGACGGAGCACCTTTGCCTCACCACGGATGCAAAAGCTGGAGATCAGCAAAGAGCTGCAAAGGAACTGCAGTGCTCACCAGCCTTTTTGGCTCTGGTGCCAGCCACTTGCATTCCTGCTCCGCGTTGAAGGTTTCTTGCCAAGCACGAGAAACTAACTATACCAGAAGGCGGCCATCTGAATTCAGGAATGCGCTCAGGCTTTGGAGGTGCAACCAAACATAGCCAGTGTCTCTGTCAGAAACGGTCTCTCTCTCTGATGCACAAATGAAAGAAAGCTACCTGCTGGGCTGGGCATTTAGGTGAAGTCCTTGGTGTCACTTTGCTACAATGGAGATACTTCTCCAGAAGTTAAAACTGTCCCACTCTGGAACCACTGGAGGAAAAGGCCATTAACGGTTTCCCTTGTAAGGTTAGGGAATGTTATTCAAGAAGTTGCCTACCTTACCACAGCTACAATTTCCTTACTACAGTGGGTCAAGTTTGATATCAACCTGTTCCAACTTTATAGCTGAATCAAATGCCTTCAATTCCACTGAGATGTGTAATGATTATGGACCTCTGGCTGTTAGGAGAGTGCTTCTGCATGGCTAAATGGAATTTATTTTTTTCTTCATGATAATAAAAATATGGATTTTTTAAATTATACAGGTCTAGGATTTGTGGTTGTCTTCACCGACCTAGGGTGATGGGAATGGCGAAGTGAAATTCAGAATGAATTGCATTTTAAAAATATGTGTATGGGGGGGGGGGGATGCTAAGGGTTCTTGTAGAGGAAGCCATCAGTAACTAAAAGTTGAAGAGGAGACAGTAAAGATACAAAGGGCCTGTTGGTTGATTATTCATTCCTTTCCCCCTGCCCAGTTTCTGGAGGAGGAGATTAAGAATAGAAGACCCTCCTAATAGGCTTTCACTGACAGCTGGCAGTATAGCAGATTTCACTACCTAGTGCCTCAGTTCTCTTGTCCTCAAGTATCTTGTTAAGCTTCTTTCTTGGACTGAAGTTTCATAAAGTCTGAAAGCTGCAATCCTGAATCTAATTACTAGAAAGTCCAGCAAAACCCAATTTGACTTATTTCCAGGTAAACATGCCTAAAAATGTGCTTCCAGACTCACATTTGCCATTTGAGCAATGCACAAGAATTAGGAATCCCTCGCCCATCCTGTCAATCCAGAACCAGCCCCCTTCTAAACACTTACTCATCCTTTCAGTTTTATATGGAAATGAAAGCAGAAGAGTTTTGAGTTATTATACAACAGAACAGAAACTTGTTTGTTTTTTTCTTCAGAGGCAGATAGTGCTGGGGACAGACAGCTGGGGAAGACTGTTGCCTTCATGCCCTGCTTGTGAGCTCAGTATCCGACTGGCCACATTTTTGGGGGAAAACAACATTAGGTTATATTAGCCTGGTCTGATGAAGCTTGGTACTGTGACAAGGATGCAGATGCCCCACAGGCCAAGTTCAGAAAGTCATTAATTCCAAAGGGCCAGACTGAAATAAGGATGCATTGACCTGCATCTTCCTGCCAGCAGTCATTCCAGGCCTCACATGGTCCAGTTTGGGTATTTGGGGGGGGGGATTAAGAGGAATATTTCATTCTGCTTCCAAGTCTGCCAGTGGGGGCATTGTATTGCCAAGCTAATGCAAACTCTTCTTGCACCCACCAGTTCTTCTAGCAATCACTTCCCCCAAATTACTTGCCGAAAAGCCAGAAAGGTCTTTCACTCACAGAAAGATTTCAGTGTTAATTTACTGTTTAAATGCTAGCACAGAATTGGAACAAAGACCCGAGAGCTTAAATGTATTGTGTGTGATACATTTACAAAACAAAAGTTTCAAATGGTACAACATAACTTGATACAAAGGCAAAGGCAGCAAAGATTTGAGGTGCTTGAAGGACTTGCCACCAGGATAGGTGCCATCTTCTTCTGCACCAAATCAAACATAAGATTACTTGATTTTCAGTAATTTAACAAAAGTTCAAGAGGTAATTCCGTCACAAAATAGATTCTTCCCATGACCAGTAAAATCTGCAGGCAACTCAAGCTTAGACTTATATCAACTTTCGTTTGGATCTCATGCTGCTAACAGGACTAGAGCTTTGGGGGGGTTAAAACGATTTTTTACCATTAGTTTGTTGCAACGATTGGAAATATTCAGAATTCCCAAATTTATTTTTGATGCTCAGAAGACCACTTCCACTTAGATATTATGTACAATATACATTTAAATTTGATTTAATCAGTTAGGAGCAATTTAATTAAAATCTAATTCTTTGGCGACCAGCTGAGGGAGAACTAATGTCTTTCTTCTTTTTCAGAAACATGCCACAGCTTCGCAGCACACTTACAGCCTGCCAGAACTCTACAGAACTGAAGATTATTTTCCTATCAAATATATAGGCAGCAAGTACCAGAACCACTAAGGCTGCATTTAATCGTCTCTAGCATTTGAGAGAACTTGATCTGAACAGCTACAGGGATAGAGTAAAATAGATGTTAGACCAAAGAAGGGAAGAGTGGTAATATTTCTGCCTTTTTATCTTTCCCATGAGGGAGAAACTAATCCCCAGATTTGCTGGTTTTCAAGTATTGATGGTCCTTGTGCTATGACAAAAACTTTATACAGTCTTGTTGCTTTGCTTCCATTTGGCATTTGAGACAGGTTTATGTAAACAAAGCAGGAATAGCACATTTAAGATGTCAAAATTGGATGAAACTTACTTACCTTAAGTACCATGGATTGCAGCAAGAAGCTATTTTCCTACTCTCTGCCTAACTGCTACAATCTTTCATTTATACCAAGGTTGTTGCAGTGTAGAAATCCTACTTTGAAAGTTGCCTAATAAAGTGGCACAATCTTACTTACCTCCCCGCTTCCAAATAGCACATATATTCAAAATTCTTCTGAAGTGTAACTTGAATGGTTTAGTTCTGGAAAATGCATGTTATTGAACCACAGCATGTTCAAAACAAGCAAATTAAAATACGTAATGCGCACTAAAGAGGCCATTGCATCCAGTGTCTTATTTTTGAGGCATGAACCTTTGGTTACAAGCTCAGCCACAAAGGTATAAGCGATCAGAAGCAGTACATATAAGCCATACGAGGCAGACTCCCCCATATGAAACAGGGTACTGCTCATATACAGGGCAAGGTGAGGCTGCCTCAAGCAGAATCCACACGACAGCAGATCCCAATGTAGATCTCTATTCCAGATCTTCACTCACTCTTCTTCCTGGCAGGCGGGGGGGGGGGCACCATTTTGTGGTTTGCCTCAGGTGCCAAGATGTCTTGGGCCAGCTCTCCATTAAATGCGATTTTAAAGCATTTTCTGATCCCTCTATACAAAGTACTTCCCTAAAAGGGATGAAATGAATTAACACTCATTTTAACAAAGGCAGTGGATCAGCACATGGACTTTGTCTGTATTCTGCCTCTACTGAAATGAATGGCACTGCCGGGATGCCTAAATTCTGTCATGCAGCTAAGAACAAGCTGTGTATCTGTATTTATACAGTGTATGTACACAACTTTTGCTGCAGATGTTGCAATTACAGGAGCTCATACCTTAGGATCTCCCAGCTCTTTCCATTGGTTTTGCTCACAACAGCAATGGACTGTTTAGAACATTTAAGGCATGCACAACTATTACTAATTTCTGGAGATGTAGATTTTAGACTGCAGAAGTAAACGACTGTATCCTTTCGAGTGAATTGATCAATACTGAAGGCTATATTAAAAATATATGATCAGACTGCTGCAATCTATTGATTTTCATGAATGCAATATAAAATGAAAGCAATCTGGCTCATCCAAGGTTACCCAAGAGGGCTCACAAAAATGTCTTTAGAATCATGTTGCCTACATCTGATGGAACACCTGGCTTCTTATTATACTATCATGTGCATAAAATAAAAAACCTAGTGTGAAAACTTTTAATTTCTTTTTGACATTGGTGTTGCATTACACACTCACAAATTATTCTGCAATTGTGAAGCAGTTATGGCATAAACCAAAAATGAAACACAGAAAAGGAGTAGGTCCTGTTTAAGTGGTTTAGAACCTATGAAATGTTATGCAAGTTCCTGTGGCAAGTTCCTGGAATACATCCTATTAGCATATGGAATGCTGACACATTAGGGAGAACTCTAGCAAAAAGGATTAGGTTTTTTTGTAAAAAGGTTAAGGAGTGAGTACAAACAGTACCTGCTTCAAGGGCATCAGTGCAAATATTAGACTTTTATGTTCATGGCAGGCTGTGGCCTGGAATATGCAAGTTGGACCTACCGTATTTTTCGCTCTATAAGATCCACCAGACCATAAGACGCACCTAGTTTTTGGAAGAGGAAAACAAGGAAAAAAATAATAATCTGAATTTCAGATGCCAGAACAAGAGGGATCGCTGCGCAGTGAAAGCAGCGATCCGTCTTGCTGTTCTGGCTTCTGGGATAGCTGCGCAGCCTGCATTCGCTCCCTAAGATGCACACACATTTCCCCTTACTTTTTAGGAGGGAAAAAGTGAGTCTTATAGAGCAAAAAAAACGGTAATTGCTTTGTGGTCGACTCCAAATACCTGATTAACTGACTACCAGGAACTACCAGCTTGTCTAATACCTGGTTACATTCGTGAACTGGTAGGAAAAAAACCTTGCAAATGTGCAGACTAACTTACCCTCCTCTGCAAAAGTAGTCGTCAATATATATCATCAGAACGTTTGTAAGGTTTCTTGTGAGCTTTTGCCTTATGAGTCCACCACTATCAGTTGCCCAGGTTGTATTCTTGCCGCTTCCTGCTAGAACAAGACGCATCCTTGACTCCAGCACATCGCAACACAATGAAGCAAAACTAAGATGTTTAAAAAGCTTCTTTCCGCACAAGTGAGGTCTTAGAAAAAGGGGAAAACGTTTACATTTTTCAATAACTGAGAAAATGAGTAAGCTGTGTCACTTGAACAGAATGGTCTCTGTACAAACTGGGATGTTGGAGTATTTTTTTCCTATGCCTGTCATTAGGGGAAAATACATATCATTATGTATTCACTCCTAGTATGGAATAAGATGCCCCTGGTATATTACTTTTAACATTTGCTGATAAATGCATGAATTATATTAGAAATATGTGATATATGAACACTTTCCAAAGTTACAATGCTCACTACTACCTTAATTTATCTTCATGTTGCTCATCTGCCCCATCTTTAAGTATACATTTAACTTCCCCACAGAAAGCAATGGGACTTTAAAATGCTCAACTTTAAATTGGCTGTGCTGCATATTTGCACATCAGTTAACCTATATAGTCTTTTACATTTGTATTTGTCTATTACTTGATTGAGGCTCCATAGGATTCGTTTTCATATAGGCCACCTATTGTGATTTGTATGAGACTGCTCCAGCAGAAATCTTTCGTTTTCTCAAGGCATCATCATCCAAGATTGCTTCGTTTCAACAAAAGCCAACATAATGAAGCAGAGTTTTTAGAATGAGGGATGCAGACCTCGTAATAAAGCAAATGTTTACATTAAGCACAATACAGCAATTTATTTAGATGCTTAAATGAATACAAAGGGGAAATAAAGATCACAAATTATCCATACTACAACAATGTGTCATATATTAGATGGTATAAATGAATACAACACCATGTTGGTGTTAACTAAAGATAAAACTAAATATCCAAAAATGCAGCACTCATTTCCGTATGCTGCTTTAACACAGTACACTTTTATACAGATCTAAAAGGTGTCAAAATTAGTAGCTGCAAACTTGTTTCTTGCATGTGATTTTTTTTTTTTAGCTTAAAAGATTTCAGAAAATGGCTCTGAAATACATAGTCATCAGTTGTAATGTCAAGGATATTCAAGAACAAGAAAATTCTATAATACAATAGAGTCCAGATATACTTTTATGTTGCTGGCCTCTGTTTTGAGATTGTACAAGGTTATGTGCAAAAACTAAGTCTGTCAAAATTCTTACTATAGCAGTTTCAAGCTTTTTGCTAGGTAAACTAGATACAGCATTTATTACACAGCAGGGCAACACTAAAAAAAAGGAAAAAAGAACCAAATCTATGATGGGTACACAAGAACAATAGCATAAGCATCACTTGAATAGGTCTAAAAGACTGTACAAATATACATTTCAACTATTCAGAATGATACATGAAAAAAAACAATTTCCCCAGAGTCCTACTATACACATTGAATTGGTAGCTCATATGTTGGCCCTAAAACTACCATGTGAAAAAGGGTAATGTTTAAAAAGACATACAGCTGAACATATACAGAGTGAAATATGTTGAAAATGCCAATAAAATAAAACCTTTGCTTTTCTTCAGCGAGCAACTGGGAGCCACCAACATATCCATTTTCACATTAAGTTACTGTGCTCGTCACAGCAGATACTCTCAAGTGAGATTTGCCAACAGCATACTTTGCAATAAGAACTGGAATCGGTGTGGCAGCCTCACAGCCACTAACCAGGTGACCTTGCATTCAAAAGGCAGTACCAGTTTACAATGAACTTAGCAGTCGTTCTGAAATGAAAATGTTTAGACGGTTGTCAAGTGGAAGATATGGAGTCTCGAGTTTTAACAGCTTATGCTTGCTGACTACTCAGCTCTACCCCAGTTAGGGTGCTGTGCATCGATTCCGTAACCCCATCAGTCACACTGTCAAACTGTTCTCCGTCCTCGCTGTCAATTGTGCTGTTCTGCCACTCCATCTGCTGATTTGACAAGCTCTCTTCAATTTCTGTTGCATTTTTCCACTGTGACTGGTCCTTGGACCAAAACTCACCCACTTTTCCATAGGAACTATTCTTCCACTTTGACTGTTCTTCGTCACTCTCAGAGGCAGCACCTTTAGTTTCTGCAACTGGTTTACTATTAGTAGCATCTTCACTTTGGGATGATTCATCCGTCCACGTTTCTGGTTTCACTTCAGATGTATTATCTTCAAAGTCAGACACTTGCTGAGAACCAGGTACGCTTTCAGACGGCGATGCTTCTACTTTCCATTCAATGGGATCATCTTGATCTTCTTGGTCACCTTCACTGTCTGAACCTTCAGCTACCAGCTTTGTTGGTTCTTCTGCAGAGCTACTCTCCTTGTATTTGGGGTCTCCATCCTCCTTTTGGTCTATTTTTTCCGGAGACTCCAAAGTGGCTTCTTCAGTTGTCTCCTTAGATATGCTTTCATCTGGTGTCTCATTTATACTATTAATAGATGTTTTGCGACCAGAGTTAGACACAGATTCTGCAAATGGACTATTGCTTTCGTTGAATTCCTGTTCTATGTTCTCAAAACTGTCTGAGGAACTTTCATTATCTTTCTCTAGGTTTATCTTTTTATCAACAGTTTTGCTAGGATTGACTCTGGAATTCTCTTCGTCATGGTTCTCAAACAACCACTCGGCATCAAAATCCATTTCGTGTTTAACCTTGTTCAGTTCTTTCATGTTGAAACCTAGCAAGACACCCAGTTTATACCTTTCACAATCTCTAACGCATTTCTTTCTTTTGTTGCTGAAGTGTGAAGCAATGTCGGATTTCCAAAGCCAGAGACTGGCAGCTAACTTTTCAATCTCCCTCCGACTGGGATACGGTTGCTTATTGAAATACTTGGTGAGAAATGTTTTCCTAGCTTCGTAAGAATCATCTTCATGACCCTTGGGATCTAAAGCCAGCACTACAGGTTCTTCAGGCTTCTCCTCAAAGACGGAAGGGGAATCGTCGTCATCCATTTTTCTTTTCTTCAACAGAGAGAATTCCATGTGTTCATAAGTACGTTTCACAGGTCCTGCACCTGGAGACTGGTTTAGTCGGGAGGGAACATTACCTTTGTCTTGACCGTTCTGAGTCTTCCCCACACCCCTGCAGTGGACAAGGTGCAGGGTTATAGTTGAGGCAGTCATGTTACTCGTGTAGACTCCAAGGCAATGAATACATTTATATGTAAGCTTTTTCTCTACTGGATGAACTGTTTGAATAACTTGATGTCTCTCCCTTAAGTGATGTGCCAGTGCATCAGAAATGGGTCCTTTCAGGATTGAAAAGCACAAAGGGCAAAGTGTTTTCCCCACATCCTTTTTGTAGGGGACTGCCGCTTGAGGAGAACTTTTTACAGGTACATCTGTCTTCTCCTGAATTTTTGGCTGTGGTTTTGGAGGAACTGGAGCGGTATTTTGAGCATGGTAAGCGACGGATTCGGCAGGGGCATCTCTCAAGTTGTAGGTAGTTACAAGTAAGTGTATATTGGTGTGGCTACCCTGCTGCAACGTCAAATCAAACGTTAACGTGGAATCAGTTTTGGGCCCCATTTCTTCATCGACATGAACCATTCGCATGTGAGCAGCCATCTTCTCAACATCGTTGAACGTCGAGCGGCAGTAGGGACAGGACAGACCATGGATTAACATGTGGTTGAGCAGCGTGTCAGTAGGCAAGTAGCGATTACAGTATAAACATTTGCTAGTAAAATTATGTATTTTCATGATGTAGTTAGCAACTGCGGGCACCTTTTCAGCCTTGTGCTCTTTCTCAAAATGAACACTGTACACGTTTTCGGGGAAGAGCTCATTGCAGATTGTACAAATCTTCCATTTCTGAGTTGATGAAGTATTGGCAGAAGTGGTACATATAGGGCCAACGGCAAGAGGCTTGGGTGTGGACTGGGTTAATATTCTGGATGCTGCCTGAGACTGACCTAATGATGTTGATTTCAGTGAGCCTGATGAAAGTGAAGATGAGTTGGCAGACGAAAGAGAGTACCTTGCTGTAGCCTGCGATCTTGGTTCCCCTCCGAGAGGGTAAGGTCGCCCGTTTCCACTTGGGGAATACTGCTTCATTGATTGAGACTGCTGGGATAGAGAAACTGGAGAACTACCTGTCAAACTTAGCCTTCCTCCCGTGTGACCAACGTAACTTGGCGGTACCGATTTCACACCATAGTTGTTCGGTTGCAAATGAACGTTGGACATCATATTTACTCCTCCAGAATTCAATGTAGGCTTTGGTATATTCAGTCGATTCATCATTTGCTGGGATGGAAGAGACCGGACATTTCCAGGGGACAGGGCACCCATCCTCTGAGGAAGTCCCATAGGCTTTTTATCCTGTGGTTTTGGAGCAATTAGCATTAAAGGTTTGGATCTTGGAACTACCACATTTGTATGCCCTATCATTGCTGTCACTTGGTATCCTATACGCTCGTGGTCTTCAATAACATGCTGTACTAAAGCTTCATACGACTTCGGCATAAAAAGGCAGCGTTTGCAGTGAATCATGCCCTCTTCTCGGGAACTTAAGGGTACAATCCCATTGAGTGACTTCTCACTTCCCTTTGCTATATAAGGTGCAGCAACATGCTGAAAATGTTCCCTGTAAATGTGCTTTCGAACTATTTCGTAGAGAGGATCTCGGTAAGTGCACTTCTTACAGTAATAAACAGCTTGTTCTACACTGTCAGCCTGCTTAGGTTTAAGGCTATCATGCTTGTTTTTATCTTTAAAAGTGCTGATGCCTCCACTTGGTGTACTGGCATTTGGAGCATGAAATATTTTAATATGCGTTTCCAAAGTCTTTTTGTCTGCATTGAAAGTACAGTAGGGACAATTGAGAAGGATCCTGTTTTCAAAGTCTTCACTATGAACATTCCGGAAGTGACTTTTGTAGGCAGAAAAGAACTTTGAAGAAAATGGACATGCACTGCAGCAAAAGGGTTTTGTCCGATAGTCCTTAAAAACAAAACAAAAAAGAAACTTAAGTATCAGAAAAACTGCATTTGATTTGCATTCCCTTTCCTAATCCTTCTGACTCAATGGATCACAGCCTCAAGGCAAACTTATGAAACTATCATCCATTTAACATTCTTTTTTTTTAAGCTGGCAAAAATCAGGCAATTCATAGAAAGTCTTTAAGAGAGACTAGTCCTAGACCACAGAGAAATGAATCTTCCTTATTTTTGATCATTCAGCCCCTGCAAATCAAGCATTACAAACAGCTGCCTGCTTAAGACGTAATAGGAAGCCATGGGTTGTATCCTATGCTGGTGCTACTCAGAGTAGACCCACTGAAAATAATGAACCTAAGTTAGCCATGTTCATTAACTTCAATGGGTCTACTCTGAGTAGGGCTAGCATATGCTACAAACCATGGTTTCCCATTAAGAGAACGAGCTGCAGTGACCTTTGGGCTGCATGCTTCCTCCCCCTTCTCCTGCAACTTTGTGCTTCAGGAGACTGAAAGCTTCACAGAGCCACACCACTTTCAAACTAAGGGTTTTAAATTGTGTAAGGAGCCTCCAGAAGTAAAGGAGGCTCCCGGTTTCAGAACTTGATCCTCCCAACTTGTGAAAGACTTGGAAAAAAGTTATGCTTCAGAGGAAGTAGGGCTTGTAAGGGTGCTCTTAGTCTCTCTCACATAAGTGTTAGCATGCACAGCAGTAAAAACACCAGAACATGGCTTCTATTGAGGTCAAGAACGAAAGCAGCTTTCCATTTCCTCAGAGAAGCAATGGGAGAGCATAGAAATCTAAGCTGTGCCACCACGTGTTCTCATAACACGAAAGCGCAGTTTCCCACTATATCTGAACCAGTCCAGTGATTCATCAGCATATACCAGATTCTCAAGCAGTGATAAATACTTAAGCATGCACAAATTCTTTTTAGAATCTTTGTATTGGTGCAACATCTAATTATGGCTTTATCAAAGTTTCCAAACTTTCAATCTGATACAGTCTGCAACTAGATAAACTCAGATTGCTCCGGTAAATATACCCTGACAGTTCAGACATCAAACCATGGTTTGTGCTAAATTTAGTGTGTAACTCAAATCACTGTTTTGAGATTCCAAACACACCACAGCCAAACCATAATTCAAGGCTGCTAGACTGCTTTCATTTTCTGCCCTCTTAGTTTCATAAATCACAGATTCACTCCTCTCTATCGTGCAGCAGCTTCTGCAAGGAAAACAAAAGGCCATAACTATGGTCTGTCAATTCATTAATCATGCTAAACCATAGTTTATGCCTTGCAAACTAAATTATGGTTTACCAGCTCTAGTTTGTTGGCCTATTACAATGAGGGGGGAAAGTATTTGATCCCCTGCTAAATTTGCCCATTTGCCCTCTGATGAAAAAATGACCAGTCCATAATTTTAATGGTAGGTTTATTGTAGCTGTGAGAGACAGAATAACAACAGGAAAGCCCCCAGAAACCCAGAAGACAAAAGTCAAAGATTGATGTGCATTATAATGAGTGAAATAAGTATTTGATCCCTTTGCAAAAGATGACTTATAGTACTTCGTGGCAAAACCCTTGTTGGCAATTAGATTTCAGATGTTTCTTGCAGGTGGCCACCAGGTTTGCACACATCTCAGGAGGTATTTTGCCCCACTCCTCTTTGCAGATCCTCTCCAAGTCAGTAAGATTTCGAGCCTGATTTGTAGCTACTCGAACCTTCAGCTCCCTCCACAGATTTTCAATGGGATTAAGGTCTGGAGACTGGCTAGGCCGCTCCAGGACATTAATGTGCTTCTTCTTGAGCCACTCCTTTGTTGCCTTGGCCATGTGTTTTGGGTCATTGTCATGCTGGAATACTCATCCTCGACCCATTTCCAATGCCCTGGCTGAGGGAAGGATGTGCTCCCCCAAGATTTGACGATAATGGTCCCGTCCATCGTCCCTTTGATGTGGTGAACGTGTCCTGTCCCCTTAGCAGAAAAACACCCCCAAAGCTTAATATGTCCCCCTCCATGTTTGACAGTGGGGATGGTGTTCTTGGGGTCGTAGGCAGCATTCCTCCTCCTCCAAACACGGCAAGTTGAGTTGATGCCAAAGAGCTCGATTTTGGTCTCATCTGACCACAACACTTTCACCCAGTTCTCCTCTGGGTCATTCAGATGTGCATTGGCAAACTGCAGATGGGCCTGTACACGTGCTGTCTTGAGCAAGGGGACCTTGTGGGCTCTGCAAGATCTCTTGTCCTTCACGGCGTAGTGTTACCAACTGTTTTCATGGTGACTATGGTAGGGTTACCTGACGTCCCCAGTTCCTGGGCACAGTCCCCAGATTTGCAAATCTTTCCCCAGACCAATTCCACCCCTGGAATATCCCGATTTCATTAAATGTCCCCAGGAAACAAGGACGCCAACAGGAGCAGCCGGAATCAACTCAATTGTTTGGCAGGGAGGCGAAGTGGGGAGAAGGCGCTGTGATTGCAAAGCACGGGCACACGTGCAAGAGAGGAAAAATCGGAAAGAAAAGCCCCCTTTCTCCGTTGGCCTCATTTACATCTCCCTGGATGGCATCCTGGCCTATGGCAGGATCCACTTCCAACCCTTCTTCAAGCTTCGCCCCACCCTCCTTGCTTCTCCCCTGTCCCTGACGCTGCTGCTGCGGCCCCGTGAATGGAGATCAAGAACAAAGCTGGTTGCACTCAAAGCAATGGAGAGATAAAGAAAGAGAAACAGAGAGGGAAAGGAGGGCAGGGGGCAAGTGAAATCGCCCTTAGAAGAAAAAAGAAAAATCCCAGTGAATTGTATTGCCAGCTCCCTTTCGCTCATGCACCTCTCTGTGTGTGTGACTGGAGATTGTGAAGTCCTGACACAGACTCTCCACTAGTTCTGAACTGGAGCCACCTCCTGCTTCCACCTCTTCCGCCAATCTCCACTCCCTCTTTCTCTCTCTTCTACCCACCCCTGGCCTCAGCTAATCATTTAAACATATCATGTAGAGAAGTGGCAGCAGCCAAAAAAATAGGGGGGCGTGCACACACATATATTCTCTTCTTCACCACTACTTCTGCCTCCTCACCGCCACCACCCACTCACCCAAGCTAGTGGGAGGAGAGGGGGGCTTCTGGCAAATAAAAGCAGATTAGAGACTTGCCAATCAGAAGGTCGGCGGTTCGAAACCCTGCGACGGGGTGAGCTCCTGTTGCTCAGTCCCTGCTCCTGCCAACCTAGCAGTTCGAAAGCACGTCAAAGTGCAAGTAGATAAATAGGTACCGCTCCGGCGGGAAGGTAAACGGCGTTTCTGTGCGCTGCTCTGGTTCGCCAGAAGCGGCTTCGTCATGCTGGCCACATGACCCAGAAGCTGTATGCCGGCTCCCTTGGCCAATAAAGCGAGATGAGCACCGCAACCCCAGAGTCGGCCACGACTGGACCTAATGGTCAGGGGTCCCTTTACCTTTACCTAGGTACCAAATGTGAAGGAGATAATCTAAAGGCTCAATCTGCCACCACTGGCCATATTCCACTCCATTTGAGCTGCTTGCGGCTGCATGGCTTTGGGGAGGACAGAAGGAGGGATGGGGGGAGGGAGGTGGGCTGGGGAGAGAAAGAGAAAGAAGTGGTGTGGGGTGGGTGTGTTCGTGCAAAAGCTTTGGGGCAGCAGGGAACACTGGATCACTTCAGCCGACGGTGGCTGGGAGCTTTGGGGCAGCCCCGCAGCGAGCAGGAGGCTCAGCTGCATCTCGGGATCCCCACTGGGTGCCGTCTGCACACTCACAGAGAGGACCTCCTCGCCAGCTCAGTTTTAAAGCAAACTTTGATCTGTGGTGTTGACTTTTTTCCTTAATTTTTTTAAAATGTTTTTTTTTCCTTTTTTTAAAAAAATATATAATACAGTGGTGCCCCGCAAGACGAATGCCTCGCAAGACGGAAAAACCGCTAGACGAAAGGGTTTTCCGTTTTGAAGTTGCTTTGCAGGACGAATTCCCCTATGGGCTTGCTTCGCAAGACGAAAATACCTTACGAGTCTTGAGATTTTTTTTCCGCTTTTCCCCCCCTTTATCTAATCTGCTAAGCCTTTAATAGCCTTTAAGCCTTTAATAGCCGCTAAACAGCTGATAGCGCTAATAGCGCTAATCCGTCAATGGGCTTGCTTCGCAAGACGAAAAAACCGCTAGACGAAGACTCTTGCGGAACGGATTAATTTCGTCTTGCGAGGCACCACTGTATTAATTATATTATATTAATTATATTATACTATATTAATTTATTTGCATCCCCAGATTTATTGGAAAAAATCTGATAACCTTAGACTATGGTCCCAGCTGCCCTGAGATCATTGACAAGTTTCCCCCCCGTGTAGTTCTGGGCTGCTTCATCACCTTGCTCATGATCATTTCAACTCCACGAGATGAGATCTTGCATGGAGCCCCAGACCGAGGGAGGTTGACGGTTATTTTGTGTTTCTTCCATTTGCGAATGATTGCACCAACTGTTGTCACCTTCTCACCAAGCTGCTTGGCAATAGTCTTGTAGCCCAGTCCAGCCTTGTGCAGGTCTACAATCTTGTCCCTGACATCCTTGGACAGCTCTTTGGTCTTGGTCATGGTGGCTACTTGGGAATCTGCTGGATTGATTGCTTCTGTCGACAGGTCTCTTTTGTACAGGTACTGTAACGAGGTGGGATTACAGGTAAGACCTCTCCCTTACAGCAGGTGCTTCTACTCTCAGCTCGTTACATACAGTGAAGATACCAGGTAGCCTGACATCTGGCTGGTTGATAGGGGATCAAATACTTATTTCACTCATTATAATGCACATCAATCTCTGACTTTTGTCTTCTGGGTTTCTGGGGGTTTTCCTGTTGTTATTTTGTCTCTCACAGCTACAATACACCTACCATTAAAATTATGGACTGGTTATTTCTTCGTCAGAGGGCAAACGGGCAAATTTAGCAGGGGATCAAATACTTTCCCCCCTCACTATATACACTATGCTTTGTCAATTCAGACCCACCAAACCATTGTTAAGTTTCTTTAACAATGTTTTGGTAGTATATCAGAGTTGAACTACCTGCTGTCAGTTCTTTCTCAATTCTGCTTATCTTAAAAGGGACAAAAATTTGCTAGTTAAGTTTAAATTTCTTCGATATGTTGAACTACTAGTGGTAATATCCAACTAAGTCATATTCAGGAGTACACTCACTGCCAAACTCAAGTGCAAAAGATTTTAACAGACCTAATCAGCAACTGCAGTTTCCAGACACCACAGTGCAGTCCCCATAATACTATAACACTCTTTTTCTTCTGTCCCACCTCTGCTGACATCTGGGCTGTAATCCTATGCACACACATCTTGCAATAAATCTCACTGAAATCAGTGGGAATTATTACTTTCGTAAACAGATATAATTTAGGTTGTAAAGCACTTAACGTTTGTCATAAAAACACGATTCCAAACTTAATTGGTTTCAGATTTAAGGTCATTTTACCACATTATTACCAACCTGATTTTTTGTAAGTGAAGGATCCCACAATCCAACATCTTCCCATGTAGTGTTTTTCAGATAGAAGTCATTGGGTTCAAACTGCTTAAAATCCTGCAACAGTGGAAGATTGACAAAAGCATAAATAGAAATAACAAACCACAGAATGATTGCCTATTCATTTCTTTAGATCTTGAAAATTCAAGAAGAATTATTAAGGTACCAAAAATTGCAAATAAAAGGGCTCATTAACAGAAAACTTCCCAGGGAGTATAATTTTTACTAATTAATGCACTTATTATTTTTTTACTAATTAAGGGCATGATACAACCACTTCAATAGAAGACAGGTACTTAACATTCCTTTGAAATGAAGATGACTTTAAATTGCTTAAATTTGTCTCGCCCCTGTTCGCTTTCCCCTACGAAGTCCGTTTAATTTTTTTATGCAATCTGTAAGTCACACAGATAATCACATATGAAAAATTATTCGAGGGAATGAGCTTGCCAGACCATATGAGCAAGGAAATACTTGCAGGAACATGGATTACAGTATTTTTCTGTGTATTGGACGAGGTTTTTTGACACAAAAATCATGTCAAAAAACTGACACGGACAGTGGCATTGCGGGGGAGAGATGCCACTGCACGCGGGGAGCCATCTGGGGGTGCTGGCTGGCTGGGGCACAACTTCCCTCGATGCTGTTGTGCGCAGGAAACAATCTAGGGAGGGTTTCCTGCCTGCAGCTGCCTGGGGAAGGAGGCTCAACAACTTTGGGCCATCTCCCCTCATTTTCTTAAAACTGAGTCCCCCAAAATAAGGGGGAGTCTTATATATGGGGGCATCTAATAGACAGAAAAGTACGGTAGTTTGTGCGTCGACAGGCTATTTGTACTTTTAAGTAAAAGGCGTAGAAACGGAAAGAGTAGTCTCTAAAAAACTAGGCTCAGTGGGAACCTTACTGAGAATGCTCTCCAGAAGATCACAGAGCATGAAGCTGCTCTCACTGCCAATCCTTCTCAAAAGGAGAAGGCATGAGAACTAGTTCCCTGACTAGAATCCTCCTAGATCTGTCCTGTGCAGGAGCAGAATCTATATACCAGACTACAAAAATTAGAAATGATTGTGTGAAAAATCACAGATAACATGAAATTTCAGCCCACATTTTTCAAAATATGCATTTAGCGTTTGTCCAAAAGCAAGAGTCATGTGGCACATTGAAGACTGACAAATTTATTGTGGAATAACTTGTCCAGTTTTCAAAGTATTTCATGCTTAAATTGGTCCCAGTGAAATCAATCATAGCTGCTTCTAAGTGCTGCAGTTGTGAACACTAAACAGAACCAGTGTGCACTGTTGTTTATTTTATTACTGATAAATTGGGCATTAACATCAATCCATTTTGTTGGTTATATGCAAAAACCACACGCACCCATTTAATTGAAGTAATCTAAAACTTTGGTAGTAGCTAAGCAAGAGAATCTAGTATTGCAGCTTCACGGTTTTGAAATGCATAAGTCAGATTCACAATTTAGCAGACAAAAAAAAGAGATGGGGAGACTCGAAGGGCTACAAGACAGCGTTCATTTTTAGCCCAATGCATTTTGGGGGGAAAATCATTTCTCAAGGGCAGATTTTAGCAACAGTTCTAACATACAAAGGATACTGCAGTAATCCCTGGTGTGTCAGAACTGTTGATAAAAACATGCCCTCCAGCAAGGTTTTCCAAAACGTGTTGGGCTTGCAATAAGCAGTATCCTGTAGCATCTCCCGTTTTCTCCCTCTCCTTTCCTGCCTGCTAGCCGTACCACCTCAGTTTCACGGTTGGATTTCCACCCTTCAGGAGGCAGAAGAGGTTCTCCACTGCAGAGGGAGAAGCAGTTTGAGGCACAGGTACTACATTACTAGACTACCACAGTTAATGCTGTGATATTTAACACAGAGAGATCATCCTTTTGCCTTGAAACAACTCCTTGGGAGTTTCTTCAGCAACACTCCTTGGACCTCTTACCTACGAGGCATCTCTGAAGCAGCGTCTCCACCCCCGTGGTTCTGCTCGGACACTGAGGTCCAGCACCGAGGGCTTCTGGTGGTTCCCTCATTGCGAGAAGCAAAGCTACAGGGAACCAGGCAGAGGGCCTTCTCGGTAGTGGCGCCCGCCCTGTGGAACGCCCTCCCACCAGATGTCAAAGAGAACAACAACTACCAGACTTTTGGAAGACATCTGAAGGCAGCCCTATTTAGGGAAGCTTTTAATGTTTGATGTATTACAGTATTTGTAAAAAAAATTTGGAAGCCGCCCAGAGTGGCTGGGGAAACCCAGCCAGATGGGCGGGGTACAAATAAAAAATTTATCATCATCATCTCCCTATAACAAGTGCAGCATGTGACAGAAGTTCTCCATCCAGAGGCCAACCAGTGTGTCTTGGTGGCACAGACTTAAACCAGCCAACCCCCAACCTTTCCCACAAAGATACCAAGAAGTGGTTAGGTGGGAAAGCTCCATGTCTCTCTGTCTCTCAGGAGATGACTCCCTTGGTGGGGTGGCAGCCAAGCAGATAATCACAGTTTTTGGCTTGATAAGTGAGTACAGCCAAGAAGTGAAAAACTCATGCCACTTTTGTAATACCAGTCAATCACTGTTCTCCTGAAACTTCAGTTTATAATATTCCCAACAGAAGATACAGCCCTTCAATTTAAACTGCAACCCAAGAGTTCAACGGAAGATTGTACTTACTTCTATATGCTCTTTACAGTATTCCAAACCAATGTCACTTAGTATTTTTTTCACAGTTTTCCGGGCTTTTCTTAAACTGCCAAGGTTGTTGACAGGAAGTTGGAACATAGTTTCTACTGGGAGGGGGGAGAGAAGAGGGAGGGGGAGAAAATAATTTACTGAAAACATTTTGTCCCAAAGCACTTTAATTCAGATCAAAAAGTCTGTTATCACTCAATTTTCTATTTACATTTATGCACGTCATATCCCTCAGATTCTAGGCAGTTCAAAATAAACTGAGTTGTTCAGCCATCTTGTTTTCAAAGTTGAGCCAGGTAAGTAAACTTTAGAAAAAGTTTTAAAAAAACAAAACACCTTACAGGAACAGAGAATATAGTGTCCAGATTTGGACACACACATCCAACTTTATGACCAATAGTTGCATACCCGTTCTCATGTGGAAAAGTCAACTTCATCTCAACAAAAGATGCTACTCTAACAAAAGGTCTAGTTTTTGGCTGGCTTTGCTGGCCAAGTCAATTGTTTACATGTTTTTACATGCACATACAATACACATAAATTAAAGACAACTACAAAGGATGGAATTCAATGTTGTGCTAAGGGGAACGTCAGTGAAAGCATTGCAGTGCACTCTTTCTGGGAGTTCGCCCTCCCCTCAGAGCCGGACTTAGTAGATGACCCCAGCCCAGTGTCTTATTGGAAAAGTATAAAAGCCAAAAAATGTAATCACCAGCTCTTCTCCCTTAGACATGGGAGTTTGCTGGCTTGAGGAGAGTGGCCTTTCTGGAGGGAAGGGGAAAAGGTTCCCAACACACAACTCACCTTTCCCAAGAGAAAGGGTCAATGTGGAGAAAGAATCAAATGTACCTTCAGAATTAATAATAATTCAATTCATATCCCACCCTTTCCCCTGAACCCTTCCCTTGTCTGCCCTGTAAAATACAAGGCTGGCCGATTTTAGGATATTGCCTGTTTTGTTGCCTGCATGACTCCAGACAGCTGATGTACAAGCCTTGGCCATCCTTCCAACTTTGGAGCTGGGAAGGTGGAAAGGACAGCTAAGCAATGGCCAGGATGATCTCAGCCTACTTCTGCAGGTCTGAAGTTGCAAGGAAGTTGCGGCCCCTTGTCACATGCGCCTCGGTGGAGTCCCACACTCGCCGTGGCAAATAGAATGGCTGGGGCCCGACGTTAACTCTTTTCTATGTCATGATATAGTTTTCCATTTTCATGAAGAACACAGAAATCAGCCATTGCTCACACCATTACCCTCTTCGTCAACAGGCTGCGTTAGCTCAGTGAAATTGCAGAGTTCGGTTTTTCAGTCTAATGCATGAAGGAAGCGGGGCTATGGGCACACAATGAAGAATGGCAGACAGGCTAGGAGTTTGACTGATAAATATGCTCAGCTCAACAATGAGCTCAAGAGAATACTACCTAGAAGATCAAAGCAACAACCAAACAACAAAGCGTTTGAACCTCAAAATCCAAACGATTGTGAATTCAGCTCATTCTTCTAAGTCTTGTTTGGAAACCAGTATGACAAATTCCAGGGATTTCAAATTACCAAGTTTATTGAAACTTACACACACACACACACACACACACACAAAAACTGCAGCAGTACTCACCCCTATGTACACATCCCACTCCACTCCCATAACCCATACAGCATTCTCATAACTAATCAACAACTTGGCTTTTTCAAACTCCATCAGAACCTTAAATCTGTATTTCAACTGCTTGCATCAGTATCCTGGCAATACTTACAACTTAAAGCAGTGGCTGAATCTTAATTCTCACTTTGGGCAGAGTTTTAAACATTCTTGCAATTGTACCCTAGCATTTGGCTGCTGAAATATATTGTGCCTGGAACTCTAGAAGTTATCTAGCAGTGAGGAGATGTGATTCTTATTAAAATGTTTTGTGGGGGTTTTTTTACCTGTTTTGTTACCCTGGGCTCCTTTCTAAGGAAGGGCAGGAGAGAAAATAAATAAATGCATCAGCTGTCCCAAGCATATGACAACTGCTAAAGTTGTTAAAATATCCTTCTATGAGCCCATAGAATGATGCATTTGAAGAATGTACAGTGATACCTTGAGTTACAAACACCTCGGGTTACAAACTCCGCTAACCCGGAAGTAGTATCTCGGGTTACAAACTTTGCCCCAGGATGAGAATGGAAATTGTGTGCCGGCGGCAGTGGGAGGCCCCATTAGCGAAAGTGCACCTCAGGTTAAGAATGGTTTCGGGTTAAGAACGGACCTCTGGAACGAATTAAGTACGTAACCCGAGGTACCACTGTAATAACATTAAACTGCTCCTTAGTGGACCTTATGTCTTAATGCGATTATAAGGAAATTGAGAAGGTATTTGATCAATATCAGGTATGAATAAGCACACACAATAGACTTTCTGTGTTAAGAGTTCACCACTTACCATAATTATGACAGTAGCTGGAGGATGGCGATTTACAATCTGCTGTTTGTACTTAGGGTTGTGCATGAAACTACAAATGAAGCAAAAACCAATTCTAGAAAATTCGTATCCTCAGAAGAATAAAAATGTATATTCTATTATCAAAATTGGGACTGTTTGCCCTCCGAATTGCTAACAGAAGCTTCAGAATTAACACACAAGGCCAATAAACATTCAAAAGTTGAAAGAGCAGAACCCAAGTCTTTCTTTTGGTTCATATTAAGTGGAGAAACAAATATATTTTGTTTCTACCATGCAACAAACCAGCCAACCCTCTTATTGTACCTGACTTGCAATATATTATACAGTTCATCACTAATGTTCATATGCCTGTGTCACCCATGAACTAGTCTCCCAACAAACATTCTGGGTGGAATTCACCCAACCAGCCCTATCAGTGGAAGCACTGCTCAAGGACTTCCACTTGTACAACAGGGCTGCCCCTCCCGCTCTTCCCCCAACACCCCCCAAAAAATTTTGCTCAGGGGGGCAAGAACCCCCAGCTCAGTGCAGAGGAGAGAATGGTTAGAGGAGCGTGACATTGAATTCCACCCACTATATTCAAAGAGTCTCATAATGGCACATGGGCAATCTGCAGCCTCTGGCTCCCTCCCCAGCTGATTCAACCTCCCTTGCCCCCACCCCTCCTGCATAGCTGCTTCCAGTGCAAATAATCCAGGATGTGCAAGATGCACACAATGGCTTGCTCCCTGAATTCCCAACATATGTGCCCTCCTTTTCTCACTGCACAGATGACATATTCCCAGCAGTTTGGAGCAGGGAGGAAGATGTTATTGGATCTCAGTGCTCCAGGAGAGAAGGCTTAAACCTCTCTCTCTCTCTCTCTCTCCACTGAGACACTGGGGGAAGGATAAATACGAGAGACTAAGCTGGGGAGTATGTGGGTGGGGGGAGCCCAGGCCATGCCTACTACAGCCATGTGGCCCATAGCCCACCACGGCATGCAGTCTTTGGGGACAAGGAAATTGCCCACCCCTAAAAGTAAAGGTACCCTTGCCTTTTACGGGCCAGTTGTGTCCGACTCTAGGGTTGTGCGCCCATCTCACTTAAGAGGCCGGGGGCCAGCGCTGTCCGGAGACACTTCCGGGTCACGTGGCCAGCGTGATGAAGCTGCTCTGGCGAGCCAGCACCAGCGCAGCACACAGAAACACCGTTTACCTTCCCGCTGGAAAGCGGTACCTATTTATCTACTTGCACTTAGGGGTGCTTTCGAACTGCTAGGTGGGAAGGAGCTGGGACTGAAAGACGGGAGCTCACCCCGCCGCGGGGATTCGAACCGCCGACCATGCGATCGGCAAGTCCTAGGCACTGAGGTTTTACCCACAGCGCCACCCGCGTCCCTACCCCTATTTTAGTACAATTGATGAGGATCGATTTTTAAAAGCCAAAGGGCTGTCCATTATGTATGTGCTTGCGTGTGTTTGTGAACAAGCCACCTCTGTGCTGCCCTTGTAGTTTCATTCTTATAGCTGGCAGGATTGAAAGTTTTGCCTGGGGCATGTAGGAGATATTTTATACTAGGTTGCAAACACTGAGACCTCCCACAATGCACCTGCAGAATCTGGTTCATTCAAACCATGAAGAAGTGCTTACTTTGAAAAGCAGCTTGCCTCAAGCTAGAACCACCTGCTAGGCAGATGTATGCCCAATCCTGCCCTCACTCCTGTTAAGATGCCCCCTGCTTTCCAGACAACTCAGCAAAGTGCATTGTTGAAACACTAGCAAGTTCTGGTGAACGTTGTTTTTAAACCAGTTGTAGCTACTGGTCTTTGTAGAGTAGGGGTGGGGTGGGGGATCTCAAGCCCCGGGATCAACTGCAGTCCTCTTCATCTGCCCTTTGAAGCTCTCAGTGAGTCAGACTCCTCGCTGCCTCTGCTCCACCTCCTTCAAGTGTTTTCACCTAACGCAACAACACTAATGCATGACCAGTATTTAGGGCATCTTCATACAAAACAGGTCACTTCCAAGAACATGTTTGGCCAGGGCAGAAACAGACATTCAGAACGAGACCACACTAAATAAGGTAGCTTAGAAACCTGCATAGTTGTGAAGCACAAAATCCACACTTGACAGGAGAATTCTGACTATCTGAGCTTCTGAACACTCCAGTAAATGTTTAGTTGTCTGGTAGATTTTGTACTTATCAGCAAAATTGTAGTAACTTTTTCTCCCCCAACCTTCGTTTTAGGATTTTTAAATTTTTGTTTGGGATTCTATCCTGCAAAACTGAAGGACTAAAACCTCTCCCCCCCCCAAAAAAGCTGTCACCACATGTTTACAAGTGGCCGCTCTGGAAAAAATATTGTGCAACCGATTGCCTAATGAAGCAGGTTCCCATGGAATACAAAAGTGTTTCCCATTCACAGTATAAGTATCAGCTCTACCTTATTATAATTCTACCGCAATTAAAAGATTATACACTTGTACATGAACATTTCATTTGTGTGAGAACATATTAATGTTCTTGATGTGTCTGTAATTCACAAACACATTGACCATCTGGATAAGAAGTGAGCAACCACATGCATAGTGATCTGATTAACAAAGGCCAAATGCTTTTTAAAAAACCACCACCTTAAGATGCTGGAGTCAGTGAGAAAAGGAGCTGCTTTATTTTTGTGCTCACAAAAAGTTATGAGGGCATATGATCACTTCATAGCATTCAGAAGATTAAAGATTTTAGTGCACGTCTCATTCTGGTTGTGAGTACAGTGGTACCTCGGGTTAAGAACTTAATTCGTTCTGGAGGTCCGTTCTTAACCTGAATCTGTTCTTAACCTGAGGTACCACTTTAGCTAATGGGGCCTCCCACTGCCACCGCGCTGCCAGAGCATGATTTCTGTTCTCATCCTGAAGCAAAGTTCTTAACCTGAGGTACTATTTCTGGGTTAGCGGAGTCTGTAACCTGAAGCATCTGTAACCTGAAGCATCTGTAACCTGAGGTACCACTGTACTGTGATTTTCATCTCTGCACAACTGGAGATAGAAGCATCTTTACCTTCACGGAGCATTTTGCTAATAATGATACAAGTTCACTTGTGAAGAAGGTGGCTGGTTTCACTGAATTAGAATGGTTCAATATGACCTATATTCACAAAGTGCAACTGGAAAAGATGAGTTACAAAGCAATAATAGAATCACAGAAGAGACCCCTATGGTCATCTAGCAAACACCCTGCAATGCAGGAATCTCAACATGCGGTCCCCAATCCAACTTGAAACCATACTGGACCCAGCTTAGCCTTGAAGCAAATAAAATAACTGCTCGTCCTGTGCACATTTCTTCACTACAGGTCCTGTTACAATTCCAATCTAGAACCCAAAATCTTTTTCCATGTGACTGAAAAATCTTGTGCTACCATGACTGCCTGGAATCAACTCTTCTCTGAAAGTAATACAATGCTTTCTCTGCTTAGAATTCTGATCTTGCTTTGTGAATGCTCTTGAAGAATTGAACCAACAGCAGAATTATTAGACTCCCAATTCTTCTCAAATATTTATTTAATACACTTTGATGCGGCCTTCAAGGTAAAACAAACTGGCTGGTGAAGAAGAAATGCCCTCAATAATTGCTTGTTACCAAGCCTGGAACTGAACTCCAGGCACAGGTAATGTAAGCAAGAGAAAGGGATTAGCAGGGAAGGGAGAACTGAGCAACAATCGGACAGGCTTACCGGGTCGCCAATCTTTTGGGATCAGCAGGTACATTTTGAATTGGAAGGCAGCGCTGTGACTGCTGGGGATGGGGGTAACGTAACAGAAAACTAGAGAGAGTGCAGTCATTGCTGCTGCTGCCCCACCTCATGCTTCCTGTGAGATGTCATCAGTGTCCTGCTCATCCTGACTGTGGCAATCACACAATACTGATTATACCCAGATCCACACCCTGATGCTGTCCGTTGCTGTCTAATATCAGGGAGCATTCCCCAGGATGAAAAAAAAAGCACAAGGTGGCTAACCCACTCCTCACACATACACACCACAGACACACAAGTATCTCTCTCACACATACACGTCACCACAGGAGGGGAGAGTGCTCTTGTGCTCAAATCCTGCTTGTGGGTTTCCCACAATGACTAGATAGATCATTGACCTGATCCCATAGGCTCTTTTTTATGTTCACATTTACAAAACCAAACATGCATCTCTCCCATCATAATAGGAAGTGCCTATTATTATTATTATTATTATTTTTCAAGCCCCTCCACCCCAGCAAAAACGCACAAAGGCCTGCAACCCGGAGCTTGCTGGGCTGGAAATCCCTGGTCTAAGTGATGTTGAGAGAGACAAATATCCTAAATACAAATATTCTGAAGATGATTTAAAAGAGGCTACAGCCACATCGGAAAAAATATGGAGGTTATGATACAAAGCTCATTAGGTATCTCGTTAATGAGCCTTGGTAGTAAAAATGGGGGGGGGGGGATAAGGGAAAGAATTTAAAAGAAAACTACCATCATACAGTGGTACCTCAGGTTACATACGCTTCAGGTTACATACACTTCAGGTTACAGACTCCGCTAACCCAGAAATAGTGCTTCAGGTTAAGAACTTTGCTTCAGGATGAGAACAGAAATCGTGCTGTGGCAGCAGGAGGCCCTATAAGCGAAAGTGGTCTTCAGGTTAAGAATAGTTTCAGGTTAAGAACGGACCTCCAGAACGAATTAAGTACTTAACCCGAGGTACCACTGTAATAGTGTTATGTGCCCATTATGCCCACATTTGTAGTTATCATGTTGCTGTATCTCAAGTACCAGAGTGGGGGGGGGGCCCTAAAAGAATCATGAAGAGGGGAAGTTTACAATAAAGAGACCATAATGTTTTCCTTTTGATGCCCGTGCATTTCCTAATTCCAGTGGAGAATGCTTTTGCTCCTTAAAATGAGGGACAGAAAATGGGACAGTTAAACTATCCTCTATTTCTTGGGTCAGTATACTAAGGCTAGTGCTAGAAGTGGAAAAGAGGGAATGATTAAGGGTTGCATATTAAGATTGACAGAACTATGTGGAATAAAGCAGGCCTTCCCAAAACTGCGTCTCCCGCTGTTTTTGGACTATAATTCCCACCATCCTGGACCACTGGTCCTGCTAGCAAGGGATGATGGGAGCAGCTAGATATTAAAGTCCGGGAACCCTGTAGTATAGAAATGACTTCTAGCACCTCAAAATATTAGAACTCAGATACTTAAAACTTGGAGTCAGTGAGCTAGCCTAAGTGGACCTTCGATCTAATCCAGGAAGGCAACATTTAAGCATCATAAGTAGCTTCACATGGAACTAAAACAAGAGGAAGTCCATTTGACTAAAGCAGCTCATGTGCAAAGTACCGGTATATTAGGCTTTTGGTCAGGGATCACAGACTGATCTTTTTCCAATAATTCTCTCTAAGAGATCAAATATCAGTATTTATCACCCTAGACTGCTGATTTCTGCATCTTCTCCAGGACCCATTTGAAAAGGAACCATCCTTTAGACCCATAAACAACTAGTCACATACTTCTCTGTAGCTGCTGAAGGCAATGAGTTCCCAGAGCCTTCCTATTCCTGCAAGTTCCTCTTCTGCTACAGTTCCTGTACCTTATGACTTCTGGTAGAAGAACCATTAATGCTGCCAATGGTGAATCAGAATGAAACATTGGTCTGCCAACAAACATGGCTGTGTGTGACATTCTCAGAGGACACCCGGGCAAAATGAGGGTGTTACCATCAGCTAGTGAAGAACGCCCAGAAACAAGTGCTGTGCTGAAATCTCACCTCCAATTTCCCAAGAGTGTTCTTCCTTTGTGAAAGAGGACCATGTAGGATTTTGAGCTTACCTTATCATTACAAGGTGGCAAGAGTGATAAGTGGTCCCACTTCCCCACTGTATAAATTTCTCCCAAACTCCACAGCCTTCCTGGCTGTCCATGCTTCCTGATCTGAAAAAAATTCATGGCAGGAGACAGTCTTCCCCTAACCTTTAATTAAAGTGCCAGGACACAGGAGGGCTGCAGAGTGCAGACTACAGTGGTACCTCGGGTTACATACGCTTCAGGCTACATATGCTTCAGGTTACAGACTCTGCTAACCCAGAAATAGTACCTCGGGTTAAGAACTTTGCTTCAGGATGAGAACAGAAATCGTGCTCCGGCGGCACGGCAGCAGCAGGAGGCCCCATTAGCTAAAGTGGTGCTTCAGGTTAAGAACAGTTTCAGGTTAAGAATGGACCTCCGGAACGAATTAAGTACTTAACCCGAGGTACCACTGTACTGGATAGATGATTTGTAGAATGACACTAACACCCTTTGGCCAACTCAGATAACAGGCAAGTTTAACACAATCCCTACACCCACTGCCCATGAGAATTTCAGTGAAATCTTCTCTCCTCTGTGATAATTTTCTAATGCAATTTCTTTTCTCATTAATTCAAAGAGAATGTTTGAAACAATACACACCTTACCCAAGGAGAAACTGATTCATCTGAAGAGGTGTATGGAAAAGACTAAGCAGTCTACCCACCTCATCTGAGGACTGAATAGTCTCTAAAAAATACCCAATGAGAAAAAAATATTGAGGGTCAGAATCTGCTAATGCTGAGAAATATTAAGGTTTGAGAATGGGGGTCATCAAAATTCCCAGAGTGATAAAGTCAACTGGTAGAAATAATAGAATTGTAGTCCCCATTGCTCCATAAAAACCCATTCAATTTCCTTTTTTCTAGGTAATGCTACTGAAAGAGCTACACAAATTTACAGTATTTAACTTTAGTCAAATTTGTGTGAAAGCTCTCTAACAGCACATAGGATCTGAGGTAAGCAGAACTAAGAATCATAGGATTGTGCAGTTGGAAGGGGCCACAACCCTGAGTTGCATAGCTGAGTCGATACCACCATGAGCATAATCAAAGAATTGTAGTCATCGAGTCCAACCCCCTGCAATGCAGGAATGTGGGGCTTAACCCACAACCCTGAGATTAAGAGTCTCATGCTCTACTGACTCTGGTCTTTGGAGAGATGCTACCAGTCAGAGTAGAGAATTCTGGGCTAGATCTATCAGCAGATCATTATCTCTGTACTGAAAAGAAGTGCCAGTCTTTCTTCTAGGTTATGGCTAGTGCTGGGCCGATAACTCTAGCATCTCCTCTTAAAGAATTTCAGGTAGCAGTGACTGGGGAAAAACAAAGAGAACTACAGTCAATCAGAGCAAGGAAATACTGGGCTAGATGGATCAATGGTCTTAAAAGTACAAGGCAGATTCGAAAGTTTCTTGAATTGGCAATATTCAGCACATCAACCACCATTAATTTATACATTTCAACATTATTTTTGCAGTTAGACATGATCTAATGTATATTTTCAAAGACAACTTCAGATAATGGATTGTAGCAAGGATGTCTCCATAGATCTAAATGAGATGGTTCATTAAAAGTAGCCTCCTTCTTTACAGACCATCTCAGGTACTAAAAATGGCAGTGGTGGTTCTGGGACCCTCAAGATGGTGGTAGTCCTAACGAGAGCATTCTCTGTGGCAGCGTCAAAACTGGAGGACTCCTTCCCCCAGAGGAATGTTTGGCAATGCTGAAGATGCTCCTCTTTACCCTGGCTTTTGACACCTGAGATGTTTATTTTCACGACTAACCCTACTTTTTTGCAATTGTTTAATTGCATGTTTTTTAAACCACTTTAAACTGTATTTTTCATTGTTGTAACCCATCCCGGTACCTTATTATAATTAATAATAATTTTAAAAAAACAACAGAAGGAAAATCTTTTTTTAAAAAAAATTGCACTTAAAAAAATCAGATCAATTCAACAAAATAGAGGCCTCAGGTAGGTAGGCAGGCTGCATTGTCTGAAATAGTTCTGAGAATCTGAAGCATCTTGGGTAATGGCTTGGTTCAGCTACTTGTCAGTCATGGAATATTCCTGGTCAGAAAAGCTTTAAAACACCATCATCACACAACACCGAGGGAAAATGGAGCTGTTTTTAAGACGGGTAGTTATAACAGCTACAAGGCCATATACTAAATGATTTCTCAAGAAACCACCTAAAGTTTCAATTCAATTCCTATTTAAAATGTTGTTCTGGCACTATCCAGGTCCAATTAGTTCCCACTGGGAGGAATCCAATCTGTAATCTTGCATTCACAGAAAGGCTTTTGATCCAGCAGAGGTGATCCAGCTAACAGGAGAGCACAGGAGATTTCTGCTGATTTCCCCCATTCCCCTGCTGCTCTCCATACCACCTCCCAACATGTTCTGGATGGTTCCCCCCAACTCTGTGGTGCTGATTTGCAGGGGCGGTGGCACTGCGGAGTCACAGGCAAGGGAAACTTGGCAGAAGGCGCCCTGACATATTCCATTAATAGATGCCTCCACTGAACCAAAAGCCCTTCCATGCGTACAAGGGCACCAACTGGATTCCACATACTGTCTTTAAGAGAGGTCAGGGAGACAATTATTTTGAAAACGTTGAAGCAACGAGTGGAAATTAGTACCTTCCTAGAATCACAGAATTGTAGAGTTGGGAGGTACCTCCAAGGGTCATCTAGTCCACCCCCCCGGGCAATGCAGGAATATCTAACAAACAGACCTCCATATAATTTGAAACCATACCAGTCTCTGCTTAGCTTTGCAAATGTGCTAGCAGTTTTTATTGTTTCAAATCTAGGTCCGTATAGCCGGGAACAAGTGGGCCTGTAAACACAAAAATATACAAGAGTTTGCATATCTCCACTTATATTTATTCCTGTATAGAGCTCTTTCATTTACAAAAGGGGAAACCGAAACTGAGCAACTTGCTCAAAGTCACAAGACAGTAGATTTTCCCTTTGCTCTGCCAGCTGCTATGTCTTGTAATCAGTTTGTGGGTCCTGTTTTTAAGAACTGGTTTTAACCTTCAAAGCCCTTAAAGCAGGGGTGAGGAATCTGTGGGCCTCTAGATGTTATGGAACTCCAGCTCCCATCAGCCCCAGCCAATGTATTCAACAGCCAGGAATGATGGCAGTGGTAATCTAACATCTGGGGAGCCAAAGGCTCCCCATCCCTGCTGTAATGCCTAACAGCCAGGCTGCTTGAAATATCATTCTTTTCCCAAATATACCTACCCAATCCTTAAGATCTTAGTCAGACATGCTGCTCTGAGGGCCTCTCCCACATGAAGTGAGGTGGCTGGCAACTAGGGCCTTCTTTGGTGGTGGCACCAAAGTTATGAACAGCCTCTCACAAGAGGTTTACTGGTGCCAAATGCATGGTCTCTGTCACCAATCTTGTTTCTCAATTTTGTAATTCAGGTTACAATCAATCAATCAATTCCATATGGCGGGTGGGGACCTGATCACTACTTAAAGTGCATACACTGGTACAGAAGTTTTACAATGATAATACATAAAGAATCAAAAACTCCCAGTTTTCATGCATTCTCACCAAACCAGATGAAACTATGAACATGTGGGAATTAAATGCTGTTTTTGCTGTTTTCACTATGTGTTTTTGTCTTTGAATGTTTTATATTGTTTGTAATTTGCTTCTGTACATAACTTTGAGGATGAAATCCTAAATACACTTGGGAGTAAGTCTTGCTTGTTTCTTGTCTTTATATCCCACTTTTTTCTCCAAGGAGTTCAATGTGGCATTGCATGGTTCTCCCCCTCCTCATTTAATCCACACAACAACCCTGTAAAGTAGGCCAGGGTGAGAAGCAGTGACTAGTCCAAGATCACATAATGAGCTTCATAGCTAAGTGGGGATTTGAAACTCTCCCAGGTCCTAAGTCTGACACTCTTATCACACAACAACCGGCTCTTGCTAATAGCAAACATGCATAGGATTGCATTGCACATATGTAATTAGAAGTCATTTACTTTTGCCTGTTGGTAGGCATTCTGCTTACATTAGTAATACTCACAATAGTAGTGCAATTAGATAAATGGTATTGCCTGCAAAAAAAGAACCAATTTCAACAAATACAAAGTTGTTAATATTTTCATAGTGACGCTTTGATAAAATAATCTATCATATGCTAAACTGTTTACATAGCAATGATTTCTGACCTTATGTAGACATTAACAACTATTGCCTACTTAGGTAAGAGCTGGACTAAAGCCAGCCACAGCCAAAACTGTTCAATGGTCAGTTGGACTGGGTGAGCTTGTAAATCTTAAATGAAAGTGTAGATTCATTATATCACTTACGAACCAGCCTAAATATACAAGTTGCATGGCAGTGCTTAGCAAAGTTGTTAAGGCCCTATATGGATTACTTTTTCTTTTTATAAGCGTTTCATATTATACCTGAAACATTACAAACTGTTAAAGGAGCAATCTTTAAGTGCTTGATTAAGGTATTTCAGAAATTGCCATAGCAAGCCGAATATAAAAGAACGGGAAACCAAATTCATTCAACTTCATTTCAGGAGCACATATTTTTAACAAAAAACTCCTTTGCATAAGCAAAAATAAAGGTAAAGGTAAAGGGACCCCTGACCATTAGGTCCAGTCGTGGCCGACTCTGGGGTTGCGGCGCTCATCTCGCTTTATTGGCCAAGGGAGCCGGCGTATAGCTTCTGGGTCATGTGGCCAGCATACCTAAGCCACTTCTGGCGAACCAGAAGTGCACGAAAACGCTGTTTACCTTCCCGCCAGAGCGGTACCTATTTATCTACTTGCACTTTGACGTGCTTTCAAACTGCTAGGTTGGCAGGAGCAGGGACTGAGCAACGGGATCTCACCCCGTCGCGGGGATTCGAACCGCCGACCATCTGATCGGCAAGTCCTAGGCTCTGTGGTTTAACCCACAGCGCCACCCACGTCCCATAAGCAAAACAAATTTCTCCTAATTCTCAATCCCATCACTTGCGTAGAGTAAAACAAATTATTACTTATTCTGAAAACTATTGTGTCTTCTCCATTCCTCCAGAGCGTCAAGCAGACATAAAAAGAGGTGAGAAAAGGAAGGAAGGAAGGAAGGTGGAACAAAACTCAATGAACATTACATGAAATGTAATCAGGCTCTTTTCAAAGCTATCACTATCTGTTTCTGTTTCTTCATATTCATCACCATATTTACAATGGACTTCTAAAAATCCCTAGATTGAACCAGACCTCTACTGTTTGCGTCAGTTTATTTCTTGATTTGGTGTATTTCCACACCCACATCTTTCGCCTGCTGCAGAAGCAAGAGGTACCAGGGGCTGTGTTGTACAAAAGGCTTTGCCACCATGCTGCAAGAGTGGTATGCTTGGCAGAATCCCAAACTACATTTCTTGGGCAAATACCTGGAGATGTTCTGTACTCTGCAACATCTGAAAGTACCGTCCCAAAATCAAGCCCTAAGCGTGCTGTGTGTTTTGTAGTCCAGTCAAATGCAGAAGCAATGTTATCGTCACTTACATTTCTGCCTTTGAATCCTGGGTCCAACATATTTGCAGCAGCGTGAATTATATGGAAACAAAATTTTGTAGTTCTGTACTTTCTCTCATTCTCAATCCTTCAATGCATAGAGAAGAGGACAGAAGCAAATCCACCAACTACGTCAACAAGAGAAAGTTCGCAAGCAAAGAAGAAACTAAATCTTTCTTCCTTCTCTTCTGACAATAGCAGTGCCTTCCAAGAGGCAGAAATGCATCTTTGCTTTTCAGGACCAATTTGTCCTCACTGTATAGATAGAAATTGCAATAATCTGATACTGTACATCATCTTACACAAGACTTCCTGTTACAGTTTTAGAAAACATTTTGGTGCAGTAAGTATTTGAAAACTTAGTCTTAATTTTTTTGTCCATTTTATTATTTCATTATTTCATAATCATTTTATAAATTATTTCATAATCATTTTATAAATTATTTCATAATCATTTTCCCCATTTTTCAATCTTTTTGGGGTGTGGAGAATGTGACAGGTTTCTTCCACCTGAAGAAAGAGCTGCGTGGCAGGAGAAATCCCTTGCAAATTGTCTGATCTGTCTCCAAATTTGACTTGGGGTAGGATTGGGTATTTCTTGAGAGGACTGCTGTCCAAGACAGCCAGAATCTGTGTAGACAATCTGGTGAGTCTGAAAAAATCTGCATGTGAAAGCCCATCCCTTGAGAAGACTCTGAAACAACTTTACTGGAACATTGTTTTAAGCTGCCATTTATTATGTAAACAATCTTAAAAAGCAGTATAAAAAACCCCCTAAATAAATAAATTTCATTACTGGACCTCAGAGACTGAAGTACATAGGTGACTCAAGCAACATACCCAAGCTGCAATGTGCACATAGGGGTTTTAAAAGGACCAATTTGCATTCAAAACAAATGCACCCTGAGGTTAGGGAATTTCACTTCTTCAATGCAAGACTTCCTCAGGATAATTTCACCTTCAAAACTACAGCAGAGACTATAAGGTCAGAACAGCCTGACTAGGGACTTTTCAACTATTATAGTCATGACTGAGGCAACTGGAAAACTATCTGTTATCAGATGGCTACAAATCAACTCAACTGTCAAATTATGCAGTGTGAAAAATTATCTCTTGTGTATCCTAAACCTTCTATCCGTTTCAATGAGTGACCCCACGCTTCAGTATTACAAAACAGGGGGACTTTGTCTCTACTTTCTTGATCCCACTTCCCCTTTGAATTTCTCTGCACCATAAAATTGGCAGGAATTTTTCATTCCAACATTTAGACCAAGCTAATGGAGGTAAGATAGTGGCATTGTCCTCCCACGTTCATTATGATACAGGAAACCACAAACAGTTGTTAAGAGAAAAGCAAGAATGAACTGACACAACAAAACAAGCACTAGAAAGTATGCAGCTTTAATCTAATACTATTAATTGGACTGAATTTCTTAGGGGGAAACCGTCTGCGGCTCCTGCCGACAGACAACTACTAGACTGTGGGTGTCAGAACATGAAACACTGAATTGCAGACTGTGCTGGCTGGTTAAGAACAGTTTATCACAGCAAGTGCTTTCCTTCCACTACTTCCTGTGTTTATCTGGAAACAAATGTTGTAATAACCTCCCATGGAAAAGCAATATAAAAAGCAGTTCAGTTCTTAACTAGGTTAAATCAGTTTATACATAATAGTTGGTATCATCAAAAGGCGGACCCGGAAACACCTGAACAGCATAACTGCATAAATAAGGCCAGAATGCTCTAAATCCTAAATATAGCCATATCATCTCATTACAGATTGATACCTAAAATTGTTCTAGTAAAGCAGAACCTGTCACTGTGCTGCACTTCACCACACCTTAAAAGAAGCAGACAAACCTCATCTATCGTAGCTACCCCTCTGGAAATCAACATTAAACAGTAAACCAGACACATAGCTTGCATTTTATAATATAAACTTTTCCAGTTTATTCCAATTTAATAAATATGTGTTTCAGTCAAGATTACAGCTACAAACTAAAAGACAAACACCAGAATGGAAAATGAGGTTCACTCTTCAAGAATAACCACGTTTTCTCAAATGGGACATAGTAACTGGGACTGCAAGACCACATTGGATGAATCTCAAATTCTGAACCTAATTGAGCCAATTTGCAGTGATTCAGACCTGGTCTGAAGCGAGTTATTCTGAACCAATCTGGAGCTCAAAATGCTCTCTGAGAAAGCCAAACAGCCTGGTCTCAAAGGCTGCAAAAAAGGCAAACACTACCACATAAGGAAATTGCCAGGGAGGTGAGGAGGGGACCTACAGTTTACTCAATGGCTACTCTAGCTTCCAATCAAAGGCTAGAATTTCACCCAACCCTTTCTAATCAGAGTGCTCACAGGCATGGGTAGCAAAATGTCAAAAGCAGCTGCTTTTGTTCAGTTTTCTGACTATTGATTAGCAAGAGTTTCGTGGCATATGTTCAGCCTGTCCTTTGTTTATCCTTCAGTACCCTACCCAACTTTCTTATTATATATGACAGTGTATTTCCCATCCTTATTCATTTATTCAGCTTGTCTTACCTGAACTACTATAGTCTCAACTGGGGCAACTGGTACCTGTTGTTGGCATCTGTCTGTCTCAAGACACAATGGAGTGTGCTTCTGGGGTGAAGTCAAACCAATGAAGAATCACACAGCCTGCCAGGATTGTTTCTCGGGGTTTACTCCTGAAGCCTTTCTCACAAATGAGTATAACCAACAGGGCAGTGGAGGTTTTTCTTCTCCTAGACGGGCTACCTTCCCAGGTTGACAAGCCCCATCTGCCCCTCACTTCCTTCTATAGCACATGCTGAAACCGCCTTCTTGACCATTTGGCCCGCTATTGGTCTTGTCTGCTCAATTCGTCAGAACCTGTCTTTGCATGCAGGGCACATCCCTGACTCACTGAGGGTTTGAGACCCATCACCTACCCTCAACTGGCTTAGCCAGCCAGCTGAAACCATTTCCTGGGATGTGGCCATTGTCAAATTATGCAGTTGGAACAAGAATGATCTCTTGCCTACCTTGAATCTCCTATCAGTTTCAGGATAGACAAGAGATAATTATTTTTCATACTGACACCTTTAGTAGATGTTTAGTGATCTAGTACCAGATAGTTTTCCAGTTCCCCAATTCGGATTATAATAGTTTAGGTAAGCCTAGTCAGAGGAGCACTGCATTTGGGAGGATGTGTCTGTTCCCAGTAACAGGAGCAATTCTGGGTCCTGGGCAACCAGGCTGTACCGTCCCCTTGATACTGGTTCCTCCACCCTTAGCAGTGGGCTAATGCCCTCCCACTGCTGTGCTCCTCTTTCCAGGAGGGAAGAGGGTAGAGTGGAGCCCTGGGAGAGGCTAAGTACCGGCCTTTTCCAACCTCTGTTTCCTGGTTTCAGCACCCACTCCAATGTCATCCTCCACTCCTGAGCCCAGCACCACCACGGGACTCATGACACTACTAATAATCTTGGGGGTGCAGGAAGAGGAAGCAGCCTCAACTCCTACTTGCATTTTATTTCCTTTAGTCATACCATTTTAAGCAATCCACCAGGATTCAATTCACACTTACTTACAGGAGCACTGCAGTTGCTTTCCCACAGTTCCAGGAACATGTACAAGAACAAATGCAAAGATAGAGCTAATGTTATAGTTCATTCACATGTTACTGTTGCCCAGGACAACAAACTCATGGCAAGGAACTACATTAGCTGTTCATGTATATACACATTCCTGTAACAGCATGGGATTACATTTCAGGAAATAAACTCTCGCAGGTAAATGTTTGTTTACAAGCCCCAATTATCAAGAAATATTGGGACTCAATAGGACCAAAACCATAAGATACCAGTGCTGCTGCAGATCAGTGGGCAACAGCTGACAAAAAGGGAGGTTAAGAGACCCCTTCCCCAAGCCTCTTCTTGAGTTACCACACACTTCATCCCTATTTAATTACTGTGTGGCTTGGGTGCTACAAAATACAGCGGTACCACTGGTTACAGAGGCTTCAGGTTACAGACTCCACTAACCCAGAAATAGTACCTCGGGTTAAGAACTTTGCTTCAGGATGAGAACAGAAATCGTGCAGCGGCGGCAGCAGCGGGAGGCCTCATTAGCTAAAGTGGTACCTAAGGTTAAGAACAGTTTCAGGTTAAGAACGGACCTCCAGAACGAATTAAGTTCTTAACCCGAGGTACCACTGTAGTTTCCAAAGTCTACAAAAGCAAAACAGTATCTCGCCAGAAGTCATTACAGATAAATATTCTATGCTCTGCTCTAGCATATGCAGCAGTAGGAGTCATTTGAGAAAAAGGCCATTTATTTTGCCTATTGCCTAAAAGAATACTTTTGTCACATTGCTTCCTTCTAACTTTGTTGTTTGTTGTAAAGTTTGTTGCAAATTCCATCTTGAAAACATCCCCAATAAATTGGTGCCAATAGTATTCTGGAGAAATGATTAATTACAAGGAATATAATATGTGTGTGAATGAAGATGCAAAAATGAATTCTTTAGTTTAAAAGAAAGCAAAGGTATTTATATTCATTCATAAATATGGAACTCAAACTAGGAAACATTTCAATTAAGCTTTCGAACAGGTGCAAATACATCTCTGTTTAAAATGCATTAACTTGGCAACTTCTTTAAGAGCAACTTCATTCAGAGACACTCAACCATCTGGGCTTCAAACACTGCTTATTTATAAAGGTGACTCAAGTATTACTATGCTGCTAAATAGGTTTTCAAATCTGCTTAATTAACTTCAGCCAGTCATATCACTTTCTACATACATTGTCAATTTCAGGGTAGTAACACCATATGTGGAACCAGCCTAGATTTCAAACCAGTGTTTCTTGAAAACGAAGGAACCTTAAGGATTGTTAAACAATACTGACTTAGACTATGTCGCTATGACAGGAGTTATAATGCAACATGGCCTATTAATATTGCATATTATTTCCTTCACAATTTGGTTGTTAATCTCATTGCTTCCCTGATTAACCTTCAGCAGCTTCAGGCAGTATTATCTTTATCTATTTGTTGCCTAATTGTATTGCCAGGATTGGGGTGGGTCTTTTTCTTTTGGTTCCAAAGTTTTGTACACTGGGGTCAGAGATGGTTGCATTCTTCATTTACTTACAACTCTCTAGGCTGCATTGTATTTGGAAAAATAAAGGTTTTTTATTTAATTAAAAAAAACACACAATGGTGATAGCTGGAGGGACAAAGCTTGTAGTTATAATCTTTAATACAGTGCCTAAGTTCATATAACATCAGTGGCACCCCCCCTTTACCACTGGTTTTGTGCAAGCACCTTTGGAAACAGAAATTCTCTTCTTTGCACCACGTTACTTAGCTCCCAGCATGTTATCTCTGCCAGCTTTTCATATGGCCAATGAAAGCCCATGTCCCAAAGAAGGGGTTGGCAAGGTTTACCTCACCTGGGCCGGTTCACTCCAGCAGAGATCCCTCTGTGGGCCCGATTGCGTGAGCCCGCAATTTCCAGTGCCTGCATTTGCACAGACGTGATTTCCGGCGCCGCGGAAGCAAATCCCCGCACCACACTGGTTTAGCGCAGCAAGTGGGGACTCGCCGAGCGGGCGACTCAGTTCGAGGGCGGCTCGTGGGCTGGTTAAACGACCCCCGTGGGCCACTTGTGGACCATGGGCCTTAGGTTGCCTACCCACGTCCCAAAGTAACCATTCATCTACACACCACTTGGGTGCAGTACCAATTCTTGAACATTTAAAAGTCTCTTTTCATTATTCAGGGCACATAATACGGACATTTTATGTCCCAAATTAATGGTGCTTTGGTTTCAGACTTATTGAGGGCATTTTGTGCAAAAGCTTCCAAAAAATCATTGTCCTTACCGAACCTCCCACTTCAGCGAGTATTACGCCTATTATGTGAGGTCACAGCACAGGCATAGGCGAAAGTTCATATCCTCCTAAACAAAAGCAAGTGTTAAATAAAATTAAAGTGAGGTAAGCCTTAGAGTTATGGTTGTGACAATTAGTTCTAAAAGCAAACTACAGTAGAAAGTGGCACTATTAAAAGAAGTAACTACTTGGAACAAAAACATAGCACACTAGCCAATCCACATCTGCCAATGCAGCAAAATACTTCGTTGAAAATTAAGCCAAGGAGTTCATCTAGAAGCATACTGAACACTTAAGCATGCAATAAATTGGAATGTTATCAGTCTTATGCCACAGTCTGTTCATTACTAGCCTACATTTTAAGCAAAATCCAAAGTAGTACTTATAGCAGGGTAGCATCTCAACCTATTATTATTATTTATTTTTTTTGAGATTTTCATCAAAACACTGACTCGTATACAGGTTTAAGTAGCTTCGGGATGTATATTTTCAGGTTGTGCTCCATGGCGATCCGGAAGTAACAGAGCGTGTTACAGTGGTACCTCGCAAGACGAAAAGAATCCGTTCCGCGAGTCTCTTCGTCTTGCGGTTTTTTCCGTCTTGCGAAGCAAGCCCATTAGCGGCTTAGCGGATCAGCTGATAAGCGGCTTAGCGGCTTGGGAAAAAGGGGGGGGAAAGGAAAAAAAACCCGCAGGAACTCGCAAGACATTTTCGTCTTGCAAAGCAAGCCCATAGGAAATTCGTTTTGTGAAGCACCTCCAAAACGGAAAACCCTTTCGTCTAGCGGGTTTTCCGTCTTGCGAGGCATTCGTCTTGCGGGGCACCACTGTACTTCCGGGTTTTGCTGCTCGCGCATGTGCAGACGCTCAAAATTACGACCCGCGCATGTGCGGAAGCGGCGAAACACGACCCGCGCATGCGCATCTTACATTCACTTTAGGATGTGAACGGGGCTCCGGAATGAGTCCCGTTCGCATCCAGAGGTACCACTGTACTTTTTCTATACATTAGCATGCCTTTAGTTCTACTTTTCTCCACTGCTGCTCACAGCACTTAAACCTATGCATGCTTAAGTTAATAGCTAACTTATTCCCAATGCTTTGAGAGAAAGCACCAACAGGAAGAATTTGTTGATGGCTATAATCCTATTCAGGCATTTGGGAATAATGGCTGTGGGCTTAAAGTGGGGAGAGGGACACAAAACCTGCCCCCAATATCCTTGCACACACTGGCTCCACTTCAGAGCTTTCTATATTCAGCACCGAAGTCTGAAGGGGATTCTAAGTGCATTTGGGCAAGCATGCTTAGAAACCTCCCTGGAATCAGAAAGCCTTTACTTGATAGACTGTCACTTCAGATCTTCATGCTGAACATGCAAAGGACGGAAGTGGAACCAGCACATGCAGGGATGTTCTCTTTCATCCCAAGTTCACAAATAGGGCTCCCGAATGCACTATCCCATCCCAGTAAGTCTTCTATAACTCTCTATGTGATGCAGCTGACAGTCCCAGGCAATGAAGGGGTAGACCTGCAATATTTCTAAAAGTTAGTCAACTTTGTACATAATGACATACTTGGTCATTAAAATCAAAATAAAGATGTATCTGGAGCACAACAAGGACACATTTCACAGAAACCATCATCTAAGTACAGTCATATTTTAAAATAAGCAGGCTTTTGTCTGTAAGTAGTAAGCAGGCTGTGGTAAACTAGTGCAGTTTTTCTTGTCCTTTCAATGTAAGTTGAAGAATGTCTGATTTCCATAGAGCTTTTAAAAGTACAGAAATCTTACAACTGTTGGAGTACGGTCATCCTAAAGTAAGTTCTAGTGCTGAGGTGAGAACCAAGTGATTCTCCCTTTCTTTTGGGGACAAGAGGACATTTCCAATTAAAAGGGCTTAGGACTGAACTTGGAACTGTTAGCATATCTACATGCAGTAGCGCATTTATGTTGCAGGAACATTATCAACTTAAAGAAAACCACAATCCAAAATTTGTACAACAAAATCTGTACACCTTACGAGTAGATAATGTCTACAGAACTTGCTAATGGCTAAACAACTCTACTGACTTGCGGCATGCTTAATTCAACAAGTACTCCTCATAACTTTTTTTCCTACAAAAGAATGCGGAAATGATAGCTGCTATGCATCTGCTTCTACTGCAACTTGCATCAGTTACTTATTCTAATATCAGTTCTGAGGACTTAGGCTTAGTTACAGTAGGGCATGGGATCACTGAGAGTGTTCCAATACCATCGTGAAAATATGAGTTTGAAGCAGGGATTTGAATTAAGTAAGGGAAACAAGGCATGCTGGGAAAGGTTTCCAGGCATAACAGGTAACAGAAGTTTCAGGAAGCAGAATAGCTTCAGATAACAGTAACACATTAGACAAGCAAATACATCTTGCCTGGACTGGCTCCATGAACCATTCAAGGTAATAGAGGTTTATGTGACTCGCTGAACTGGGGTCATTAACTTTCCTTCTGAAATAACAAAGTTTCTATAGAGTGTATCAGCCTGTTGATCAGCATTCGAAATTTGCCAGGCACATTTTGCACCTGGCTATTGGCCACGTGTGACCATGTGAAGATACCCAGGCAACATCTGGAGGTGCATGCCTGGAGATCCTTGGATCTTGCCTATTTTTAGACACTAACCACACACACATCCTGCAGAATTCTATTTGTGATATTTTATCTGCATAATCAGAACAAATTTCAGGAACCAAAAAGTTGTATTGAAAAATACAACATTCAAACCGTCCAGCCCTAAAATGGCAACTAGGCATTCCATTTTGGTGACTGTAATCCTGGTTTAAGGAGTCATTTGGTGCCTTGCTTATTTACCCGAGTTTTTAACACTGCTGTTGATGTAAGCACCGAACAAACCAAGACCGTTCATGAGATTAGATTTAGGTCATCTGCTTACAAGGCTCCTCCACTCAAGTCAATCTGTTTTGTTTACAAGGCACTATAGCATATATGATTATGGCATGGTAGCTTTAAAACCATAGGTGAAATTTAAACGCATGAGCCAGGATCCAGAAAAAAAATCTTAAGCCCAGGCATCCAAATTGTACCAGCTACAATTGTACTAGTGCCCCAACAACTCATTTTTTTTCTTTGAGCGGATTACTCCTTTGTCTCATCATAACCCACTTCTGAAAATCCACTCAGTTGCAAAAGTGGTTTGTTACACTGCAGGGGACAGGGGCTACTGCTGGATATAAACATCCAAAACCACTTTGGGTTTCTGGAACAATTCATGGTTCTTTGGATATTAGTCACAGACCAAAATAAATTCAGTCTATGAAACAATAATTTTAAAATGTTCAACAGCATATATTGTACATTTTTAAAGCCACTCTGAAAAGGTAGCATAACCCCATATAACCTTCACCTTCAGCTACTCCAACCCAAATCACAGTAAGCTGTTCTAGTGTTGGAAATTAGCCAGGTGCCAGGAGCATTTTGCAACTGGCAGAAGCCTAATTGCAACCACATGGAGATCTCTGGATGCCAGGTTGGCAACTGAAATCTCCATCTGCAGGTAAGCAGAAGAGATTATTCACTGCATTTATATACCACCTTTTTCCTCTCAGTAGTACACAATTCACCCCGCTCCTCAATTAATCCCTAAAACGACCTTGTGAGGTAGCTTAAGAGGCTGTGACTAGCCCAAGGTCACCCAGTGAGCTTCATGACTCAGTGGGAATTTGAACACTGATCTCCCAAGTTCTAGTCCAACACTCTAACCACTACACCACACTGGCTTCCTAAAGCACTTTTGCTATGGGGCAGCTATATAAATTAAGTAGGTAAATAAATATGCGGAAAGCAAAATGCCACTTAGAGAAGGATCTGAAATATTTTCCTTGAAGCTTGAATTTCTTTTATTCTGGATTGTTTTAGTTGATGCTTTAATGTGTTGTAAACCGCTCTGAGATCTTTTCTTTAATATATATAGCAGCATAGAAATGAAAATAATAGAATAGTAGTAGTAGTAATAAAAATATTACTTTTAAAAAGAATGGTGCGTAGACATTCGTTTGTGGCAACTGTAACATAGGTTTAAGGTGCAATTTGGTGATTAGGTTATTTATCTGAGTTGCTTACACTGGTTCTACATACAAGAAATATATTGATGTAGGAGTGGGACACTCATTGTACTATGGAACAGTAACATTTTAGGAGACACTGGTGCACCCCCTTAAAGGACCATCTGGATCAGAAATTCATTCTAATAGCCAGTACCTTACTTTGAAGCTGTCCAGATAAAAGCCACCACCATCCTGCCACAAGTTTAAATTACTTTTTAAACTCAGCAATTTCATTCAGCAACACTGCATGCTTCATGAAAAGGCATTTGATTACCATAAAAACATCACTTCAAAACGGAGGATGCACTTGCTACAGTCCTACTGTGTGCGGGGGGGGGGGGGGAGCGCAATCCTCTCCCTCTGTCTGCACATGTATTTTCTGAAAATATGGGTATTAACCATTCACAGTGAAATTAGTTAGAATTACCTATAAACAAAACCCTTATAACTGTGTAAAAGTGAAGTTAGTTTCAGCTATAAAACTTAACTTTGCTTTTATTTTGAAAGACAAGGCAAAATAAGCTTCACTTCTATTTATAGAGTGCTCAACCACTAGTTAGAAAGTTTTCTAAGAAATTACGGAGTAGAAGCACTATTTCTTCAAAAGTTTTTATTGACAAGCACATGTTTGCTAGAGAGATGAAGCTTGTAAAGGAAGCGCCATTTAGGCCAAAAGACTGCAATTTTCAAATTGTCGCTTAATGTTGGAGGGTTTAGTCTTTTTGTGCCTTTGACATTACTGGTTACTTCATGTCCCAGGGTTACTGCTCTGCTAGGAAGCCGTTTAAACAGCAACACGTGAACTGTTATTTGGCATACGCTTTTAAAGAGGAATTACACTAACTCCGAGGATTCCAGTTGCAAGTTTATTTAAACACTTCCCTTGGAATTTCTGTGACTACCCAACTCTCACAAAACCTTCCAGTTAAATACAGAGGAGGATGGAAGGATGAAAGCTTACACTCAAGCATGGGCTGGGCTCAGCATTCTTGGAACGCAGAAAACCTTATTGGCTTAGGCACTAAAGTTATGTTCAGCACCAAGGTTATTTTACTTGTGAGCCACAGGTTAGACAATTGCTGATACATCACCTGATTGCCATGTTAAAAGGAAGGACTTTGATGAGGGCTTCAAGGCAGACATAACCTACAAAGACCACCTTCCTTTTTTGGTCTAGTCTTCCCATCTGTTCTGCAGCCTAGCAAACAGAATCCTTTTGACTCACATACATTTCTCACTCATGGCGAGTTCTGGAATTTTCCACTGGCAGCTGACACGCCATCTAGCGGGGGCATGCATCCTAACTTCTTAACAGAAAAGGAATTAACTGTTTCCTTATGAAGCACTAAGCTGCAGAGCAATCTGTATTACGTATTACTTTTCACGAAGCTATCACACTGATTGCTGTGGAAATTAAAGCCTTGTATTTCCTATCATGTAAAGAGGAAAATATGCAAAGTCTCTTCAAAATGTAGGCAGGTTTGTTATCAGGTCACAAGACACATTTTTCATCCCTATGAACAGTCCTTTACCTTCGCCAATTATGTACTTGCTTAGACAAATACATGGGTGCAAGCCAAGGGAAAATACTGCCATGAGCACTTTCTTGTCAACTCTACCTGTGACTGTTTGTGTCACGGGGGTTGTACTGAAGGACACACAACAGATATGAAGATAACTATTGATGCAAATTAAATACTAAGGTAAATAGGTATCTCAAACAGTTGTGACATAAGCGGCGGGGGGACGGGACATCCACACAGACTTTCTGCTATCTGCCTACAGCAGGAATGGGTAACATGTGTTGGTCCAGATATTTTGGACTACAACTCCCACCATCCCTGACTGCTGGCTGGGACTGATGGGAGCTGAAGTCCAATAACAACTGGAGGGCCTTAGGCTTCTGTGAGATTTTGCATTAAGAAAACAAGGCAAGCTACTGGTCTCATCATCATCATCATTAGAGGGGGGGGGTGTGCCACACTGCTTAGGAATACATGTAGGGAACTGCAATAAGGTGAAGAACTTGTGTACTGCAGTGCACCCTAGTCTAACATATCATTAATCTCTTGTTGTCTACAACTAAAGCCCAGGCTGCTTACTACAATCTCAGCCATGAATTTTCTGGGCAGCTGAAGACACACTACAGTGGTACCTCAGGTTACAGAGGCTTCAGGTTACAGACTCCGCTAACCCAGAAATAGTACCTCGGGTTAAGAACTTTGCTTCAGGATGAGAACAGAAATTGTGCTCTGGTGGCGTGGTGGCAGTGGGAGGCCCCATTAGCTAAAGTGGTACCTCAGGTTAAGAACAGTTTCAGGTTAAGAACGGACCTCCGGAATGAATTAAGTTCTTAACCCGAGGTACCACTATACTTACAACTTCAGTCCAATACAGTGGTACCTCGGGATACACACACCTCTGGTTGCGTATCCTTTTGGCTACGCACGTGGCACACCTGGAAGTATTTTTCCGGGTTTTGCTGCGTGTGCATGCGCAGAAGCACTGTGTGCTGTGTGCATGCGCAGAAGTGCTTTACCGCACCACGTGCATAACAGGCACCTCCAGTTGCGAATTCCTCGGGATCCTACGGGAGCTCCAGAACAGATCCCGTGCGCAACTGGAGGTACCACTGTACTAGTCTGTTAATTCAGGGTTGCTGTGACTGATTATTTAACAAACATAGCTTTGGGCACTCATGACATGCTAAATAAATGCTTGCTTTAAATTACTGGTTTTTAATTGTTGGCTGCTCTGAAAGTCCATTTAGGGTTAAATAGCAGGGTGGAAATCCCTGTAAAAGAAGTAAAATACTCAAGAGAACAATTTAGCCATAGGTAAGTACTTTGTACAGGACAGTTAGGCATGAGCTTAAGGCTGCAATTCTATACACTTAGTGGGGCTTAGCTTCCAGGTAACTGTATATAGGATGGAATTGGCAAAAGATCCCTGCATTGCAGAGGGTTGGACTAGATGACCCTTGGGGGTCCCTTCCAACTCTACAATTCTATGATTCTATGAAATGCATGCTGAACTCCCAATCCAAACATGTACAACTTCAAACTGCTTACCTTTGGCTGGTTTGTGCCCTACAAAATTTTACATTGAACGCTCAGACTTTCATAATTAGCTCTCTGGGTGCTTTACTAAATAGTAATAAAGACAAACTGCAAAAAGTAGCTTGACATTTTTTTAAATGGGCGGGAATCACCTAACCAGCCCCACCAGCAGAAGCCATGTGCAAGAACATCAGCTTGCGCAACAGGGCTTCCTGCTCACATGCCCACCAAAATTGGCTCAAGGGAGGACCCTCAGAATAGCAGGCAGGGAAAGAGGGGAGAGTATTCCAATTGACAAGCTGAAATGCTTGGACTCCTAGAGCAACTGGAAGAGTGCAACACTGAATTCTACCCATTGTTGTAAACATTTTACTATACTACTCAATACACTTTCCTAACAAATTTTTGCCCAGTGTTGGAAATTAAAGGTTGTTTTCATTCATTTCCATGAAGGAAATGTTTTAGTATCTTACTGACAGACTAAAGATCTATCTATCTCCAGTATTCTATTCCTGATAGTGGTCAGACATACATCCCTGTAAACACACAAGCAGGGCATGAAAACAATGTCCATCCTCTATTTGCCCCTGACAACTACTGAGACACCTGTCTTATACAAAGTACTTATTTTGGCTGTAATCACCGCTTAAAGCCACTTTATCCTAACACAGTATTTCTAACAAGAAAGGAACCGGAAACAATTCAGAACACATCAATGTTTCTATGTATATCAATAGGGCATACAGTACCTAGTATAGTACTGTAATGATTTATGACAGCAGAAGAGAGGGTGTAAGAACAAGTAGAAGAAAAATAAAACAAAGCATTATGGAGCCACTATTTCATATGAAAAATTAGAGTAGAAATGCCGGAGGGAAAACCCTAAATGTTAGACCATCAATTGCACAGTGGTACCTCGGGTTACATACGCTTCAGGTTACAGACTCCGCTAACCCAGAAATAGTACCTCGGGTTAAGAACTTTGCTTCAGGATGAAAACAGAAATCGTGCTCCAGCGGCGCAGCAGCAGCGCGGGAGGCCCCATTAGCTAAAGTGGTGCTTCAGATTAAGAACAGTTTCAGTTAAGAACAGACCTCCAGAACGAATTAAGTACTTAACCCGAGGTACTACTGTATGTTATTTCCCTACTGCTAAGTTGTGGGTACTAAGGACAAATGCAAAACCTAGAAACTATGAGGTACCTAATAAGGGTGTCTAATACTGCAGTGAACTTAAGAAAAGTAGGCATACTTTTCACAGCATAGTAATGACCAATGTAACTTGGGAGCTACAAGGTGTCTGACTTCAGAAATCTAACCAGGGGAAAATCACAATGAAAGAGTTACGGTACGCATTCCTCTGTGTATCCCTGGCCTTTATGCTATCAAGTCCCTTGGCTAGGTCTGATGCAAAATTCCCAGTCCAAACTATGGTTTACTGAAGCAGGAATAACTGATGACCTCAAGCACTTCCTTTCTCTCCCCACCCCTTGGCTATAGAAGACACTTCCTGGTTTGTTAAACCAATTTTCCCATGATGTCTGAACTGATCATGAGTTGCAAATTTTCTCTTAGGGAGTGCTTCAGCCAGTTGCATGGGGTAACTTATTTAACAAACAAGGAACTCCGGCAACTGGGTATGTGAGGAGAGGAGTACTGTAGAGAGCAAGCATTCAAACTCTCCAGCAAAACAAAGCTTGGATGATTAGGTCAGACAGGAGCATTGCACATGCACCCCTGAACAAGCAAGCAATAATACAGTATACCGTATTTTTCGCCCCATAGGACACACCTAATTTTTTTGGGGGGGGGGGGGGGGAATAAATAAAAAATTTTTTTTCCCTCCCCAGGCACGGGGGAAGCCTGAGCTTCCCCCGACCCCAGCCCCCAGAACAGCCTGCTATCTGCAAGCCTAGGGAACCGAGCCGGTCTCCCCAGGCTTGTGGAGAGGTGCGCGAAGCCCGGGCGCGCTCTTCAGCGTGCACCAGGCTTCGGAATGCAGGCAGCTCTGCGCTGCTCTCCGGAGCCCCGCGCCGGGATCGGGAGGGTGGCGCGGAGCTGCAGGAAGCTCGGGAAAGCCTGCATTCGCCCCATAGGACGCACACACATTTCCCCTTCATTTTTGGAGGGGAAAAAGTGCGTCCTATAGAGCGAAAAATACGGTATTCCCCTCTTGGACCAAGTTGTGGCTGCTTCTTATAAGCACCCATAAGCAAGTATTATTGCAAACAGGATAATGGAATGGACAGTTGGATCCAACAAATGTTGTTTTGTGTTTTTATGTCCCGTGGTGACAACAACAAAGAAAAATATAGATCAAGAATCAAACAGGAGAGGAACAGATGAAGACAGGCACATGGACAGTAAAAAGGTTATTGAAAAAGACAAAGAAAACAGAACAAGCTAAAGCGTAAGACATTCACTCACACATAGCTGATTAGTTTCAATACTCTCTGCCTTTCTCCCTTTTAAAATACAGTGCAAATCTTCAGGGCTTCAAGCACACTGGCTTGGACACATGACTGAGCAAATCCCAGTAAATTCAAGAAGACTAACAAGTAACTGTGTACAGTACATGATCACACTTTCATACTGCTTAATACTTGTTTAATTATTTTGAAATTACAATACAATTCCATTCTGCAGCTTTTTCTGTTTAATAAATATGGATAGGTTATATTCAGATATGGAAGCTAAAAGCAAAGTATATAAACACCAAATATCATTTGATAACTACACCGATCTGACCATATAAAGTTATTTACTGACAGTGGCTTACTTCAGGGAAGCATGAGGTTGCATACAGTGGTGGCCTACTATCAGAATAACTTTAAGGCAAAACACACAATTTTCACCAAACCCCATACTAATTGCAGCCCTCTACATCATATCCTATTTTGTACCAGAGGGTCCTTCAACCCTCATGATAAACTTTTGAATGGGATAGATGTCTTCACTTGCTGGAGTGTACTGGCAAAAAATCAGGTGCTCTGTCATGTATACAGTTCAAGTAAAATGTTTCATGTACTTCTAATTTTGGCCTTTCAAGTGAATTGCAGCACAATCCTATTCATGTTTACTTAGATGCAAGTCTTACTGAGTCCCCCAGGTAAGTGTAACTGCAGCCTGACAGCAGATCTTCAAACCTGATACTGATTTTTTTCTGCTTTGGTCTTAATGTCCATTTACAATCCATCGAATAAGAATAAAACAATGCTGCATTTTACAAGTCAGATCTGCTTGACTATGCATCCCACTACAATGGGTAATAACACTTAATGTCTCAGGCAGAGGTATTTCCCTGCTCCGATGCAGAAGATTCTTCAACTGGAGAAACAAGGAATTGCATCCACAGCCTTGTGCAAGAAAAAGATGTACACTGCTCTAAACTTTGCCACCAGCAGCCTGCATCATAAAACAAGGCTGTACCCAGGATTTTTACCAAACTGACATACAAACACTGCAAGTTTCAATCCAAATCTTTTTAACTATTCCAGTTAAAAGTACTGTATCTTAAATATCTCAAAGCCACTGCCCAGAGCACTGAGATGTGCATATTTCATTCACAACTATCTGAAATGTTCAAGTATTGCTTTGCACTAACTGTAGGCAATGTAGGGCTCTGCCTGCCCATCTCAAAGTACAATTAAGAGTTGAGAACAGAAAAGTGTGCTCCCCATCCCATTCCAGGTGACTGATGTTGCAAGGAGCCAACGAAGTGCTTGTTTATGAAAGTGTTTCACACACACACACACACACACACAATGCCCAATCCTTTTCCAACGATTACAGCACTTTCTGCATCAAATGAGAGCACTACAAGAAAATTCGTCTTTGTTTTTTTCATCTCCTACACTTTGGGAAGTTCAAAATATTTGGGTTTTACCTGGGGATGGGGCTTTCTGCAGCAACGGTCAATAACTCTTTCTGAATTCCTGTGCATTTATTTTTTTCTTGATGACACCACTCTAATTTGTTTAAAATTACAAAACCTGCAAAAAATGTGTGCTTCATGACACATTTTCTACTTTCTGCCATTACTAACCGACAACACTTGACTTTAAAATAAGCTGTAGCTGAGTAGTTTTCTGCATGTAGAATAGGATTCAAGACACTACATGCTGAAACTCAAGTAAAATGGTTTTAGCATTTCGTTTATTAGACATCACAGTAGCATCACGCAATACAGAACTAGGCTATGTAGTATAATCTCTCCTGGGATTTCCAACATTTGTAATTTTCAACATGTATGAAAGTGTTTGGGGGGGGGAATAGAGTCTAAATTGAATCATACCAACTCAAAGTGGGTTTCATGACCTATCAGAATGATTCCTTATCGGTTACTAAACCACTGGAGTAGAACAGTTGTCCAAAATATTCCAGCAAGCAAATATGTCAAATTTACAGTTGGCATATTTATCACAGCTGAAACTTTCTAAATCTTAAAAAAAATCAAGCAGAAAAGGAATGAAAATGTTTCTCAACATTAAGGGGGGAAAGCACATGTAAGAAAATATTAAGTAGGATGAATTCCTGCAGAATCATACAAGTGTGGTGGATATTGTATGAATTAAGTTCAATACAGTATTTCTTTTAACTGCAGAGTACATTAACTGTGATAAAATGCACATCTTTCCTGACAGGTGTTTATACTCTTGACACTGAAAACACTGTCAACTCTTTAAACAACCATAGTTCAAGGAAGCAACCTCAACCAGACATACTTGGAAGCTATGGTTCTTTCATTTTTCTAGGATGCTCTGGCTTCATTGCACATTGCAATAAATGTGTTGATCGGTTGCTATCCAACTGCTTCCAGTTCCCATCAAAACACTCTAGAACAAACACAAAATGTTAGTAGACTTTTTTTGGTCTTGCTTTTTAAGCAGCTATCTTTTAAATAAGCTTTTAAAGCTTCTGCCTAGTTCTCAGTTCATTTTAGCATCTATCACCAGAGCATACAGAACCACTTTTGTCCAGGTGAAGGAAGTGGTGTTTGAAATCCTGGGACAAAAACCTGAATTTAGTACTCTTACAACACAAAGCATGACATCAGGGAGGGAGATAATAATGTAAATGTAGGTCACACCATACTGCACATGTGGCATTTTTCTTTATCTGACACATTGCCTCCACTAAACATTGAAATTCTGAGAATAAAATTGGCAGGTGCCACAGGATGAACTTGTAGGAGTTGTTTGTTTTCCCCAAGAACTCAAGTTTTTATCTCCTAATTGTCACAGATATCTGCAATACTTCTTCAACAAGAAACAGTGCCTGAGGAAAGGCAATGCATATTTGGAAATTCCTAACAATCTCTATTATCATGAACTGCACCACACAAGAAACAGCCATGCAAGTAAATAATATACATGGCATCCCCAATCACAAATGAGTTGAAGTGTAGTTCCTTTACTCATCATGAAGTTTTATGTTCAAACCTGGAACAAAGTTTAATGTTAAACCTAGAAAAGGCTTAAAGCACCCTCACTGCATTGTAGTTACGTCCCTTCCTTTAAATCACCACCTTGATTTTGGGAAGCAACTTCTTAACTACCATCCGGCTGCTTCAGTGGCACAGACACAATCAACCTCCGTTACTTTTTGCAAAAGCTTCAGGGAGGTAAGGTGCATCAAGAACGGCAGAGAATTTAGGTACCACATCAGGATGACACTTGGTCATTGTTTTCCAGGAAAGCAGATGGAAGTGGCCAGATTCTTTAAAATCAATGCTCTCTGCTCTCTTAAATCTTTGCCTGTGCTGTCAGAGCAACTGAGCCTGCAGTGATAGGCCCATTTTCCCAGGCCTATAGAAGGCGCTGTGTGGCAACTCCATTCCGTGCATCTGGGGCCCTCCCCCCCCTCTCTGCAGCAGCCTTACCCAGTTAAAAGAATGCGCCCCCTACTGACTTGCATGCTCATTTCTCCATTCCACCGACTTGGCTGCGGTGCAGTTTGGGTGGGGGCTGGTATTTTTTTCCTTCGATGGCCACAAACCCCAAGCAACGGTAGTTTTAACATGAAGCCACGCGCTGATTACGCACACGCCTAAGTAAAACTGAACTGGGGATGGGGGAGACGGACAAATACATAAATAGTCACAACACCGGAGTAGAAAGGCACGTTAGAGGGAAAAGTGCCTGGTGGTGGTGTTTGTCTGCGACAGAAGCAGAAGGCAACCTCCTTTTCCCTCTTCTTTGTCTGAAATATAGGTTAGAAGAACTACTGCGCGGGATGGATGCAGTAAACAAGAGTTACGGGGGTGGATGGGTGCCTGTTACTCGCTTGGAGCTGCTACTCTGCTACAGCTACGAATCCCGCCTTTTCCAGTACACCCGACACCTCTAAGTAGGAAAGGGAGGGGGGGTCGCAGAGGAGGCGGCCGTTCTCCATTCATTGCACCGCAGCCTGCTCTAAATTTCCAGCGCCAACTCTGCAGTCGTAAGGGGGCTTTCCTCGCTTCCTCTCATACCCCCCCCCCGCGCACCTCCTCTCCTTCCAGCGCACATGCTGGAGGAAAAGGCGAATCTCCGAGCATGCATGCCGGAGCGGACGGGCTGCATTCGCCATCCTCTTGCCCACCCACCCCCCCACGCCCGCCCGGCTCGTTCGTTCGTTCCCTCCTTCGTCGGTCCACGATGCAGCCCATGCAATCGCGGTCGGGCGCAACATCCATGTGCCGCCTCCCTGCAAGGAACGGGAGGTGGGGGGGTGGGAGAAAGCGAGAGAGCGCGATGCAAACGGAGAGGCGCCCGGAGTTAAGGCAAGCAAGGGAGAGGAAAGCCGGCTACGGAGGCGTCCTCCTGCGCCTTACAACCCGGCCTCGGACGGTTGGAGATGAAGAGGAGGAGGAGGAGGAAGAAAGGAGGGAGGGACCGGGAGCGAGTGCTTCTTAGCGGCATGTGCAAAGATGCGAGCATCGGAGGCCGCCGGGCCCGGCTGCACCGGAGGAGGAGGAGAAAGAAAGCAGGCGGCGGCGGCGGCGAAGGGAGGGCGAGGGAAGGGAGGGAGGGTTGCGCGGGGCTCCAGCGCGCGCTCAGGCACCTACCTGGCTGGGTCTCGCGCTCCCTCCTCAGCAGCGGCGGGCGCTCTTTCCCCCGGCGGCGGCGGCGCTGCTGCTCCTGTTAGCGGCTCCCGGCAGGGCGGGCGGGCGGGCAGCGGAGCCGGCGGTGCGGGGGAGACAAAGGGGGCTGGATGGCGGGCTGCGCCGGGGGGGGCCGGCTGCGCGGGGGGCAGGGCGGGGGCTGGGCCCTCAGCGGGGATGAGGGGGAGGCGGCAGCGGCTCCGTCACCGGGGCGAGGGGCGTCGGGCTCCGGGCCGCGGGGAAGGGGAGGGGGGGCTCCCTAGGCGCCCTGCAGACAATACAGCCGGGTCCCTCCTGCCCAGAACCTGCCCTGGCCAAGATGGCGGCCGAGAAAGAGCGGAAGTGACGCGAGGCGCTCATTAGCATATGGGACTCATTGTCCGGCCGGAGAGGAGGGGGACTCGCGGGCACGGGCGCACACGCCCCCCCTTCCTGTGAGGGGCATTGAGCCGGGAGGAGGCCGGACCCCGGCAATGGGACTTGCTTTTTTCCCCCCCCTCAGTCGCGCCTCCCCTCCCGGCGTGAGGAGAAGCGGGCCCTTTAAAAAAGTAGGTGGGTGGGTGAGGGGAGCGGGTTACATAACCCCGTCAGAGTGGGGGGATTCTCGCGAGAAAGGCAGCCGGCGGCGGGATCTGCCCCGGCTCCGCTAGGAGGCGCCGCGCCCTGCGGCTGGGGCCGGAGAGAGAGAGGAACGCGGAGCCGCCCGCTTATCCCTCCGCCGCCCCCAGCCGGCACTACATCCTTCCCTGAGGGGAGGAGGGGAAGGGGGTCACCACGCCGGGGAAGAGGTGGCGCGCGGGAGGGGGAAGAGCCCGGAATGAGCCCGCGGCCACGTGACTCGGGAGTGAGCCCGCCACGTGAGCGAGCATCCTGACACCTCGTGCCGCTAAGCTGCTGGTCACACGCCTTTGCACTAGTGCAAGAGCGAGTGTGAGGAGCAGAGGGTAGCAGAGGCATCCTTGTGCCACAGTCTGGCGGCTGCTCTTGGAATAATGCAGCAGAAGCCTTTTGTGTTGTGAGCCACCAGTAGTGTGCCTCACACCTCCCAGTAACACACAGCCAGATTTGTTCCCGCACAATGGTGATCACCCATCAGCATGCGGCATGGTACCATTGACGCACCATCAAGAGAGAATGGGTGAACTGCTGAGCATCACGGTGGCATTAACAGCATACCGGTGGTGCTTTTTTATTGGACAGGCCTTTATTTCATTGGCATGGGCTACTAAGCATTTACATTACCTAAAATAAAATAAAAATACAGAATGCAGTATTGGATGCATGTGAAAAGAGGATCAAGATGTTGCAGCTGATAGCAAAGTGAACACGAGCCACCAATATGGTACATCTGCTAAAAAAGCTAATACATTCTTAAGGCTGCATTAACAGATGCAAAGCGTGAGCAGTAATAATTACACTCCATTATGCAGTGGTGAGGCCCTGTCAAAGGTACTCTGTCCATTTCTAGACACGGCGTTGTAAGAAGGAGGTTTGCAAACTGGAGTATGTCCAGATGAGGCCAACAAAGACAATTAACAGGTCAGGAATTCAGGTCCTATGAGGAGCCATTGAAAAAGCTGAGTATGTTTAACATAGAGAAGATAATTTTAAGTACAGACACGATAGGTATCTAAAGGGCTGTTGTGTAGGTTGGGGAAGACTTGTTCTCAGTTGCTCCACAAGGCAGGACTAGAACCAATGGGTGAAAATTGCAGAGAACCATATTTCAGCTAAACCTTAGGAGAAACTTCAAGTCGGTATGAACTACAATGGTACCTCGGGTTACATACGCTTCAGGTTACATACGCTTCAGGTTTCAGACTCCGCTAACCCAGAAATAGTACCTCGGATTAAGAACTTTACCTCAGGATGAGGACAGAAATCGAGTAGTGGCGGCGGCAGCAGCAGGAGGCCCCATTAGCTAAAGTGGTGCTTCAGGTTAAGAACGGACCTTCAGAACAAATTAAGTATTTAACCTGAGGTACCACTGTATTTGACAGTGGAAAGGCTTTCTCTGGAGATGGTGGTTTGTTTGTTTTTTGTCTCTGGAGGTATTTAAGCAAAGGCAGGACAACCATCTATCAGCGATGTTATGGTTACATCCTGCATTAAGGAGGGGGTTGTGCTAGATAACCTCCACAGTACCCTTCCAATTTTATAATTCTAAGACTACACAAGCAACCTAAGCTGTGGTATTGTGGCAGGAGTGCATAATCTCAGAGATGCACCTCAGCATTTTCTTGAACACTGCAAGAGATCTTGTGGCACGCCTGTAGCATCAGGTAATACAATTACGTTGAGTGCAGCAAACTGTTTTGGGCCAATCTTTGGTGACTCCTTGACAGTAACGCTCAGTATCACCGAATTAGAGACCAAACATCACAGGGGAAGCCATTCTAAGGACATTTCAACTCACAATTTTTTAAAAGCTGCAATGGTGCAGATAATGCAAGCTAATTTCATTGTACAAAGGTTGTACATTGACAATAAAGGTATTATTATTATTATTATTATTATAAGTGACTACTGCTTTAGTAGCCCCTCACTATGCTGGCAGATGTGCCTGGGGTAATGCAGCTGCAACCATACATTGCATACAGCTAGCCTAACCATATAATAGCAGTAACGGTCTGATTACTAACTATATAGGACAGTGCAACTGTGACGTAATTGCACTGTACATGCAATTATGTCAAGCATGCACCACAGCGTGGCTCAAGAGGTGAAAATACTAGCCACACACAACAGTAGCAATAATATGAGCAGAACAATTGGGTTTTAGGCCCAGTTTGGCACATAAACTGCTTTGGCATAGACTGAGGCACTGTTAGTGGATGGTTCCCTAGACTGGATGGATGGGAGATTGCCTCCTCTTGATAGAGTTGCACTTCCTCTGAAGGAGCAGGTACGTAGCTTGAGGGTACTTCTGAATCCTTTGCTGTCGCTTGAGGCTCAGGTAGCCTCTGTGGCACAGAGTGCCTTCCATCACCTTCAGCTGGTGGCCTAGCTGTGCCCCTATCTGGGCAGGCTTAGGCTAACTTTGGTGATCTAGGCTCTGGTAATCTCTAGGTTAGATTACTGCAAAGTATTACATGTAGGGCTGCCTTTGGAGACAGTTCGGGAATTTCAGCTGGTGCAGAATTTGACAGTGAGGTTGCTCACTAGGGCAAGACCGTTTAAGCATATGATGCCAGTCTTGGCACAACTGCACTGGCTGCCAATTAGTTTCCGGGCCCAATTCAAAGTGCTGGTTTTGAGCTATAAAGAAGAAGAGTTTGGATTTGATATCCCGCTTTATCACTACCCGAAGGAGTCTCAAAGCGGCTAACGTTCTCCTTTCCCTTCCTCCCCCACAACAAACACTCTGTGAGGTGAGTGAGGCTGAGAGACTTCAGAGAAGTGTGACTGGCCCAAGGTCACCCAGCAGCTGCATGTGGAGGAGCGGAGACGCGAACCCAGTTCACCAGATTACAAGTCTACCGCTCTTAACCACTACACCACACTGGCTCTAAACTGCTTTAAACCGCTCAGGACCGCAATACCTCAAGGACTGCCTCTCCCCATATGAACCTATCCAGACCCTGCAATCATCATATGAGGCTTTTCTGCAGTTGCTCTACATTTGTGGAATGCTCTTCTGGGGGAGGTTAATATGGCACCTTTATTACACACCTCTAGGTGCCGGGTGAAAACTTTCCTCTTCAACTAGGCCTTTGCCTGATGTAATAGTCTATGTCCTTTTAAATGTCGAAATAAAATAAAATAAAATAAAAAATTCCTTCCAGTAGCACCTTAGAGACCAACTAAGTTAGTTACAGTGATACTTCGGGTTACAGACGCTTCAGGTTACAGGGTCTGCTAACCCAGAAATAGTACCTTGGGTTAAGAACTTTGCTTCAGGATGAGAACAGAAATCGTGCTCTGGCGGCGTGGTGGCAGCGGGAGGCCCCATTAGCTAAAGTGGTACCTCAGGTTAAGAACAGTTTCAGGTTAAGAGCAGACCTCCAGAACGAATTAAGTTCTTATCCCGAGGTACCACTGTATTGGTATGAGCTTTCATGTGCATGCACACTTCTTCAGAAACACTGAAACTGAAGTCACCAGACCCTTATATATAGTGAGAGGGTGGGGATGGGTATTACTCAGAAGGGTGGTGGGAATGGGTGATTGGCTGATAGGTATGGTAAACCTGTTGGCGACTGTTAATGGCTGCAATTGGTCTTACAGGAAAAAGCAATGGGTGAGATGGCTAAAAATAGCTTTATCATGTATAATGAGATAAGAATCCATTGTCTCTATTCAGACCAGGTCTCTCCATGGTTTTAAATTTGGTAATAAGTTGCAACTCAGCAACTTCTCTTTCCACTCTATTTCTGAAATTCTTTTGTAATAAGACAGCTACTATGAGATCTTGTATAGAATGTCCTGGGAGATTGAAGTGTTCTCCTACTAGTTTCTCTGTCTTGTGAATCTTGATATCTTTTAAATGTGTTTGTGAAGGGGGAGAAGTATTGGTTTGATTTGTTCTTGTTTCCATTGTGTACTTTTTGGTTTTATGTTGTGTTTTTATGTTATGAACCACCCTGAGATTTTCGGATGAAGGGCAGTATAACCATTTAATTAATAAATAAAATAATAACAGAGTTCCATCATACCACTTGATGCTGCTGTTGTGGCTGTATAGCAGGCGTTTATATACAGCATGCCATTAGCACCACTGTACTGGTAAGCATCATCATTATCCTTAATATATGTGATTAATTATAATATGGTTACCTATATGAAGGAAAGTTATTAGTATATCATTTCATTATCCCAGCATTTTTATCTCAGTCTACCAGAGGGGACCGTGCAGATATTACTATAAATGGGTTGCAATGTGGAACAAAGTGTTGGGGTGGCGGGGGAAGTTGCTTGGACAGAAGAAACACTAGGGGATGGAGGGCAGATTTTCCTTCCTCCCCAATAATGTTCCTAAGCAGGCCTGGTATCAGCGCCCAGCACTTTGAACAGCAGGACCCACCTAGACTATGCAGAATTAGATAAATTAACAGGAAGGATTCGAAACCTGCGGGATCAGAGATTCTTAGAGGACTGGAGTAAATATATGAACTATTTGAAAAGTAATTGTGATGAACAGATTACGCTAGTAGGACTGCAAGAAGTTTTGTAAAGTGGATTATCTGAAACACTACAAGAAAGACTATGAAAAGAATTATTGGTTAAGGACAATTAAATGCAATATAGAAATTAAGAAATGCAGAATAAGTGATAAAGAACGGAAAATCATCAGAGGTGTGGTCGGAAGTCTAAAACATTGTATAAGATAAGATATGTTGAGAAGATATGTTGAGAAGTATGAGAAGATATGTTGTATGACTGTTGGAACTGATATGTTAAAAAATCAATAAAAATGTGTGTATATATAATGTATATATATATAACAGCAGGACCCGCCATCTTGATTTCTGACTGTGCCCAGGAGAGAGACTAAACTGCACTCTCCAGGATGTTGTGGCAAATTTAAAATGGCGGTCGTGAGCCTGATGCTGGGAGGACCCACTGACACTGGCAGATAAGGTTGACAAACGCCTTCTTAAATGTGGAGCCACCCTTTCTCTTAACTATACCCTTACTTTTATTTATCCTTGTTCTTAAAATTCCCAAGCATTGTACAAAAACTAAAACACCAAAGCCTTTCTTTCATCCTAAG